TCTTCCACCAGCATGGGCATGCCACCAGGGCACGCGAGTTCCTTTCCGTGACCCCCGGTGCCTTTGCCATCGAGATGACAAAGAACCTGCGCATGGGGGTTGACATCTTCGAGGTGAACTCGCAAGGCCAGATCTTCGACATCAAGATCTGGATGGCCTCCCTGAGAGCGGACCAAGACGACTTGAATGACACCGGGCTAACAACTTTCGGCAACGGATCGCAAGCCAGCATCTCAGTAGCGCCAGCTGAATCGCGGAGGGTCACAAGCTGATTCTAGAATGGGCTTGAATAGACATCTTGGTTGCGCGTCTTCGTGCATCTTCGCACTCTGATATTTTGTCGTGCCCCAGACTTGAGGCGCTGGTCGATGCCGGGGAGACAGACGTCACCTTGACAAAGGCTGCCATGGAGTCCTGGATGCAAAGCCTCAACGCAGAGCCGAAGGAAGAGCTCCTGGCGGCCGATGTGCGCATGCTTCGGATGTCGCAAAGGGACATGGAACCCGAAATTCATACTGGGAAGGCTGACGTGATGGATTTCTTCCGAGACTTCGAGCATGCCAGCGGGGCCCGAGAGTTCCTTTCCGTGGACGGAGGCGCCTTTATGCTCGAGCTAAAGAACGACATGCATCCTCGCATGGGAATCCTGGTTTTTGAGGTGAACCCCGATGGCAAGATCCAGGACATCAAGGTTTGGATGGGTTCCCTGGAAAACGACAAGGCCGACTTGGGCGACAGCGGCCTGAATCAGACGCTCCTGTCGCAAGAGGAGGCCCTCGTGGCGAGTGCCTTGCCCGCGTAAGCCATGTTAGCACAGCTCAAGACACAACATGAGAACACCATGTTACTTGCTGCTTTTTGCAGAGCATTCCCTGCTTACCATGTGATGGCACCACAGATATCGCCTCGAACATCTCCAGGCCCCGAGCCCACGGAGTGCTTGCGTTCCGGCAGCCAGCCGTCCCCGCAGCAAACGCGCAGCTTCAAGACAACTGCCGAGAAGGTGAAAACGCTTGACCTCAATGCTGTGGTAGCCGTTCTCGAGAAGGATGGCTACTCGCCCAGCAGGGCAGCAAGCCTTGCGGAAGAGTACCGAAAGTACTTGACCCTGGTGGGCGCCGGCCTGAACCCTGTGCCGTCGCAGAAGGTGGATGATGCGTGGCATGCCCACATCCTCAATACCAAGAAGTACCAGGCTGACACACGTGCGCTGTTCGGCCACGTCCTCCATCACGAGCCGGCCAACCTTCTCCTGGACCAGCAGGGCATGACAGCACAGAAATCCTCCATGGACGACATGTTCTTACAAACCAAGATGCAGCTCTGCGACTACTATGGTCGCGTCGATGAAGCCGTGTGGTCCAAGGAAGACGTCGCCCTGTGCCTTTGCGGCTGCGGCTGCGGCTGCGGTTGCGGCTGCAGCTGTGGCTGTGGCTGCGTCACTCCGAGCCCCCCACCGAGCCCGAGCCCGAGCCCGAGCAGTGGCTGCTGAGCCTGTGCCTCTGAGAGCCCTGTTTCCCATGTACCCAAAGTTTCTGCAGTAAATGCCGTTTCAAGAGCCTTCGAGTTTCTTTCAAGTTTCAGAAGTTTCCAGATCTGGCGCCACCGGGAGAGCCAACAGAGCGCAGAACTGCGAGACGTGGGAGAGGCATGGAGAGACGTGGGACCTCTAAAAGCCCATGGAAACGTCCCAAACCCATCCAAACCCTCCAGCCATGCACTTGCGACGAGGCAGCTGTCCAGAGAAGCGTGAACCTGGCAGGTTCCAATCTTCAGCGATGCAGGTGTCTGCTCATGACGGCTCGAGCATTGATACAGTGATCATCTCCCTCGTACTTACCGTGCATCCACCTTGGATAGCTTTGCATTGCCATGAAGGCTGTGTGCATCGTGGCTTTCTTGTCCGTTTCTCTAGGGGCTTCTGCTGGATCCCAGCCGGTGGCGACAGATGCGACCGGGATGTCTGGGATGCAAGCCGAGTCCGAACAGTCCGAACAGTGCCAGTCTGGGAGCCTGATCCAGCGTTCCTCCCAGAAGGCGATGCTGCCCACGAAGGCGACGCTTGGCGAGACCGAGGTTGCGGAGCCAGAGACCCCACCGAACAAGGTGAGCAAAAAGATGAACAACAAGATGAACAAAAAGATGCAGAAGAGGCAAAAGATGCAGAAGGAGCACGGAGATCTCCTGGCCTTCCTCGCGCAGTCAAAGGAGTCAAAGGAACAGATTCCTCCAGGAGATTCTGAATGCACACCGACAGGAGCCCTGCGCCGGTCATCTCTGCCTGTGATTTTGTCGTGTCTTTGCACTTTGCATGTCGCCCGGAGTCGGCTCTGTTTCTTTTCAAAGTTCGGCCTTTTCAGGAGCGCCTCTGGCGGGCGAGAGCAAGGCGAAGTTTGAGGTGCTTTTGCAAAAGGTCTCTGCCCTCGACCTGGATGCTGTCATCGCCCGCCTTGTCAAGAAGAAGGACTACATGCCCAAGATTGCAAAGAGGGCCGCCGATGAGTACCGCAAGTTCCTGGTGTTGATGGGCATGGGCGAGAAACCGGTCGCGCCCAAGATGGTCGTCGATGCCTGGCAAGCCCACATCATGCCACCAGTCCTGAACATGTGGGCTTGTTGATTGTCAGCTGTTGACATGTCCGCGGACGTTGTTCGGTTTCTGTGTGGTTTGTGTAGTTGGAAGCCCGGCCAGGTTCACACAGACGTACGAGCGGGACTGCCGTGAGGTGTTTGGCCACTTGCTTGAACATGACCCCCTTGCTCAGCACTTGGAGGCCAGTCGTCTGGAGCAGATGCAACAGCAGATCTGCGACTATTTCGGCATGGTAGACCGGCTTGTTTGGGAACAGCCGCGGGCAGTGGCCGCTCTCTCCCAGAGCGCGGACCCGGCCACCACCATGCAGCACTGGCTTGACCACATCAACGACAAGTCGATCTTCCGTGAGGACCTCATGACAGAGGATGTCAACGTGCTGGTGGTTTCGCAACACAGCTCCAATGCCACAACCTATGATGGCAGAATCGAAGCTTTGTCCTTCTTCCACCAGCATGGGCATGCCACCAGGGCACGCGAGTTCCTTTCCGTGACCCCCGGTGCCTTTGCCATCGAGATGACAAAAAACCTGCGCATGGGGGTTGACATCTTCGAGGTGAACTCGCAAGGCCAGATCTTCGACATCAAGATCTGGATGGCCTCCCTGAGAGCGGACCAAGACGACTTGAATGACACCGGGCTAACAACTTTCGGCAACGGATCGCAAGCCAGCATCTCAGTAGCGCCAGCTGAAATGCGGAGGGTCACAAGCTGATTCTAGAATGGGCTTGAATAGACATCTTGGTTGCGCGTCTTCGTGCATCTTCGCACTCTGATATTTTGTCGTGCCCCAGACTTGAGGCGCTGGTCGATGCCGGGGAGACAGACGTCACCTTGACAAAGGCTGCCATGGAGTCCTGGATGCGAAGCCTCAACGCAGAGCCGAAGGAAGAGCTCCTGGCGGCCGATGTGCGCATGCTTCGGATGTCGCAAAGGGACATGGAACCCGAAATTCATACTGGGAAGGCTGACGTGATGGATTTCTTCCGAGACTTCGAGCATGCCAGCGGGGCCCGAGAGTTCCTTTCCGTGGACGGAGGCGCCTTTATGCTCGAGCTAAAGAACGACATGCATCCTCGCATGGGAATCCTGGTTTTTGAGGTGAACCCCGATGGCAAGATCCAGGACATCAAGGTTTGGATGGGTTCCCTGGAAAACGACAAGGCCGACTTGGGCGACAGCGGCCTGAATCAGACGCTCCTGTCGCAAGAGGAGGCCCTCGTGGCGAGTGCCTTGCCCGCGTAAGCCATGTTAGCACAGCTCAAGACACAACATGAGAACACCATGTTACTTGCTGCTTTTTGCAGAGCATTCCCTGCTTACCATGTGATGGCACCACAGATATCGCCTCGAACATCTCCAGGCCCCGAGCCCACGGAGTGCTTGCGTTCCGGCAGCCAGCCGTCCCCGCAGCAAACGCGCAGCTTCAAGACAACTGCCGAGAAGGTGAAAACGCTTGACCTCAATGCTGTGGTAGCCGTTCTCGAGAAGGATGGCTACTCGCCCAGCAGGGCAGCAAGCCTTGCGGAAGAGTACCGAAAGTACTTGACCCTGGTGGGCGCCGGCCTGAACCCTGTGCCGTCGCAGAAGGTGGATGATGCGTGGCATGCCCACATCCTCAATACCAAGAAGTACCAGGCTGACACACGTGCGCTGTTCGGCCACGTCCTCCATCACGAGCCGGCCAACCTTCTCCTGGACCAGCAGGGCATGACAGCACAGAAATCCTCCATGGACGACATGTTCTTACAAACCAAGATGCAGCTCTGCGACTACTATGGTCGCGTCGATGAAGCCGTGTGGTCCAAGGAAGACGTCGCCCTGTGCCTTTGCGCCTGCGGCTGCGGCTGCGGTTGCGGCTGCAGCTGTGGCTGTGGCTGCGTCACTCCGAGCCCCCCACCGAGCCCGAGCCCGAGCCCGAGCAGTGGCTGCTGAGCCTGTGCCTCTGAGAGCCCTGTTTCCCATGTACCCAAAGTTTCTGCAGTAAATGCCGTTTCAAGAGCCTTCGAGTTTCTTTCAAGTATCAGAAGTTTCCAGATTTGGCGCCACCGGGAGAGCCAACAGAGCGCAGAACTGCGAGACGTGGGAGAGGCATGGAGAGGAAAGATCCCGAACCCATCCAAACCCTCCAGCCATGCACTTGCGACGAGTTGCTTGACAGTGCGGCACGTTTCGAGGGCCGCTGCGCTTTTGTTTAGAATTGCATGCCTTGGTCGGTCGTGTTTTGGGGCTTGTCGAGTGCTCCGTCATGCTCCGTCTCTAGCATTGTTTGGGCTACTTTGGCTACTGCAATTGCATCGAGCAAAGCTTCGGTTTCATCCGGATTTCAGGGTAGGTTGCTCGAAGTTGCCCGGTATGTTCGATGTTGGTCCCCTCAGCGGCGGCGCTTCCTGCGGAATGAGATGTGATGAACTGGGCCAGCTTGGTACTGGTGAGTGCTTCCGGCTGTATCGACACCGATCCGGAGCCTTTCTTCGTGCATTCTGGACGGGGAGAGTGTACTGCGAAGTCATGTAGACATGTGAAGCCGGTGTTGTAAACAAGCGACTAAGCGACACGTAAGACACGCAAGCTGGCGCTAGGTGCGTCGACATCATCTTGGCAAAGAGCTGAATCTGGCGATCACGCATCACAAAGTTGGGTCGAAACTCAATTTCAGATAGTGGAAGACCAGGCACGAAGCTGTTGGTCTCGGGGCGGACGGTACTGGGAGACCGACTTGGACACGTCTTCGTATGTAGCAACATTGCGTATTGCTGGATCTACATGGGAGGTACCTTGGAAGATAGCCGACTGCTTTGGAATGTGTTGCACAGGCAAGATCATTTTCAGAATTGGTTTGGAGAGGTTTCTTGGTCTTTTGGACCCAGGCAGCGGACTGTCCAGAATGCTTGCAGAATTTCGTGGACCTTTGGAATGGTTTGCCAGATCGTCTTCTCGGCGGTATCTGTGCGCATGCGCTGTGCGATCGAGGTCAGGCAACTTGGCTGTGTGAGTGGAACTTGCGTGGAGGGGGGGTGCTGTCGGCTGTTGGCTGTTGGTGTTTCGACGCACATTCTGTGATGCTGTACCTTCGCTGTTCATCTGCAATTGACAGGTTCAGTCAAGAATCTACCCTCTTTATCTGTCTCGTGCGCTACATGTCGAGTTCGCTTTGCCCTCACCCGCGCAGCACGTGAAGGCCCTCTGGGAGTGGTCAGGGTTTGAACTGAGAGAACTGAGAAATGACAAAGAATGGCTTAAAATGTAACAAATGTGACAAAATGTAACAAATGTGGGGGAGCAGAACCGCAGGTCCGGGAACTCTCGCACTGGTCGCAGCTGCGCCTGGACTTTGTTGTTGGCGGCATCAACAGCTGCGGCACCACCAGCATGGCAAAGGCACTGGACCAGGCACCGGTTTGTCACGATTCGTCTGAGTAGTCCCTTCGTGCTGAGAGAGAGGAGAGATGCTGAGAGATGCTGAGAGATGCTGAGAGATGCTGAGAGATGAGTAAGCATCGTGAGGCATCTTAGTCGTCTCGCTTTTGATCAGGTATCTCCCCAGCATCCCAGGAGGGTCGCATGAATTCTTTGTTCTTTGAAAGCCGCGAGGATAGCAGGCAGCACAGAGTAAGTGAGTTCACACCTAAGCTAGGCTTCGTTTGAACAAGCAAAACTAAGCTGCAAGCGCACTCTGTAAAACGACCCTCAGATTGGCGACATAGACTTCACCATGGATGGCGAAGACAACTTTTTCTACAGGCACGACTCCTTGCTGCCCTACCGGGAAGAGGCCGGCGGTCGGTTGCATCTGTGAGAACATCGTTGAACATCATTGCTGTTGATTTAAGTTCGTTTGGAAGTTTGGCTCCCTGAAGGTCGAAAGCTTCAACTTCCAGTGGCTGTCCCATTCTTGCTCGCAGTGTCTCCGTGGGTTGCGGCACCCTGGACTTTACCACAGTCACCGAGTACGGCTGGCTTTGGCCCACATTCCCAGGCTGCTTCCGCAAATTCATGTTGAGTATTGTAGAGTGACGTTGAGTGCATTGTCTGAGCATTGGACGGGAAAGCCAGGTTGAAGGTGGTTATCGTCGTGTGTGATCCCGTGAGCAGGTCACTTAGCTTACAGCTTGTTTTTATTTGCACGTGAAGTCGGGGGAGCCGATTGGAAGAACGGCGTTCCCACTTAAGTGCATCATGAAAGCCACGCAGTGGCGAACTTCGCGAAACCTGTGCAGGTTCGAGAAGTGGTGTGTGGCTCGGTCGGCTTCGCTGCGATCCTATACAAAACGACCGGCGCAGCATCTTTGCTCAGGTTCTGGATGTTCTTGCATTGCAAGTCGTATCCTGCCAAGCCACGGCACAAGCTGAAAGCAGATGGACCGGAGCGCTGCTTCCACAGTCCTGCGAGCGCATTGGAGGCACCAAAGTTCGCGCTTGTCGTCTCGTTTCGACATGAGACCAGGTTGGATGAGTTTTCTGGGGTCGGGTTGAGTCACATCCTTACATCGTCTTACATACTCTTGCCAGCTTAGAGTTCCAGGAGCCAGAGATGTTGAGACAAAGTAGTTTCGGTCACGGCCTTACAGCTTTTGAAAGAGCTGCTTGAGGGGGCCTGCTTGGGGCTTTTGTTCTTCTGCAACTTCTGCGGATCCCTGAGGCTTTCACCTGCGCTCGCTTCACAGTGTGTTTGGTTCAAGACTGCGCGTGATACATCAGGTGCGCTTGTTCGGGTCTTGAATGGCTGTACATTGGATGCCCACATGATTTGCATTGTGCATGAGTTTGACACAGCCAAAGGCGGTTTGCTTAAGTTGAAACCGTCAGTAGCGCTGGCAAAGCAGGTGCGCTCAAGTTGAAGCCTTTGTAGAGTGAGTGTGTGTGTGCACAGTTCCACAAGGAAAAGGTCTGAGCCGGAGGTACGGGATTTCAGTGAATACCACCCGTTCTGGGCAACAAAATGGCGAAGGCATTAGTGCAGAAGGTCGCCAACTTCACAGCTAAACGAGGATGAGGCATGCTGCCTGCTGTTGGCAATGGTGGAATGCATGGCCCCCCAGATGCTGCCCCAGTGCTGCCCCCCCAAAAAAACTCAAGAAGCCAGAAAACTGACGCAGCCCCACCCTCTCCACATGCCCTCCTCCCAGATGCCCCCTCACCAGTGCAGCATCTGGGGAGGAGGGAGGGCATCAGGGCGAGGTTTTCTGGGAGGGGCATCTGGGAGGAGGTGGGAGGAGGGCGGGGCTGCGTCAGTTCTTTTTTTGGCTCTTTGAGTTTTTTTGGTGGGGGGGGGGCAGCGGGGGCATGTGGGAGAGGGGATGAGAGGGGCATGTGGGAGGCGGGCATGTGGAGAGGCAAGGCTGCGGCAGTGGTTTGTGCTTGTTGAGTTTTTTTTTTTTTTTGGGGGGGGGGGGGGCGGGCAGCATCTGGGAGGGGGGCATCTGGAGAGGGGGGCATCTGGCATCTGGGAGTGGGAGTTGAACTCAAGAGTGTCAGCATAGGCTGGAGCCTGTTCTGCAGTTGACTGGATTGCTGGAGATAGACACACCCCACCAGCCTGGATGGCGGAAAGCGACGGCAAATCGGGAGGATGCCGGCCGATAGAAGCACTCAGACCGAACGCGCCGCGTCGCTCACGCCGTTGACGTCGCTGGGAACGCAGCCGCTCACCATTGCTTCCGGGAGATGCCTTATGTTTCGAAGAGAGCTTGAGCACGTTACCAGGAAAGCTGTGTGGCAGACAAGAAGTCTGCAACATTCGTTGAAGAGGGCTCTTGTGTACCCGGCTCCAGCCTTCGGGGCTGGAGGGGCATATGTTTTCTTTTGAACGGTGAACTCACGAAGTCGATGGAGTGACGACTTGCATTATGCTTGAGGACTTGTGTGGTGCGTGAGGCCCATTTGCGCCACCATCCGATTGAGGCCGCCTCTTAGTCTTGGACATGACAGTGCCGCCGTGTAGCAAAAGGTCAAACTCAGAGTGCATCCGATCTTCAGGCCTGCACAAACGTGGTGCAATTCCTTGGTGCAAGAATGCCCTAGCCTGAGATGCGATTGTTTGCCTGAGCCATCTCCACGCGGTAGATTCCGGTAGATCGGAGTAGTGTGTGGGGCAAGAGTGTATTTGTTTCTGCTTCTTGCTTTTGCTACGCCTTTTGCCAGGCCTCCCTCATTCAAGGTTGAGCGCCACAATCATCAAAGGCAACGTCTGCACCTTTCTGAATTCTGCATCTGTTAGCCGGAATGGTGCTCGCAGCCAGTGGCACTCGAGGGGCTATCGCACGAACATGTGTCAGAATCAATCGCTGGTGCTTGCCTCTGACAAATCTCATGGTCAGATTGCACCACCTGTGATTCTTGTAGCGGCGAAAACAATCAGTTGCAGTAAGGTTGCAGATCTTCAGAAGTTGCTTCTGGAAGAATACGATGCAATGGAGGCCATGATGTAATGTGCACGAAATGCATCTCCAACTGCCCCTCAGAGGTGGTCCTGAGTGCAGCTGGAGGTGGGCTTGCACTGCCTAAGGCAGGGCCTTGATGTTTACGTGGATGTTGTGCGGGGCGTCACTGCAAAAGCCACGAGCTGCACTTCGCAAGCAGCAAGCAGGAGCTACAGCTGCGACAAACTCGATGTGATCGCCCAGAGGAGAAAGCGGCCTGTACACACTCATGCAAACTTGCACATCTTGTGTGCAGCACCACGCTTGTGAGGAAATGCAGGGCATGGCGCCTGAGGTCGACCGGGCGCCACTGCTAGTAGCAATGCCTTGATGGAAGCGCCGGGGACACGCAAAATCATCGAAGAATGAGAAGGATGAGCCTAAGGGCCTCAAGGGTGTAGCGCTGCTCGGCACCTCTATTCCAGTCCTGCCATGTGGCAGCATTCAGATTTTGAAGATATTCCAATACGTTGAAGTGAAATCGTGGAGTCCTCGTACTTAGTCATAGCGAGTCGTAGATAGTACGCCGTAGCAGGAGCCCGAGATGCTCATAAAGTTTCGAAATGCCAGTTTTGCTCTTTTCTGTGGCCTGTGTGGGCTCAAAGCTGACAGAGTTGGAAAGAACCTTCTTGATTTTGCGCGCACCTTAGCATACAGGTGTTTTGCCAAAGTGGCGGTCAAACCAAGACTGACTCAACTTTGCTTCAAGGTTTCTACTGGCGGCTTGCTTGCAAAGTCGGCGCTGACTGGGTTAGTGGGCATGGTTTGATTTTGCTTTTGCCCAGGTAACCTATCCGGTTCCCAATCGCAACCAACAGGCGATGCTTCAAGTCAGCGTTGTGCATCCAGAGGGATCTAGCTTCTGACAGGCTTCTTCGAACCGATGTTGCGTTACGAACGCGTCCGCCACTGTGCACACGCACCACAACATTGTGCCATGGATGGGAGAGTTTTTGTTTGAGGTGAATGCTGGGGGTCTGAGAGATATGTGTCGCTCTCTCAGCGATGTCCTGTGTGACAGTCAACTGGAAGTGTATCGTTGAACTCCGCTGAACTCCCAACCTTTAGGTTGACTCCCTATGACGGCGGCTGGAGAGGCATGCGCTTGCCCAATTCGCAGAGTGTAAGGTTCAGTGATAAAGCTGTGACCTCTTGCCTTTTTTTGTGACTGTCTTGTGTTGCTCCAGGTTGCTTGTTTGCTTTTTAATTGCGTGTGTGCGCGGCTCGTGCGTCGCAGGCCGACGAGGTCCTCCAGGCTGCTGGCTTCGCCGTGTGCGGCGAGGACAGCTTCATGGTATTCATGATGCTTTTGCCGCCTTTGCGAATGGCGCGCGATTCAGAAAATCAGAAAATTGACGCGCACGAATCAGAAACTGGACGCGATTCAGGAAAGCAACTGAGGTTCAAGAAACGAGGCGATTCAGGAAACTTCTCGATTCAGGAACTGGCTTCACATGATTCGGGAATTTCCGGGATTCAGGAAGCTGCCCGATTCAGGAAGCCGCGGGGGGTAGGGGGTGGGCGGGGAGGGGTTGGGGGTGTATGGTAATGTTCATGTCAAGGTCGCTTCAGAAAACTTTGCGGTGCCCGAATGCGTGCTTTCCAGTTTCCCGAATCACGTTTGCCAGTTTCCGAATCCTCTGCTGAGCCACCTTTGCACTCTTTGCATTGAGGCTTCTTGAGATTGGAGCTTTGTCGTGTTTCAATTGCCTTAGCAGCATGAGGACGAAGGTGCTGAGGACGAGGCCTGAATTTGGGTGCTCCTGCGACAGCAGTCGCCAATGGACTGCCACCCTTTGCCTTACCAGGATGGCAGTATTTGCCCTCCCCCATGCGCTTCGGTGTAGCTTGTCGGCAAACGTCCATGCCGTGTGCATGTTGGATATATTTGGATGTTGATCCGATATGCTCTTGATGCTTATGCGGGTCTTCTTCCAAACAGGATACGGGATGTGCAGCAGTTTGAGTGCTATGCGAGCTATGTTTCAGTGTGTGTTTTGTGCCCTTGCTGCCCTCTGAGGCGTGGGGGAGGGGACCCAAGACTACCAGAGCGGCTCGGACTCCGAGCCACGCCTGTGAGGCTTTGGTCGTTTGAAAAGGCGCACGCGTTGTGAAGACCATACTCCGTACTCATGATTCCACTGCATGTTTTGACTTCAAGTTGTTTTGTTCATGCACTTTCTCTTCTTTGATTCATTTAAAGCCAAAATGGGAGAGCCTTTCTTCTCGGCAGGGCTCTGTAAGCGCTGGAGTCGGTTTCGTGCCACGCTTAGCAAATTGTGAGGTGTGGTGTGGTGTGGATTGTCGTGGTGGTTTGATTGACTGAAGGACTGTCTCCGTGATGTGGCGAGCAGCTTGCTCTACGCGAGCCTGATCTGTTCAGACGGTGAGGAACCAGGCGATTTGTCCATGAAATTTGGCATCCACTGCTTATCTCAACGCAGGTCTTGCAGCTTGGGGTATGTTGGGGCAGTTAGGTTTGTGCACAGCCAGTTTCTCTGGTCTGTTCGTCCTACATTCCGAATTCCGAGTGTACCAGCTAGTGGTGACACTTGGCAGTTCCATTCCATGCTTGTTGTTCTTCTCCAGTTGCAGCCAGTTGCATAAGAAGGTACAACAGACGCGACGATGAGCGCCATTCGGACGCTCTTGGACTTGGCAGAGGCACCCCTCTCCCAGTCGGCCACAATTGAGCTTGAAGCCTGAGGTAGTACGAGAAATCCATATGCAGGCTTGCAGCACCTGCAAGATCATCATTGGCCTCAGTCCAGAACACGCGAGCTGCGTGTGCCCCAAGCGCGAACGCAGGTAGGTCAGCAGCCTCACAGTTACCAGCGTCCACACTTGTATACCTGGTGGCGCACCTTGGGCAGGCCCGCATATCGGGCCATGCCTGCTGGGAAGGAAGGAAGGAAGGAAGGAAGGAAGGAAGGAAGGAAGGAAGGAAGGAAGGAAGGAAGGAAGGAAGGAAGAGAGATGGAGCCTGGAACAACAGAATGACAGAACCTCAGCGAACTGGATTCTGAGGTGAAGGTCTGGCGTGCTCATTGCTCAGGCTCGGGTTCCAGGTGCGGGGCCTTTCTTCATGTGTGGGCTCTGGAGGGCTCTTCCGAGAACGTGCCAAAAACAACACACAATGAGTCGCTTCTCTCAAGTTGGGGAGGTCATCTCTGTCCGGAAGTGCCCACTCTTGAACGACGCTGCGCCAGGGACCCGGCGAGTTCCCGACAGAGTGCATTAAAAAGAAGCCGCTCAAAAGCCTGGAGACGATGTAGCTGACTGCTCTTTAGATGGAAGCTGTTGAGGCTCTTGCTGGAGTTCGACTTGGGACCTCCGGCTCCTCTTCGAGGCCCTCGGTTTGTTTGAGAGCGAGAAAAAAAGGTTGCAACTAAAAACAAACTCGGATGAGAGGAACGCACGTGACGTCCTCGGACTACACCTGCAGCGGAACCTCCGAGTGCTCTACCTCCGCCGAGGAGTGCCTCTCTAGGACTTTAAGTTCATGAGGATGGTTCGACACTGTCGAGAGTTCCCTCTGCTCGACTTAAGACCCACGGAAGCATGTGCCAGAGGGCAAGCATGGGGCCACTTCGAGCATCTTCGAGCCATTTGGAAGGACCAGGACTGTCTCCAGTGCGATTTGGAGCGATGCCCCAAGCAAACGACTGGGCTTGTGCTTCTTCTCTCCTCTTAAACAAGTCAGTGAACCTTGCTCTGGAACAGGTGCCAAGATAGCGACTAAAGCTCTCATAGTGCCCTCGTCCAGCCTTCGTCAAAGCATGGGGCTCAGCTGGAGCGTTGCTTGTAATGAACGCCCAGGATCGCCTTGCAAAGCCACGAAGTGCTGTCATGTGCTGTTGGAGGCTGGCAGACTCTGGGACCTGTGCCGCAGGCCGAGCTACAAGATGCCGCGAGCATGGGAGAGTTCCACGAACTTTCGTGTTGGCTGTTTCAGTTGCTGCATCGCACCGTGTCGCATCTGTCAGTGCACGGTCTCTCGCCGTTGGCATTGGCCTCTATGTGGTTGAGCTGCGAGCCCAGATTCCGTTGAAGGACCTGCTGCCTGAAGCGCATTGGCATGGATGGCTTGCAATGGCTTGCAAATGCTTGCAAATGCATGCAAATGCATGCAATGGCTTGCAATGGCCTGCATGAGTTGTGAGGTTGCAACCTTGTCTGCTGTAAATGAATCGTCTCGCCGGGTGGTGAGGTGCACGATGGTGCACGTGCTTTCCACGAGATGTTGAGTCTGATCTTTCACCATGCACGTAGCCCCCCCCCGTGCACTCCAGGCGCTCATGGCGTGGAGCAAAGCGCAAAGCCTCTCCGAGGTAATGCACTCCACGGCAGGCCATGTTAAGTTCTCCTCCGGGGATTTGAAGCATGTCCCAGCATGTCACTCAGCCTGTGTAGGTTGGGTGTCTCGTCATTCGTCGTGGTGATGATACCTGTGCAGCACATGACCCGGTGCAGAGAGAGAGACGAAACCTCGCAACGACTGCAACGGCATCCCGAGCAGAGGCTTGGAAGTACAGGGACCGCGGCTGAGGCCATCTGCCAGGAGCTCTGTGCAATCAAGAAAACACATTCTCTTGCCGACTTACCGACCCGTCTCTGAGTCCTTTGTTTTTGGCACGAGCCTATAGCAGCCATTAGCAGCTGCTTTGTCTCATTTACCGATACTTTCGAGCCATGGCTCTGAAAGCATTCATGTCACTTGCCGTGCTAGTGCGGCTCATTGCTGCACGGTCTTGTGAGACCAATGGTTCTGGCTGTGCCGTTCAAGGACCTGCCCTGTTGCAGCGCCATCATGCCCACGTGGAGAGTTCAGTCCATGCTGAGACACGCGGGGGCCATGCTGAGACTCGTTACGGAGCAGGCGAAACCCCTGGTGACAAGATCATTTCAGCGGTGGACCAGTGCCTGAGCGGCCGAGTGGCAAGTGCTGTCGGGGATGAGAAGACGTTGCGGCGCCTGCACCTTGTCCGCACAGCGGAGATCTTGACGAGGCTCCTGGAATCCAACCTCAGCGTCTCGGTGCTCGGGCCTGGCTGGATCGACTCGATCGACTTTCAGCCCGTGATCGACGCGGCACTCGTTGCCGGCCGTGATGCGGCTCTCTTTCTGGCCCGGGAGGAGTTCGAGGAAGCGATCGCAGATTCCCTTGGCACCTCAAACTTAACAGAGGGAACGATTCAGGATTTCGCCAGCAAGATTACACGCATGGGGGAACTTTGTGGCCAGGGAGACGAGGCTCAGGCGCTTGCACGTGATGAAGTGGAGCTTCTTTCAGGCAACATCAGCATCGATGAGTCTCGTCTTGCGATGGAAGTTGCTGAGTATGTTGAAAACCTTTGTCGCTCAGAAGTCTTGGATGTGGACTTCTTTGTCGGCAAGCTGGTCATGACACCAGACTGCAGTCATCTCATGGACACTTCGCTTCTGTCTCACATGACGCGTGAGACCCACAAGTTGGAGTACTATGCAAAGTCGGCTCTTGTCCTCCACAGCTCAGAGAACAAGCTGGGCCATTACTTTGTGCAGCACCTGCGTGGTGAGGTCATGCCTGGAGATTCCCAACTTGAGCGTGCTCTCCTGGATGCTGCGCACTCTTCCGCACAACAGGGACATGTCCTGTCCCAATTGCGCTACATTGAGGACAAGCACTTCCAACATGTTTATGGTATGGCCTCAGCGAGGTACTGCGATGCAAACGCGGAGCTTCTCCAGAAGTCTCCGGGGCACTGGATCAGCAAGAACAGGGAGATCCAGGACTACGTGGATTGCCTGTGTATCCGGCATCTGCCAGCCCTTCTCTGTGACGCACAGCATCGAGACGCACTCGAGAAAGTCAGACCTATCTTGATGGCCAAGCTGACGGAAGCAAAGGCGAAGATGGACGTGACCACTGCGGCCACTGCGGCCACTGCACCAGTGTCACTGCTGCTCGGCTCAAAAGGTGTTATGTGAGCTGTTCCGTTTGCAATCACTTCTTCCGAAAACCTGGCTTTATATTTTCATAGATTTTCATAGAGAATGCGCAAATAGTCACTGGATCCTGCTTGCGCCCGAAAGGCCCGTAGCCTGCGCAAAAAAGAAGGGTGGAACAGGTGACTCCCTCATGCCAAATACTACATAGGGTTTGTGCTTAGACGAGCACGGACCTATAGGCTCTCGGCTCGACGGCCGCTCTTGTCCTCCACCGTTCTTCGTTTACCAGGTCCACGATCCTGCCCCCTTTGGCCCTGTATGGCCTGGGATCCACTCGTCCTTGTTCTTCCGCGTTGCGGAGTGCTTCTGTTCCCAGTTGCTGAGGTGTTTCTGCAGGCTGCCTTGAGTCGTGCCCTTGCAGGTCGCTTTCCTCCGTGTTTTTCTTGGGATCGAAGCCGGGGACGGTTTTAGGAGATGCTCATCAGCTGTCTGTGAAGCTGTGGAGGGCGCCCTACTGTGTACTGCTACATCTTTCTTAGAACATATTCGTCGTGCAGCTCCAATCCTGTGATCCATGCACCGTGCCACCTGCAAATTTGCCCCGTCAGGCCATGAACAGTCGTATGGCATGCAAAAGGGAGCTTGCGCTGCCCCAAACCGCCAAAACCGTTGGTGCATCTGAAAGTTCGTGTGTGTGTGTGTGTGTGTGTGTGTGTGTGTGTGTGTGTGTGTGTGTGTGTGTGTGTGTGTGTGTTTATGTGTGTGCAGTGGTACGGGACATGTTTTGTTTGGCAGTGGCAGGTTTGGGTTGGAAGTGCGTAAGCCCTATGTTTTTCACACCCTCTGATCCGTGCGGAGTTGCCAAGGTTGCAAAAGACTTCGGCTGTGGGCTTTGGGCCTTGCCAGGACTCCGACGGCAAACCGACCGGCGTGGACTGCCAGCTAACCATCAATGGCGTCACTATCAATCGAGAGAAGGAGATCCAGTTCGACCCCTACGCCATGATCGCCCCCTTCTTCGACCGAACGCAGAGTTGCATCGAAGGCTCTTGCACTGCCTGCATGGGCATCAAGCCAGGCGATCCTGTGGCCTTTTACCTCACGGTTGGCGCAGATGGAGCCTGCAACGACCGTGGCAGCCTCTATGCGGAGTTTCGCCTCTTCGCTCAAGTAGACATGTGCCTAGGTGGCGTGATCGGAGAGATTGCAGATGCGATCGGATGGGATGCTTGGCCCTGCTCGGCCTGCTCTTTTTCATGACCGTTGTGATGGTTGTTGTGCATTAGGTACTCTCATCTGCTCTGCCATACAACTTCCCCTTGGTTTCATTGAGGATCACTGCAACACGGTGGGCACCCTGGAGTACTTCCCGTTCATCAGTAAGATGACCGTTGCCATCGAGTTGCCGATCCCTCTTCCTTTTCCTCTGAGTGTCAGGGCATTCCTGGACTCCAATTTGAGACTTGCCGCGCTGACCAAGGTTGTTCGGGACTATTGCGATGGATTTTCCCACAGCCCCTCTGCACACTTCAACTGCCACTTCACCTTCCTCAATGCCCAGGGCTTTACCTTCGTAGACATCGGGGTCGAAATTCTACTTGGAATCAAGATCCCATTGCTCGGCACCATTGGCGATAGATTGGGAGCTACTTTTTTTTGGCTTTTTTGTGTGACACACGAACAACACGAAGCTCGTGTTGTTTTGTGATTTTAGTGCATTGTTCACTCGATGTAATTTGCTGCAAGAAGTGCAGTTGCAAAGGCCAATTGCAATTTGAACAAAACAACTTCTATATTCAGGCACTATTGGCAAGTGGGTGAAGATTTTGGGCTTTGGCGTGGCGGAGGAGGATAAAGCAAAGGAGATTGCCATGAACCGTGCGGATGTGACTGTTGTCTTTGTTGGTAAGTCCAGCCACAATCAGAAATGCGGGGTGACCTACTCCAGTGTGGATTCCGGGTGTCGTTTCGTGATTTTTTCTGTCCTTTTTTCCTTTCCGTGATACTTTGTAAAACCGCTCAGCTGTCTTCAAAGCCCAGCCGAGGATTGCGAGCCCTTCGCTGGTAACTTGGGCCACCGGGCGAATCCTTCAGGATCGGCGGACACCTTCGAGATTACTCCGGGGACAACCGGCCCGAGGTCTCTGTGCATTCGTCGCACAGACCGCGGCTCTATGGGCATTGATGAACATAATCTCGGGCTTGCGGGAAATTGTGGGTTCTTGGGTGCTGCTGGGTCGTAGAGTGTAGTGAGGGACGGAACCTCTCACGTGATCTTTTCTCATTACCCCCCCCCCCCCCTCTTGCGCGCCGAGATTCAGCGGGCTGGGGCATGAACCTGGAGATCGCCTGCAAAGTCGACAACTCTCAACCAGGAATCGGGATCATCACGCCCATTGGCACGAGCAAGCATGCAAAGAAGTGCCGGATCCCTGATGCGCCGGTGGATTGTGCAGCAAATTCTGGCAATCCAGGCAAGCGGATGGGCTTCGACAACCACCAGGAAGAGTACGTGGTGACGAAGGATGGCGACTACATCTGTGCCGAGGTTACGAACGCAAGGCGCCGCCGGCGAAGTGGATGGAGCCTCAACTTGGCAATTGAATGTCCACAAAATGGAGCGGATTGGGACTGGATTCCAATGACCGTCCGTATCGGACAAGGGCAGCACCATTCAAAATGTGTTTTTTCAGCCTACGAAATGCAGTGTGACCGAAATGCAGGAGATCCTCACAAGCGGTTGGACCACTACAAGGATGGGGTTGTGGACCAATTCGACATCACGACACATCATGCGGGGCGCTTTGTATGCGCGAAGCGTATTGATGGTAGCCGCCGCCGCAGGGGCAGCAAGTGGGACCAAGATCTGAAAATCCAGTGCAGGGCCAAGAGAAAGTTTTACAAGGATGTTCTGCAGGTCAGGATTGGAAGCCAGCGCCGCAGACAGAATGCCAGGTGTGTTGAAACACCGAATCGCACTCCTGTGGAATGCCTGAAGCAAGCTGGCGAAAGAGGCAAGCGGCTTAACTACGACAACAACGGCGACAACTTCGAGATCTACACGCTCGCCAGTTCAGGCCAGCCGTACCGTGTTTGCGCAAAGCGCATCGACAGAGGTGGAGGATGGGGTTTGGACCTTAAGGTGGCTTGTGGTGTCCTGTGAGCTGAAACTTGGGCTGGCGGCAATTGGCGGCCCGATTGGCTGTGTAAATCGCCTGGTCCAACAGCTGCAGGATTTCTCCCCCAAATTGTGTCCTCAGAGTGTCCAGTTGCGCCGACAGAAAGTTGGCTGTCAACTGACAGAACCCATTGCTCTGGAACACGGAAAAAGTTGGACACATGAGCAGCGAAACGTGTCCGCATCGAACGGCATTCACGGCAACCACCTTGCACGCGATGGGGGTCAAACTGCCTCACGTTTTGATCCACCGAGGCCTGGGCACAATTCGCTGAGGGGCGGCTCTTGCGACCTTCGAAAGTCCCCGTTTTTTGTTTGTTTCTGCTTGGTGTGTTTACGAAGTGTTTACATAGACATGTTAAGCCGACGTTACACGCATGCAGGTGTGGATGGGCCACGCATGATAGAGTCTGGTAGAGTGAATGCACGTCGGCTGTTAAGTGTTGTTGCAAGTCTGTGGCTCTTGTCTGGTGGCTGCGCTCTTCCTTGTCGCAAGATGGCAGCATGGCTAGCAGAGTCCATTATGTTTCATGTTTTGCTAAGTACCAGCAATCTGTTCAGCAGGTTCATTGAAGGTTGTCATGCTGCCAAGAATGCATGTGTACAGCCTTGAGAACAGGACGTTGTTTTGCAAAAGGTCGGTCTGCCAATGCTAGCACTCCCACGCATGGTCAGTTTTGGGCTTCTGCCGTGCCATGCTACATGAAGGAGTTCAGTGTTCACTTTGGCTGCCTTTGAGAGGCTCTCAGATAGCCGCACAGAGGCTCATGATCGAGGCCACGCCACTCTTCTACAGATCCGTTATCCAAGATGATGCGGGTGCACAGGGGCTCCAGCATTGACTTGAGACTGTCGGAGTGCCTTTCATGTGCAGCTGCCATGGTTGTGCCTGCCGATGGGACGGGCAAAATGCTGCCTCCTGGCGTGCCTGAGTCCAGCCCTGGCTGATCCGAGGTGCCGGATTGCTATGGGTAGGCGTGGAGGGGCTGTTGAGTGAGAGCGCCGCGACAGAGGCAGCTCAACCAGTGTGCTATTGAGTATGGTGCCAGCCTCAGACTTCACATAAGTGCGGCTTCGTGTGTGATGCTGGTTGTTGCTGGCTGCCATGCGACACTATGGAACATGGCTATCATCCCGAGGTGCTGCCTTCAAGAGCTTTCTGCGCGAGAGCGGGGCGTACATGCCAAACCACGACGTTGCACACCCAGTGCCAGGCAGTGCCAGGCAGTGCCAGGCAGTGCCAGGCAGTGCCAGGCAGTGCCAGGCAGTGCCAGGCTGCGCACATGTCCTTGAGACGGTGACCTCACGAAGCCGAGGTCGCGTCGCTGCAGTTGCATGGAAGGTTCCTGGATGCAGGAGAAACGCAGCTGTTGCGGTGCCGATCTCTGCGAGGCCGCGTGCTTCCCGTTTCTTGCTTCTTTAGCGGAGTAAGCCTGAGCTGTTCAGAGGTGGAGGCCGCTACTGGGACATTGAGCTACGCGGAGAGAATGCAGGGTGTTTCTTCGTTTCATTCGTTACGCTGCAAGATTGTGAGATGGTGCCGAGGTTGAAGCTGCATGAGTACTTGACGTCCGTCAACTGGACCTGGAGCTTCGACTCGAGGGAGCCCACGAAGAGTTCCTTTTTCAGAGAGAGTTCTCTCCTCTCAGTTCTCTCCTCTCAGGAGCTGATGCCCTTCGGCCTTTGCACACCGACCTCCTGCTCGACGGGACACCTGCGGACGGAGGTGGTCGCCGGGCAGCAAAATTGAAGATGCAAGAAGTCTGCGAAGTCTCCGCACTTTTACTTACTGTTACTCTTACTCTGTACTCTTACTTTTTTTAGGACTCTTAGTAAGACAAGTCCACAAGAGAATCACAGCAGATGTCCACATGGCTTGCGCGCCGTCGAGGTGCCCCGCTTTGTTGGCCACATGCTCGGCTTGAACACGACGACCGTCAGCCTGGGTGATACTCGGCTTGGAATTTGCGTCTTTCAGGCCTGTTGAGGCTTGCTACTGGTGATTTCTTGAGTGGTTCACCTCGATGCCTTGTCCACTACCAAGCCTTGCGACTATGATTAGCGTCGACATGTTCGGGAAGACGTGCCTGACACGATTGCCATGGCAAGACATGTCAGACATTTCCTGGATTGCACGTACCGTTTCCATCTGGGAAGCATGACACAAATATATCCCAGAGAGTATGTGCGTTTACCATCTCGGAAGCGTGGTTAGATGAAATTTCCTAAAACAAGTATTTTGGGAGGTTCCTAGCTTTTTGGGCGTGTATAAGGGGGTACCCTATGTTGAGAAATAGTCAGATGTCTTAGAGGACGCTTCGTTGCAGATCCTGAGTTTTCGGGGCTCGCACGTGCTTGCTACCGGACCAACATGGCCCCTTCATTTGAGGGCTTGGCCTGCAGGCGTCCCGACCACATCATTCCCCTCAGCCCCTAAATCTCAGCATGCACGCTTCCTTGAGAAGGGTTTAGGGTGGAGAGGAGTTGAGAATCCGAGAAGCTCATGCCCCGCACATGAAAGTGTGACTTTATGTGACTTAAGTGACGTGAACAGAAGTAATTCCCAGGCAAAGGACGAGCAGGCCTGCATTGCGTGTGTGGAGACCAGTGATGAGCAAGGCAGGCACGAAGCTGTCAGCAGCGCTAGACAACACACGAGCAAAATTGAGAAGGGGGTAAGGGCGGGGGGTCGGTCCACGCTGTGGTCCCTTGTGCTGCAACTGGACGCGCTCTCGCGCAGTCCACCACAGCACGTGGGACTCTGCTTTATTGGGGAGATCTAGCTCTTCAGCCAACGTGAACAACGTGATTTTCTAATTCTGTGAAACCTCGAGCAGTTTTTTGGCTCGATGTTTGAGTGTGTCGGGGGCTGGGCGGGCGCCTTTCCTGCGTTGTGCAGAATGGCAAAGCTTGGTTTGAACCTAAGGCAGCATCTGGTGCTGTGCTGGTGATTCACGAGCTTGCTCTTTGGCAGGTGCCCCTGGTAGCTGTTGCTTTCACGAGTGGCGTGCTACTGCGTAGACCTTGAGAGGAGCTCCCCTTGGACTTCGTGGAACGGCGCTGAGTTTGCTCTGCTCACGGCCATCAGGTCGCATCAAGCTGAATCAAGCGTGTTGAAGATTACTCCTAACGACTGAGATAGCCGGCATCAATCGATGCGGCACGACGTCCTTGCACTACAACTTGGGCCAACACCCAGAAGTGTCTTTCATGAAGACCAGCGGCGAGGCCCAAAGCGCCAAACAAAATGGCCTTGCTGTTGTCATGGGTGGTCTCGTTATGGCCTCTTTCTTCTATAGGACACAACCCTGATGCATCGGACCATCCTACCCCGCCGGGAGGACGTCGAGGCCCTTGCACCTTATATCACCCCAATTATGGCCTCATGGCTTCCCAAGTCTCACGCTTTTCGTTTTACGATTTTGCCTTCTATACTCCAGGCCTTCCGGAAGCGTGCAGGCACGACCCGCCGCTTGGCAGGACGACACATAGAACAGATTGCGGTGCTTTCCTGTGCTAGATCCGAGGACTGCTCGGTTATCGCCACTCTGGAATCTTCACCAGCAGCAGACTTCTGTCCTTTCGATGCAGGTTCATGCTGACGTTTTGTTGTGGGGACCTTGTTTCTTTTGTTGTTGTAGTGGCCGGGGAATAAGGGGGGGCAGGGAGGGGGTGTTCCTTGTCCATAGGAAAGCCTCTATTTGCGCTATATGTTCATAGGAGAACCTCTATTTTCTCTATACGTTAGTCGGACAACTTCTGTTTCCTTTGTTTTCTCGATACTTTAGCAGGAGAACTGGAAAAACCTTCATTTTCTGGAAACTGTCTATGTTCTCTTTATTTTCATGGGAATTGAAGGGAAGAAGGAAGGGACAGAAGAAAGAGGCAGAAAGAAGCAACAAATATCGAACGAAGGAAGGAACTAACGGGAGAAGAAAGAAAGACACAACGAAAGAAATAAATAAACGGCAAGGACAGACAAGAAAAGGAAACATAAAGAAAAGAAAGAAAAGAAAGACCAGAAGGCAAAGAAGTAACATGAGATAAAGAAACGAAAATGGTTGCTTCAAAGCATATGAGGAGGTCAGGGTTTCAGGCTGCTCCTTCTTCTCTGTGTCTCTCTCACTTCCCTCGAGAAAGGGCTTAAGGTTTGAGGGATTAGGGTTCGGAATTCAGGGTTCCAGTCATCTTTCCCCCCTCCCCCCCAGGTTTAGGGACTCTGCCGCCAGATCAAGGCCCAGAAGCCGAATTAGTTGGGGGAGGGGTTAGAGTAGGGGGAACGGATTAAGCCGTGCAAGCTTGCTTCAAGGCACATGAATCCTTTCGAAACCCATCGTGCAAGCATTGTGTTTGCAAATGGGGGGCCGGGGGCTGTGCCCCTCCCAACTCCCGCGCTTTTTTAAGCCGTGCAAGCTTGCCCCATCATGCGAGCATTACCAGGTTCCCTTGGCCCATTTGGTCCGCCTCTGGCTCCTCTACGTGGAGCCTTTGCTGTGGTGGTTGGTTACGGCCTTGCCGCTCACCTCTACCCAGTCTCTACCCTTGCATGCTGGTTGGACTTGCTTCAGCGCAACATTGCAAACGCTCACCTCGTCTCTCAGCGCTTGCTTGCTTGGGTTGGGTATATACCTTGGTCGTACCTGGTTTGGGGCAAGCCGGCTGGGGGTTTGGGGACGCATGATGTATGACAACGGCAACCTTATGCAGCAAATCTTTATGTTGGGGTGCACGACAGAGGGCACTTGGGCCCATCAGGTCAGCGGTGACATCCAGAGTGATTTTGCTCTGAGTCAACCTAGCGATACCGTCAAACGTGCATCGAGCTTGGCTGGCGTAAAGTTGTGGATGGCTGCGTGGGTCGCGCTCGCCTCACTCACTTTCCGCTCGAGTTTACGCCGCGGACCTCAGCCTTGTATGCGCCAGCCTTACGAACCTTTCAACAGCATGACAAACAAAATTGCATTTGCGAATGGAGGGGCCCCCCCCCCCCCCTCCCCACTCCAACCCCTGCTTTCTTCAGCCATGCAAAATTGCTTCAAAGCATCCATCGTCCGAGCAAATCGGGAGGGCTCCACCCGCCGCGCAACCCCCCCGCACCCGGCTTATGAAAAAATAGTGTTCCGATGAACATATAGAGAGAATAGAGATGTTCCTTTGAAAATGTAGAGAACATGGAGATGTCCTATTGAAACCTAGAGAAATTGGAGGTTTGTTTCAATGAAACGTCGAGAAAATGGAGGTTCGCCAAAATATAGAGAAATAGAGGTTTCCCTATTGACAAATGAAGCAAATAGAGGTCTCCTGTTGCAAGGAGATTTTCCGAATGCAACATTCAGAATGCAGAAAATCGAGGTCCCAAAAGAAAACCAATCAAGAAACTCCACCCGTGCTGTTGCTGTTGTTGTTGGCACTCTGAAGAGCGCGAAGGCACGGACTTCGCAGCCACTCGGCCGACACATGGCCCGCAGAGACCCGCAGAGACCCGCAGTAGCCCGTCGCGCCCCCTGAAGCTTTGGTGGCCTTCGTTCTGCCGAGGAATCCCTAACCTTCGGGCTCTCCTTGTCCTCTGCGAGCCCATGGGCAGGGACACCGAGAAGATCAGAGAGATCACGTTCCGTTGGCGCGAGTGCCGAGGTCGGATCGAACGCTTCTTCCTGGTGTGGGGCCCGTCAAATGGCTGCCAGTGTTGCCTCAGCTTCACCTCATCAGCGTCTCTCAGGTGGACACGCTTCAGCCTTGCCGAGACCTCCGAGACTTGAGCCAGCTGGGGAGCCAAGATGAGGCAACCATTTGAGCGAATCCGTGAAGATAGCAGGGATGGCGATGGCGTGTTAGTTGGTGCTACGGTGTCGCTCCAGTTGCACCCTTCCGCCGCATAGCCCCCTTCACAAAGAGACTGTCGCACAAGCCCCCGGAGGACAAGCAGGGTTCCCCAATCGACGCCTTACAGGCGGGACAATCATGTGGGTAGAGTAGGCTGAAGAGAGGCCTTGCGCAGTTCTGTCAGTACGATCGCAGCAGGCGCCTATTGTCACGGACTGCTTGATGCGTAGCCACATCCACCCTTGTGCAGAGGGCACGCGGAAGTACAGCGACGCTGAGCACCATCTGATCCCCTTGCCAGGCACCGTCAACTCCGCCGCGATGCTGGACCAGTGTGGCAGCAGCGTTGGAGGACCCGGACGGCGGGTTCCAGTCTGAGGAGCACCGCCGAAAGTTGCAGAGCAACCCGACGCTCGTCATCCCAAGAGAGTTGACTTGCTTTTGCCAGCTCTTTGGCTCTCCGTCCGTCCATCTTTGTCCGTCCGTCTGCCTGTCAGTCCGGCTGTGTCTGTCACTCTCTCTGCCATCGTGGCGGCTGCATACTGCGAAGCGTTCTGTCGCGACCACTTGGCTTCCGCCTCAGCAGCCGGGCCCAACGCGTGGTGTAGCATGCGCAACGGTCTAGGAGTGGTTTCAAGGGGGTCCTGGAGGGTTACCAGTTTCGTGTTTTTTGGCGCGGTCTCTTTGGGAGGAGCCCACTGGAACCCCCGCGGCATCGGACTTTGGCGGCTTGGGGGGGGGGAACAGAAAGTTTTTTGGTTGGGCCCGTTAGGCGTTCTCCAAGCAAGTGCCGGGTTCACGAACGTGCTCCGGGGTCACCCTTAAACCTCAACCCCGCCGTTGAGGCGTTCTGCCGCTCGCGGCCTGTGCTTGTTGTTTCTGTGCATGTACGCCCTGAACCCTAGGCCCGTTTAGGGCTCAGGATGCGTTGGCCAGTTGAAGTTGCAGCTCGTGTTTGCTCGGGAGGCTTGAGTGACAAGCCTTGGGAAACTATGGACAAAGCAAGGCATCTGTTTGTGGCTGCTATGCTGCTGCACTTTGCTGCCTTTGACTCATGCCGGGGCGTCGCAGCTCGTGTGATGCTGGGAGTTTGCTTCGGGGTTCTTGTGGCCCTGCTTTCGGCTTGCTCTGCCCAATGCACGACTCGCCAGTCCGCTATCGCATGTTGCATGCGAAGCCAACAAATGCGTGCGCCATTTGGTTCGCCTGTAATCTGCTTGTGAGCCTCTCCTGTTTTGCTCGCGCACCGCCCTCAGAAGTAGGTGTGGTTGAGAGCCTTGGAACGTTTTCTGTTGGAGCCGTTCATTATCCGAATGGCGCCCCTCATCAGCTTGCATTGTAGAGTTGCAACTCCTGTCGTGACCACTTGGCCAAGCGGGATTCTCTCGTTTCTTGTGTGATCCCAGGAATGCCGCGCAGCACCCGCTTCTGGAGCGCCATCTGATCGGCTCATTCCTGCCAGGCCATCAGTGAGACAGTACCATGTCATACTTCTTCTGGCGTCCTTGCGGAATATTTTCCGCATTCGCTCTGCAGAGTTGCCCGAGGTATTCGGAAGCTCTTCGGCGATCGGCTCCTAATGGTTTATCAGGACAGGGGATGCCGACACAAGCCGACATCCGGGATTCCAGGGCGTGACGTGGGCCCGAATTCCCCTCCAGGACTCTCTCCGCCACAATGCCAGAGAGACCTGGAATCGCATGGCCGCTTTCTTGGGCGCATCCCCTTTTCACGCGCAGGCTGGAACATGCCCCCACAAGCCGCTGGGCCCTGTTTTGCAATCCCGACCGGCTTGCCGTGTGCAGGCCGACTTCCCGCAGAAGAGCCTGGGCAGGGGTGTAGCCGGGTAGCCGTGCGGTTTCTGCATGTGCAAGTTGATTGCAAGCGCGTCCCGGTGCCAAGCAAGCGGTACCGCACTGCAGGATTTCTATCTGCAACCGACTCAGGAACACGCTCCCGGGCCACCGCACGGACCTCTGTGCCTCGGATTCGAGAACAATTGAACAAATAAGAAACGAATGAATGCCACAAGCATGGCTGTAGGAACATGATGGGAACATTGGGTATCACGCTCGACATGAGAGCAAAGCGGAAGAAAGGCAAAGACAAGGCACAACAAGAACACGAACAACAAAGCAACACAAAGGCTACAACGCCTCGCTGGTGCAGCGCTTCAAGTGGCTGCTGGAGCCCGAGTACCGCGTGCGCCCCTCGGGTTTCAGGGAAAGGGTATAGCGAGGGTAGGGTCAGGAAGGGTAGGGAAGGGGTAGGGGAGGGTAGGTTAAGGGGTAAGGGGGGTAGGGTGAGGGAGGGAAGGGTGTGGCTCTCATCTTGCGCAGGCCATCGAAGAGGCGGAGCCTCCGGTTCTAGCTGTCTAGCTGCTGCGGTGCCGCGTGGGAGGAGTTGCAGATGTCATGCATGCCTTATCATGCCTTCATGCATGTTCGCGATGTTCGCGGCCATGGCTGCTCGAACTCGTGAGCCCCAAGATGTAGGGCCTCGGGGGCCGGGGCGCGTCGGCCTGGAGTCATTGCTGCGTTTTGCTGCCCATGTTGGCCTGCGACGCGCGCTGTGGAACATGTGCTTGCGAAGACCGGCCGAGCGGCACCGTGCGCATCGACTTGGCAGAGCTGCTCCATCGCGGAACATGTGGTGTGCCTGCGGAAGCTACGCCGCCCGAGCCACGCGACGGAGCAGCCAGCCCTACACTCAAAGAAGAACTCGTCACCAGACAGAGCTCAGGAGTCTCACAACTGCACAAGCTGCAAAGCCCACGTGAGGAGCAAGCTGAGGAAGCAGACCCTCACTTTCGGCTGCAGCTTAGCAGCTTCCTTGAGAAGCATGGCTTCTCCGGAATCAATGTTCCCAGGCGGTCATTCCTGCGCAAGACTTTTGCTCTGCACAAGGCTGCCGAGCTGGCAGACGTAGCGACGACCACTTTGCTGCTGGCTGAAGGCGCAGACGTGTCGCTCCGGAACTCTTCTGGCAGGACTGCGGCAGATGTTGCAAAGAAGAAGGACAACTGTGGCTCTCACGCAGCAGTCTTCAATTTGCTTGTAGAAGCTGGAACAACACGGGCCTCGACCAAAACCCAGCCGCATCCACCGTTTGCCAACAAGCCCTGAATTCAACTTGCACGCAGGTGCTGCATTCGCAAGTGTAAGGCGCGGCACTGGAATCTCCGGGCTGTGCATCTGATTTTTGAGGTACACGTCCCAGAGGACTGGCGCGGCCTAAAAGCAGAGTTTCGGCGTCGGTGTTCCAAACATCCCTCCGTGCCAACACTCGCTGGGGCTAGAGCTTGCATCGTGAAGACAGCTCTGCGAGTGCATCTCATTCGAAGGGTATGTTTGCGTGTTTGAATGGCAGGCCTTGAAGACGTCTGGCGAAGCTGTTCCGTTGGGGCTCCAGCAACGGCAGACCCGCTGTGAGCGGGATGGATTGACAAAGCCGCGGCGCCGAAAATGATTTGCGATGCTCTAGAGGTCGGTTGAGTCTTCTTCCCGGTTGTGTTGTTGGCTGAGTTTCTGCGTTGTGATTTGCTAAGACCGTCGTCCTGTTGTTGTCTTTCTCGCTTGCGTCATTTGTGGTTTCGTTATGTCTCTAGCGACTCGGGGAAGCACAGCAAACGCGCGGCCCGCCCATGGAAGGCCCTTAGAAGGAAGGCACATCGATGCGCGTCGGAGCCATAGTGGGCTGTCGGAGCTGTCGGAGCAGGGAAAAACGGGATCGATCACACGCGCATACCTGAATATGTATATATGCATATATATCCGCCGACCCCTGCTTTAGCGGGGGAGGCGTCAGTGAAGACCTATTTGCCCTCATGCCCAAACCCCCCCGCCCTCACCCCTTACCCTCGACCTCACCCTTACCCTCTTAGGGGCTCCAGTGCATGCCCCCCCACCTCCCCCTAACCTTTTACTGGAAATGAAGTGTTTTAGGGGCTCCAGTACATGCCCGGACCCCCCCCGCCCCCCCCGCCCCCCCCCGCCCACCCCGCCCACCACCGCCTCCCCCCGTTTTCACCCCTTCACCTCTGCCCTCAGGGTTTCGAGTTTAAGGTGTGAGGTTTAGGGTTTAAGGTTGCGCGCCAACTCCCTGCGCGTGAAGACTCAATGTTTCGCCCCCCCTGAACTCTAGAACCTATGGATATATGTAAGCGCAATGTAGGGGGTGTTTGTGTCCCTTCCGAGCCTAAACCAAGCCCTGCGCCCTAAACCCTAGGGCCTCCTGTCGGGGTCGGCGGCATTGGCGGTAGCCATTAAATAATAAATAAATAAAAAATATATATATATTATCCACCCTATTATAATTTATATAATGTATATGATATTAGATATATATATATATATATACTATATATATATATATATATATATATAACGTCACGCACGCAGCCCGCGCGCACAGCACTGCACACGACACACGACACACAGATCACACACACAGCAGGAGACACACCACACACACACACACACACCACCATCAACACACACACACACACACACACCAACAACACATGCACACATCACACAACACACACACACACACAACACACACAACACACACACACACACATCACACACACACCACACACACACAAGCACACACACACACACGAACCACACACACAACAACACACACACACACACACACACGAACACACACACACGAACACACACACACACACACACACACACACACACACACACACACACACACACACACACACACACACACACACACACACACACACACACACACACACACACACACACACACACACACACACACACACACACACACACACACACAGAAACACACACACAGCACACACACACACACCCACCCCCCACACAGGCACACACACACACACACACACGACACACACACACACACACACACACACCAACACACACCCACAGCAACACACACATCACCCCCCACGAACCACACCCCACACACACACACACGCACACCACAGCACACACACACCCACACACACGACACTCATTCAAACAGGCAACCACACACACATACACACAGCACACACACACCACTACACCACCCACACACACACACAGCCACCACACACACATAAACACAGCACATAACACACCACACACACAACACACACAGCATCACACACACCACACACACACAACACACCCCACACACAACACACACACACACACACACACACACACACAACACACACACACCACACACACACAACACACACACACACACACACACACACACACACACACACACACACCCGCACACACACACACACACAACCACACACACACACACACACACACAACACACACAACACACACACACACACAACACACACACACACACACCCACACACACACACACACACACACACACACACACACACACACACACACACACACACACACACACACACACACACACACACACACACACACACACACACACACACACACACACACACACACACCACACACACACACACACACACACACACACACACACACACAACACACACACACACACAACACACACACACACACACACACACACACACACACACACACACACACACACACACACACACACACACACACACACACACACACACACACACACACACACACACACACACACACACACACACACACACACACACACACACACACTCACACACTTACTTTACGTCACCTGATCGTGATCTTCGACGGTGAACATGCATCTCTCTGGTGAAGGAAAGACAGAAAGCCCGCTCCAGAATGGTCACTGCATTTTGGCTGTCAGTCTTTGAGATGCTCTCAGATAGCCGCACAGAGGCTCATGATCGAGGCCACGCCACTCTTCTACAGATCCGTTATCCAAGATGATGCGGGTGCACAGGGGCTCCAGCATTGACTTGAGACTGTCGGAGTGCCTTTCATGTGCAGCTGCCATGGTTGTGCCTGCCGATGGGACGGGCAAAATGCTGCCTCCTGGCGTGCCTGAGTCCAGCCCTGGCTGATCCGAGGTGCCGGATTGCTATGGGTAGGCGTGGAGGGGCTGTTGAGTGAGAGCGCCGCGACAGAGGCAGCTCAACCAGTGTGCTATTGAGTATGGTGCCAGCCTCAGACGTCACGCATGATGCTGAGGACCCTGGGACTGGTGCTGAACGTTAGTCACTGAGGCGCTGCCTTCAAAAGCTTTCTGCACGAGAGCGGGGCGCACATGCGAAACCACGATGCTGCATCCCCAGCGCCAGGCTGCGCACATGTCTCTGATCGTGCGCAAAGCCGAGGTCACGTCGTTGCAGTTGCATGGAAGGTTCGTGGATGCCGCAGAGACACAGTTGCTGCGGTGCCGATCTCTGCGAGGCCACGAGCTTGCGACTTGTTGCGCGAATTTCTTGGGCAAACTTGTCGGCATGTTCAACGTCGTTTGGGTGTGGAGGCCGCTACTGGGACATTGAGCCTCGTGCCCGAGATCAAATCAACGGAGGGGGCTCTTCAGAATTTCATCGCTTTGGAAACGCTGTGCTGTGCCGAGGCTGAAGCTGCATGAGTACCTGACGTCCGTCAACTGGTCCTGGACCTTTGAGTCTGGGAAGGAGCTGCCTCGTCTGCCTATGTTTCCTAGCAACGGAATTCGGGGCTCCAAGGGTTGCAGAGGCGCTGATGCCCTTCGGCCTTTGTGCACCGACGTCCTGCTCGACCGAACACCTCCGGACGGAGGTGGTCACTGGACGGCAAAATGCCAGATTGGTGCAATGAACCGTTTGTGTTTGGGCAACCCTTATCGCTATAGTTACACATGGCTTGCCTTTGCCATGTGACTGAGGTGCCCCACTTTGTTGGGAACGTTCTAGGCTTGAACACGACGAGCGTGAGGCTGGGTGATCCTTGGCGTGGAATTTGTTGTTCAGGCCTATTGAGTTCAGCTACTGGTGACGTTTGTTGACCAGGATGCCTTCTCCACTATCAAGCGGTGTGACCATGATTGGTGGTGTGACTGTGATTAGTGGGTTCGCTATATCGCGATAGTCGGGAAGATGTGCGTTGCCTTATGATGCCCATGGCGGACAAGGTCTGAGAAGCATGGTTGCGTTGGTGGGGAAGCTTCCGTGAGACACGAGGTTTTCGGGGATCAGCGAACTCTGGAAGATGCGGCGTGCTAGCACTTGCCAGCTACGGGCGACGTAAGTAATTGCGAAATTGTCAATTTTGAGGAAGAGCCTTCGTCAAATCCCCTGCGATAGCTGATGGGGGATGCGAACCACTCGGATCGGCGCAAAGCGACGCAAAATTGAGAAGGGGGAAAGGGCGGTTGGTCCACGCTGTGGTCCCTTGGGCTGAAGTGGACGCCACGGGCTCGGTGCAAGCTACAAACATAAGCCAAGTTCGGGAGAACGACGTGAACAGTACGTGAACATCGTGATTCTCGAATTCTGTTCAACTGGGAGCAGCTTGTTGGCCCGATGTTTGATGTGAGTTTGTTGGGCGCCGGACGCCTCTCCCGCGTTGTGCAGAATGACAGGGCTTGATCTGAACCTAAGGCAGCATCCGGTGCTGTGCTGGTGATTCACGAGCTCGCTCTTTGGCAGGTGCCCCTGATAGCTGATAGCTGTTGCGTTTACGAGTGCCGTTGTTACTGCGTAGACTTCGAGAGGAGCTCCCCTTGGACTTCGTGGAACGGCCCTGAGTTTGCCCTGCTAACGGGCATCAGGTAGTGAAGCGCATCAAGCGTGTTGAAGATTTGCTCCTCACGACTGAGATAGCCGGCATCAGTCGATGTGGCACGACGTCCTTGCATTACAACTTGGGCCAACACCCAGAAGTGTCTTTCATGGAGACCAGCGGTGAGGCCCAAAACGCCAAATTCGGGCTCGCTTGTGTCATGGGTGGTCTCGATATGGCCTCTTTCTTCGTCTTTTTCTTTTCTAGGACACGACTCTGATGCATCAGACCATCCTACCCCGCCGGGAGGACGTCGAGGCGTTTGCACCTCATATCACCATAAGTATGGCCTCATGGCTTCGGAAGCCTCGCGCTGTTCGTTGCACGTTTTTGCCTGCGGGCTTTCCTGCGCACTTCTGGATCCAGGTCTTCCGGAAGCGTGCCGGAGCGACTCGACGCTTGGCAGATCGTGAGCTGGGACATTTGCCCTGAGTGCCTTCCTGTGCTAGATCTGAGGACTGCTCGGTTATCGCCGCTCCGGGATCTTCACCAGCAGCAGACTCCTGTCCTTCCGGCTTAATCCATTTGCATCGATGCAGGTTCATGCTGACGTTCTGTTGTTGTTGGCACTCTGAAGAGCGCGAAGGCACGGACTTCGCAGCCACTCGGCCGACACATGGCCCGCAGAGACCCGCAGAGACCCGCAGTAGCCCGTCGCGCCCCCTGAAGCTTTGGTGGCCTTCGTTCTGCCGAGGAATCCCTAACCTTCGGGCTCTCCTTGTCCTCTGCGAGCCCATGGGCAGGGACACCGAGAAGATCAGAGAGATCACGTTCCGTTGGCGCGAGTGCCGAGGTCGGATCGAACGCTTCTTCCTGGTGTGGGGCCCGTCAAATGGCTGCCAGTGTTGCCTCAGCTTCACCTCATCAGCGTCTCTCAGGTGGACACGCTTCAGCCTTGCCGAGACCTCCGAGACTTGAGCCAGCTGGGGAGCCAAGATGAGGCAACCATTTGAGCGAATCCGTGAAGATAGCAGGGATGGCGATGGCGTGTTAGTTGGTGCTACGGTGTCGCTCCAGTTGCACCCTTCCGCCGCATAGCCCCCTTCACAAAGAGACTGTCGCACAAGCCCCCGGAGGACAAGCAGGGTTCCCCAATCGACGCCTTACAGGCGGGACAATCATGTGGGTAGAGTAGGCTGAAGAGAGGCCTTGCGCAGTTCTGTCAGTGCGATCGCAGCAGGCGCCTATTGTCACGGACTGCTTGATGCGTAGCCACATCCACCCTTGTGCAGAGGGCACGCGGAAGTACAGCGACGCTGAGCACCATCTGATCCCCTTGCCAGGCACCGTCAACTCCGCCGCGATGCTGGACCAGTGTGGCAGCAGCGTTGGAGGACCCGGACGGCGGGTTCCAGTCTGAGGAGCACCGCCGAAAGTTGCAGAGCAACCCGACGCTCGTCGGCTCGTCCATTCCTTCTCATTCTTCCCAAGAGACGTCCGAGCCTGTCTGTCAGCCTGTCTGTGTGCGTCCCTCTCTCTGCCGTTGTGGCGGCTGCATACTGCGAAGCGTTCTGTCGTGACCGCTTGGCCAAGCGGGATTCTCTCGTTTCTTGTGTGATCCCAGGAATGCCGCGCAGCACCCGCTTCTGGAGCGCCATCTGATCGGCTCATTCCTGCCAGGCCATCAGTGAGATAGTACCATGTCATACTTCTTCTGGCGTCCTTGCGGAATATTTTCCGCATTCGCTCTGCAGAGTTGCCCGAGGTATTCGGAAGCTCTTCGGCGATCGGCTCCTAATGGTTTATCAGGACAGGGGACGCCGACACAAGCCGACATCCGGGATTCCAGGGCGTGACGTGGGCCCGAATTCCCCTCCAGGACTCTCTCCGCCACAATGCCAGAGAGACCTGGAATCGCATGGCCGCTTTCTTGGGCGCATCCCCTTTTCACGCGCAGGCTGGAACATGCCCCCACAAGCCGCTGGGCCCTGTTTTGCAATCCCGACCGGCTTGCCGTGTGCAGGCCGACTTCCCGCAGAAGAGCCTGGGCAGGGGTGTAGCCGGGTAGCCGTGCGGTTTCTGCATGTGCAAGTTGATTGCAAGCGCGTCCCGGTGCCAAGCAAGCGGTACCGCACTGCAGGATTTCAGTAATTTCAGTATCTGCAACCGACTCAGGAACACGCTCCCGGGCCACCGCACGGACCTCTGTGCCTCGGATTCGAGAACAATTGAACAAATAAGAAACGAATGAATGCCACAAGCATGGCTGTAACATGGGAGTTCGCAGTGCCAAGAGAAGAATACAGAGCACAGAACAAGTAGGAGCATGATGGGAACATTGGGAGCACAAGGCACAACAAGAACACGAACAACAAAGCAGAACAAAGGCTACAACGCCTCGCTGGTGCGGCGCTTCAAGTGGCTCCTGGAGCCCGAGTACCGCGCGCGCCCCTCGGGTAGGGTCAGGAAGGGTAGGGAAGGGGTAGGGGAGGGTAGGGGAGGGTAAGGGCTAAGGGGTAAGGGGTAAGGGGGGTAGGGTGAGGGGAGGGGAGGGCGTGGCTCTGCTCTCATCTTGCGCAGGCCATCGAAGAGGCAGAGCCTCCGGTTCTAGCTGCTGCGGTGCCGCGTGGGAGGAGTTGCAGATGTCATGCATGCCTTATCATGCCTTCATGCATGTTCGCGATGTTCGCGGCCATGGCTGCTCGAACTCGTGAGCCCCAAGATGTAGGGCCTCGGGGGCCGGGGCGCGTCGGCCTGGAGTCATTGCTGCGTTTTGCTGCCCATGTTGGCCTGCGACGCGCGCTGTGGAACATGTGCTTGCGAAGACCGGCCGAGCGGCACCGTGCGCATCGACTTGGCAGAGCTGCTCCATCGCGGAACATGTGGTGTGCCTGCGGAAGCTACGCCGCCCGAGCCACGCGACGGAGCAGCCAGCCCTACACTCAAAGAAGAACTCGTCACCAGACAGAGCTCAGGAGTCTCACAACTGCACAAGCTGCAAAGCCCACGTGAGGAGCAAGCTGAGGAAGCAGACCCTCACTTTCGGCTGCAGCTTAGCAGCTTCCTTGAGAAGCATGGCTTCTCCGGAATCAATGTTCCCAGGCGGTCATTCCTGCGCAAGACTTTTGCTCTGCACAAGGCTGCCGAGCTGGCAGACGTAGCGACGACCACTTTGCTGCTGGCTGAAGGCGCAGACGTGTCGCTCCGGAACTCTTCTGGCAGGACTGCGGCAGATGTTGCAAAGAAGAAGGACAACTGTGGCTCTCACGCAGCAGTCTTCAATTTGCTTGTAGAAGCTGGAACAACACGGGCCTCGACCAAAACCCAGCCGCATCCACCGTTTGCCAACAAGCCCTGAATTCAACTTGCACGCAGGTGCTGCATTCGCAAGTGTAAGGCGCGGCACTGGAATCTCCGGGCTGTGCATCTGATTTTTGAGGTACACGTCCCAGAGGACTGGCGCGGCCTAAAAGCAGAGTTTCGGCGTCGGTGTTCCAAACATCCCTCCGTGCCAACACTCGCTGGGGCTAGAGCTTGCATCGTGAAGACAGCTCTGCGAGTGCATCTCATTCGAAGGGTATGTTTGCGTGTTTGAATGGCAGGCCTTGAAGACGTCTGGCGAAGCTGTTCCGTTGGGGCTCCAGCAACGGCAGACCCGCTGTGAGCGGGATGGATTGACAAAGCCGCGGCGCCGAAAATGATTTGCGATGCCTTAGCACACGCTTCCAAGCTGTATCAAGTCAATCTTCTGTTGGGTGTTCTTCCAGGTTGTGTTGTTGGTTGAGTGCTTGTGTTGTTTGGCTTGCATCCTCTACGCTTCGTTATGTCTCTCACATAATCTTGGGAAGCCCGGCAAACACACGGGCCGCCCATCCAAGGCCTTAGAAAAAAGAAGGCACATCAATGCATGTCGAGCTCTCGGAGCTGTTGGGAGCTGTTGGAGCTGTCGGCAAGAGTCTGGAATCGCATCTGGCATGCAAGGAGCCGAAGGCAGTTTCATGATGTCTATTCCTGGCCAACCGAGCCTTGCTTGGCTTCATCCTGGTAGCTTTGTCGCTGTCCTGTGTCATGTTCAGCAAATTCAGGCTCTTGCGTTACCAGCAAATCTTTAAACGCAACCGAAAAAACGCGAGAGGGCAGTTCAGTCGGAGAGGGGTAGGCGGGTGAAGGGTGGGCTTGGGAAGCGGGAGAGAGCCGAAAACTTTCCATCATTTTTGGCGGCCCCCCCAAAGGCAAGCAGGGGGGTTTTGGGGCCAGGAGGGTACTCCGAACGGGGCAGAAGCCGACGTGTCCGATTTGCAAAGCTTTCTGGCATGTCTGGTGCCTTGAAGCAGCACTCTGGCAGGAGGGGGGCTTGGGATAAGACGTCGCCACTGAGTTTGGTTTAGGTCCACTCGCGCTCAGTTTGGACGCCGACGAGTGTTAAGCCTGCAAAGCTAGCCAAACAGGTTTTTTGAGGCTTCAGCCCATAGATACCCGCCATGGGCATCGCACCCCGGCGGGTGCGGCAGATCTGTTACAGACAAGTGACAGAATTAGTCTTTGCGGGGTTGCTGCCAAGCGAAGCAAAATTTCCTGATCCCGCTTTCAAGCCAGCTGGTGCGCTCGAACTGGGGATGAGTAGTTGAATGAAGTTGATCGAGGTCTTGCGACTGTTCAGGGCGCTTCATATGGTGATTTTCAATGAAGTGGCAGCGCTCACTCCACATGCGGCAATGCTTCGTGTCTGCAAGCCGGAACTCCCTTCCATGTATCGCACCTCGCAGTGCGGATGATGATGATGATGCTGCTGCTGATGATGATGATGATGATGATCCCTGACATTGAAAGAAGATTCTTGACACACACACACACACACACACACACACACACGCATTCGAAGAAAGTCCAGTGCTAGCTTGAAAGTCCCGTCCGAAACGAGGAAGTCGTCATGCTCAAGGCCGCTTGAGCAGAAGTCTATGCCTATGCTTCGATTGTGACATTGTAGCACGTGGAGCATTCCTAAGTGGGCTTCGACCCTGCAAGTTGTAGTGCCAGCTGCAAGTTTGGTTTCTAACGAGTGTAGCTCCGGATAGCAACAACATTACTGTTCGTACTCTTCCAGTGTGAGACAAAGTGTACAACAACTACACTCCCTTGTTTGGTAGCCATGCTCTTGACTGTGGCGCGACGGCTCCGATGGCTGTGAAAGCGAAGCCCTTGTTGAAGCAGCTCGGACTGCACACGTGCGCAATTGCACGTGGCTGGGGGTTTCTACGGAGCGCTTTAAGCAGCCCAGTAGAAGGTCCCCCGTAGGCCCCCTAGGTCGCTCTACATGTCGCATAGGATGAATAGGATGACGAAACACCAAAGAGTGCGACTTTGAGAGCCCTTTTGGCACCACTGAGCCGACTTATCCCCTCTTGAGCAAATTGGCAAAGAGGTTTCCAGCCGATTCTGCCCTCCTCGTTCCCGAGGAGCGCGTCAGCTCAGACAAAAAGGTTCGATGTTTCGTACTTGTTCTGCTGAGGGGGTAGACCTCGTGCGGGAGCTCAAAGGACGCCATAGCGCTTCATGGTGTACACGTGCACCAGTTGCGTGGCCCGTGCACTCGTGAGTCGCTGAATCAGCGCGTAGGACGCATCTGTCCAGTGATCTTTGTTGGGGATGGCCGCGCTGGAAAGTCCTACCTGGCATCCTGCTTGGTGGGCGCTGAGGAGCGGCATTCTCGATGCTTTCACAAGACTCGCAGCCATGTGAGCTTTTTGGCTCTTGGCTTTCGTTGCGATCTGCTGAACCGATCATTTTTGTGGATTCTTGATTCCTTGTATTTCTGAGAGGATGTCTTCGTCTCCAGCGACTCTGCCGAGTCCGTCACGGAAGGCATCGATGCCGTCGCGGTGCCAGTGGCCATGCTGAGGGACCTTTCGGACCTTTCGGGTCTCGTTGGCCACGAGGACTCACGGATTCAGATTGCGCCGGACGTGGCATCTTGCGTTCTAAAGCAGCTGTGTATAGCAGGATGACGAGTCGCTACTGATCTTGGACTGCGAAGGCGGCAACAATGCCATGGTGCCTCAGAAAAGATTTCGGTCATCCTTGGTGCATGTTTCCAACTTCGCAGTTTTTCCACGAGCTACGACAGTCAGGCTGCCATCCGGACTTTGGTGAACGTTTTTGGGCTACTACTTGGGAGCCAGGTTCCTGCAAGAAGTGGAGCTCAAGTGAGTTCACGACTGTTGTTGTCGCTGTCTGAAGGTTGTCTTTGTGGCCAATGGCATGGCCCAGCCTCCGTGCTTCACCGTGCAAAGCACTGTTCTGCTGCTTCATGCCCTCAAGTACCCTCAAGTGATCCAAGTGCCCCCACTGCTACGTGACTGCGTAGCGACCACGTGCTACAGAAGCCAGGCGACGGAACAGGCACTGCAGACCTTGGGCCTATCCCTTAGAGACAGTTCGGTGCCTCCATGCTCAATGTGCACACATGTCCCCTCTACTGACATGATGCACGGCAGCGGCGATAGTGCGGCGATGCGTGTTCTTCCGTGTGTTGCACGAATGCACACGGCCTCTGCCCTCTGAGGCATGTCCTTGGCCGCACGATCTCTACTCCGCCTGGAGTCCTGCAAGCTGCCGGAGCAGGACAGGGGCCCGAAAACATCAGAAAACCCTCAGAAGTTCAGTTTGCTGCATGCAATGTCTTCAGTGATGAGGAGCTGGTTTTCGTGGTAAACAAGAACACCCTTCGCTATGAAGGCTCCGCCCTGGAGAAGATACTGGAACAGAAGTTCCAGCCTGATGACCCAGGTCGGCAGGACTGGTGACAGAATGTGCGAACGCTGTAGTGAAACCCGCGATGTGGACCATGTATTTTTGAGAGCATGGAGGAGCTGCGAGATACCGTCAGGGAGTGCTTCCCTCACAGAAGTTTCTTCACAGCCGGATCGCCGGATACATCGGATACTGGGGATCTGCATATGCCTTGTCATGTAGCCCAGGTCCCGTTGATGGGCATGCCGGCTTTTGATGAGTCCTTGCGTGCCTTGCGCTCCCACCTGGTCAGCCATCGCAAGCCGCTGGAAATGGGAGGCATCTTTGTGAACGGCAGGCAGGTGGTGTTGGGCAAGTTGGAACTGCTCGAGTCAAGCCCAGTCACACATGGCATATTGTCTAGGCACCTTGCGGGAGTGATGGAGCTTGTGGTGGCAGAGGTGCAGAAGTCGCAACAGGTGAACGTGCCCTCCATGAACCGGTGCCCCAACAAACACAGGGCAGCATAAGAATACGGAGATCGAACAATAGTCCTAACAGTAGCAACGAGAGCAATTAGAAGCAAACAAGAAGAGGGAGCGAGGGAGGGAGGAACGGAAAGTGGAAGAGAAGGAAAAGCGACAGTAAAGAAGCCTGAGAAAGCGAGAGCATAAGAAAACAAAAGCTCAGAGAGAGGTACGTGATCTACGAAGGACTTACGCATTTCGGAGTTGGGCTTCCGTTCGAGTTGAGTATTGCCTTTCTCTTTGCGTCGTGGTGCCCTTGTTGTGCTTTTCTCTTTTCCTGCGCGCGCGTTTGCTTTGTGTTGCCAGGATTCCTGGTGCCGCTGACGCAGGATCTCAGTGACCTTGCCCAATCCCAACTGCCAGAGCTCTCAGACTACGATCCTGCACTGGAAGAGAGGAGCCGAGAGGGAGAGTGTGGATGATGCTGTGCAGATGATGGCAAGTAGAAGAGAGATTAAATTGAACTTAGTGGTTAACAGTCGATAGGGGCAGGTAGGGAGCACGATGTGGAGCCTTCAAAATCCTCTTTTCTTCTCCAGGAATCCGATCGAGGCGACGCTGCGCCGTTTCGATGAGGCTTGCAGCCACCTGAGCACGGCGACCTCGGTGGAGGCGCTGAAGGTCGAGGCCCGGACTGGAGAAAGCGTAGTAACATGTAGTGACGGCGTAGAAACGGCGAAGCTTAGCAGTGGATTGGACATGCTTGGAAGATATTCAAAGTTCCAAGTTTGGACATCTGTAACATGTCGGTGCGGTCCAGCAAAACCCCTTATCGGTTTTTGCAGGCGCTGAACCATACAATGAAGACCTTTGCCAAAGCCTCACGCGCACAAGGTCCGCACAAGCACCCCCCGCCCCCCCATCCACCCAACGGTCCGCGCAAGTTCTTGAAAACCATGTCTTGCAAGCCACGCCGTGACGGGATTGAGCGCGTGCAAGCTCGCAAGCTCCGCGCAAGCCCCACCCCAAGTCCCAAAATTGGATGCAAGGAAATTGCATGGACAACCCCCCCATGTACCAGTAGCCGGTTGTACGCGTAAAGAGGGCATGTTTTCAGTATCCCTTCGTGTGCAGGCTCGTCAGCTGCTCTCCTCCAAACTCTGGGACGTGTGGCGCTGGTTGGAGGCTAAGAACGAGGCGAGCTCCCACAGCCCGAAGTGCTGCCGAATGTGATTTTAAATCCTTTCGACGTGCCTTTGCACACTTTTTGGCAGCCAGTTGACTTTCACAGGTGCTCGGGAATGAGATTCGCGACTCCGTGCAGGAAACACGTGAGGTCGAGATCAGCAGTGCCAAGTCTCTGGTTGGTGGAGCTGGGCTTCTCAGCGAAGTGGTGCCTCGGCTGTAACGTCCTGTATCATCCTGTAAAGCTGTATCGTGCCACATCGTGCCTCTTGACAGCTTTGGACAGACGATCGCCGCATTAGGTAGTCACCAAGCAGCTCTTCCGAGAGGAGGGCCGCACCGTCCTCTACCGAAAGAAAGGTCCCGAGCTAGCTGTGTGAGGTGGAGGGGGTTGTTAGAGTCGGAGAGATGTACCGCAAGGTGGACATCCTGAGTGCCTGCCATGGAAGTCGCTGGGGACCACTGTCACCCGGACGAAGGAGTTTGCATTCGACTCTTTGCCTGCGCTTCCCAAGCTGCGTGGGTCTCTGCTGAAGACCAGCCCCAACACTCTGAGAGCGATGCTCCGCCTTCTACGTGTTGATCAACAGCCGCGACTCTGCGTGCTTCAAGACGGCCATTTCATGTGGTTTGAGGACGCTTCTAAAGCTGCTCAAGCTGGAGACCAAGCCAAAGGATGCATCAACTTCCTGGTGCACCGGGCTCAGATACGACAACATTCAGACACGGCCTTCGTGATTTTTCCGGCAGAGCCACATGGATGGCGAGAGCCGTCGTCCTTTACCGGCGACTCCCAGCGATCATTCTCCTTTGATGCCTGCGACGTGCACACCTGCACGCAGTGGATAGAGGCAGTCGCAGAGCACATCCGCTTCGGCAACTTGGCTGCTGAACAGCTGGGTGCGGCGTGGCTCGGCCTCAAAGACTCAAAGCATGTAATGTACACTGGTTAGGGTTAGTGGAGCACAGCAGCCCTTTCATGTTCAACTATTTCAACTGTTTAGCGCTGCCAGGCTGGGGTGGCATGTGAAGGTTCAGAAGCCGATGTGGTCCCAGCTGCAGCCCGATGGTCTCAATGACTCGCAGGCTGAGCGGGATCTGGTACCTCGTACGTCTTGCAGTGGCCGTAGGTTCCAGTGTTCCAGCAGAACAAGAGGATTTTTCGACTCGGGGGCTTGTGTCCACACAAAGTGATCAGAGTGTGCAAGAGGCACACCCAGATGTACATGTGCCTATATGCCTGCGTATACCGCCCAGGAATCCTGAGTCCGAAGGCTTCTACCCTAAGCCATGAACCCCGCAACCTCGGCAGATTCCTAACAAAACTCGGGGGCTTCTTTGGTCGCCTTTTGCAGGTCTAAGAGGAGCTCCGGCAGATGAAGCCGCGGATCGCCTTCCTAGTCTGGGGGTGCAGCCTGTTGATATCTTGCTCCTTCCTCGTGTTCCTCGCGTTCCTGGTGTGCACGACGCTTTCATGGGCCATCCATGGCCATGGCCAGTGCTGCTCCGCCTTGAGCCTCAGAAGATGACTCGGACATTGCCAAGAACCGCGCAGCCCTCGTTGAAAGCCGAACACAATCCCAGGCTGGCGAAGATCATCCGATTCCGTTCAGGGCAGTCTCAGTGGCATGCTATGCTGAGTGTGCCCCAGTCAAGTTGGTGTCGGAAAAGCATGTCCTTGCTATGCACTTGCAATCACATGACTTTCTGCCCTGCAGCACCATACAGATTCGGGGGGCCCAGAAAGACATCTTGTCGGTTGTGACGCAGCGTTTGAGTGCTCAAGCCGTGTCCTACACGCCGTAGCTGCCTGTGGGTTGTTGCCTAAGAGCAGTTTGGACTTGGTTCATTTTACGAAGGTTCAGTTGCAAGCGCTTAGTACACTTTGTTGATGCTTGCCCAGAAGCGCTTGTCAGAAGGTCTCCGCTGGTACAAGGGTGAACATGGCGTCTGGCACTGAAGACACCTGCTCTCAAGCATGTCTGTTCCTTGCTTCTGCTGCTTCTGTACCTGCTTCGGCACTTGCTGTTGTTGGTTGTTGCTGGTTGTTGTAGGTTGTTGTTAGTTGTTGTTAGTTGTTGTTAGCTGTTGTTAGCTGTGGTGTGTTGTTGTTGGTGTTCTCATCCCTTGCTTGTCGTTGAGGTCCCGAATGCAGGCAGGGAGCACATGGAGTCCAGAAAAATGAGGGCCGCGATGAGTGTACTGAGTGTGCTGCTGACACGGCGCGGCAATGCAGTGCGTGGTGTCAGGCCGTGAAGTCTGTGACGCGAACGATGATACCGCGAATCAAGCCTAACGTGGAGATGGGCATGAACATGAGCGACAGCACTCAGTTGCGGTGCCAGTTTCTGTGGCAGTTGCTGTGTCAGTTTGCTCCAGAAACAGCTCAAAACGCCTTTGCAAATGCCAGGCCAGAAGAACGACAAGGCAGCCCTGGCCCTGATCAACCCCGTCAAGGAGGGACTGGTGCACTGGTATGCGGATGCGTATGTGCAGTGAAGAGCTGCTGCCGTGCTGCAGGAAGTTGGGCCAAAGTATCCGCCAGGAGGCGGCTCACCTGAGCCTCGTTTCACCCATTGCGTTTGCGTTCACCAAGCTAGAAGCTCTGCTAAAGCTTCCAACCCCCCATTGCAGGCCACGCCTACGCGTGGGGCGTCACTTGGACCGGCCACTCTGTGCAAGCCTCGGACGAGGGCAGCCGAAGAGAGAGGGACACTTAAAAAAAGGGGAAGAAAGAAGAGGAAGAAAGAGGAAGAGCTCAGAGAGCAATGTTTGACGCCGAAGAAGAGAGGGAGCCCCCCCCAAAGAGAGGGGAGAGTTACGGAGAGTTCTTCTCTTCCCTCTGTCGCCTCTGTCGCCTCTGTTAGGACAAGTTTGGCAACCAGGAGGCGCCCTTCGTGGACTGGGAGGAGGTCGGCAAGGCGCCACTCCTTCGTCATCCTTTCTTGTGCTGCGTGTCCGCGTGTCCGCGTCATGTGTGCGCCGTGCGCCCCCCCCAATCTCTTCTTTTTTCGAGTGTGCGCCTCTCCTGTGCCCTAAGGCTTTCAAGGTGTGGGAGAACTTTGGGCGCGGTGTGTCCATGGGCTACTTGCAGGGGACCTTTGCCCTCCTTGGCGAGGCAGGTTTCGAGTGTGATCCCACATGATGTGACACTCTCGGCTGTATGTTCTGCTCCTTGAGACCGCCTCAGGTGGCTTCCTCAAAGCTCCCCACAAAAGGTGGGCATCTCGGTTGTTGCTGCATGGCCGCTCTGCAGAATGCTGCCTCTGTAAGGTCACTGAGAGATGAAGCGGGTGAGTGGCGAGAGTTGTGGAAGGCTGCGTGCCAATGGCAGATTGAAGGTCACGTGGTAGTTCAGCAGCGAAGAAGTTGCATTGTGCATCTTGGTGCCAATATGACGTCCTTTGATCATGCCATGGCTTGATCTTCCTGTCCAGAAGGTTTGGCACCCTTTAGCTCCAAGCAAAAGGGTACGATCTTGACCCAACGCTTGCTCTGGACATGCTCAGAAATGGTAATCTGTGGTCCTCAGTGCATTCCGCAGCTACCTTGGCCCCAACAGCCAGATCAAGTGCTTTGTTGCGGGCCTGGGGTAGATGTGTTGAGAATATTCGCTGACAGATGTGCGCGCCTTACACGGCAGCACCTCGACTGCAGCAATGTGTGGGGCTTGGTGCTTAAGGCAGCTCTCCAGAGATGTCTGGTGAGGCTGACGAGGCATAACTTCAGAGCTGCCCCTGCTTTCGCGAGCCTGACGAAAGGGTAAGCTTCTCGCAGGATGCTATCTCGGATGCTTCCTTCCAATCTGCAGACGAGGAGATTAGACACCGTACCTCTCCCGCTCTAGTCCGGTCATTCGCATGCACCTGCAGGAGGAGGACGAGGATGATCTAAACGACTTCAGCCCATGACTTGGCTCTTCGAAAGTTTTCATTCGTCTATAGGGTTCACTTTGGAAAGATAATACCGGTTGCCTCACGCCTCGTGCCAGATGAAAACGCTGGCGGTGCATCCTCGTCGAAGGCCCATGTGTTTTGTGGCTGTGCTTTGCAGCACCGGTGCTCATGGGCTTTAAGAATTTGGCATGCGGTTGCCACTGCCGAAGCACTTGCAATGTGATGACAGGGACAAGGTGGAGATGCGCAGCCTCCTGGTTTGGACAGCATGTGAGTTTGCCTTGGTGAGCATCCCTTGCGTTTCTTGCCATCCTGCATACGCGAGTGGTTGGCAATGCGATTCGCAGCAGGACGACGACGACGACGATGGAGGCATCTGCCCGGATTTTTGCCAATGTAGCCTTTTCTTGGCATGGGGCAGTAGTGTTTACTGCACCCCCCAAGGCAAGCGTTGGAACTTGAAACGGGACGGTGACAAGGCCAGGCATGTGTGCAATCAGCACGTGTGTCCTTTCGTAGCAGAAGAATGCGCAGACGGGCTTGCCATGCCATTCTTGCTGGGCAGTCCCACAATTGCAAGACATTGCAATTGCAAGCTTTAGCCAAACTTCTTAAGCAATGCTTAGGCTTGAGACACGCTTCGTGCCAGCCAGTGCCAGTCTACCAATAGTCCAACAGTTCGGCTCACTTCTTCGGCATTCCATAATTCTATTAGCTTATCGGAGAAGTGCCTCTGATGCAGAGTGGCGACGCTGCGCAGATTTGGAGGGTCATTGGTGGTGGCGAGAAGGGTGGGATCGTCGTTCGCATCGGGGAAGAAGTAAGCTCCGATCTGGCCAACGAGCGCCTTGCAACGGGCGCCATCATCAAGGAGCTGGAGCAGAAAGCGGAGCGGCTTCACTACCGGAAGCTATGTGGTCGAGGGCCCGCGGAAGGTTGGGTGTCTCTCACTCTGCAAAGTGGAAAGGCCTTGGTGAGGCCAATGCCGAATCTTTGGCTTGTGGTCGGCGGAGTCGGCGGCGGCTCGGGCGGCTCGGGTGGCATTTTGGTGCGTGCCGGCAGCGGTGTGACCTCCGAGGAACTGCCGCAGCGCTTAAAGCCCGGATCCCTCGTGGAGGAGGAGGGACAGGAGCTGCTGGGCTCACTCCAACGCCTCCAGTATCGGCTGCTGTTTGGCCAAGGGCCTCCGAGTGGTTGGGTCAGCGTGGCAGTTCAGCAGAAGGCTCTGATCTTATGCTTGCTTGCCATCTTGCTTTCTGGTGCTTCCTTCTGATCTTTTTCTGCTGTGTTCAAAGTTCTCATCTCCTTGTCTTCTTGCCATGTTTGTGCTTTGTCAGGCCCTGCTTCGCTTGGTCCGCGGTCCAAGCCGTGAAGTCTTCGAGCTGCTCCGTGACCTTTGGGATCACAGCCTCTTTGCAGCCTTGTTGCTGGTGCAGGACCTGCAGTCTGGTGAAGCTGAAGAGGTCCTCAGCTTGTTGGAAAGCATGTTCGAAGGAGCAGATTTCCGGCTGAAGCGAAAAGCCGTGAGGGTTGTGGCCGCCATGAGCAAGACCCCTAAAGGCCCTCAAGTCACGCGAGCTCGATTTGCCGCGGTGCTTGCCAAGCCTCTTGGTGACCTGGACGCCACGGTGCGCTGTGAGGCCGCTTTGGCAGGCGAGTCCCTGCTTTCGGACAGCGCCGGCGACCACGGCGACCACGGCGACGACGGGGACGACGGCGTTCAACAAGTCCAAGCCCGACTCTCTCAGCTCCTCCGAAGCGACCCTTGTTGGCGTGTGCGCTGCTGTGCTGCCAGGGCACTAGCACGTTGGACTGGCTCGCTGGAGTCGCTAGATATGTCCGGTTCCATCGAGGAGAGTGACGGGGACGTTCGTCTCATGCTGGGGCTGAGAAGCCTCGAGCCTTTGGTGCCTTTGGGCACAGCAGGGACAGCACAGCATGCAAGCAATGAACGGTGCGAGCTCTCGCGAAAGTTGCGCATTCTGGCGGTGCACGGGGCGAACTCCAACTCTGCCATCATGAGGTTCCAGGTCCGCTTCCTTAAAGCAAAGCTTCCGGAGGCAGAATGGGCTTTTGTGGATGCACCGCTTATCTGGCAAGCAATTGCTGGCGCAGAGGATCCGATTTTTCGTGAGCCTAGCCAGCTTGAGAAGACGATTTCAAAGGGCGAGCCGTTTCGCTGCTGGTATTCCCATGGCAACAGTTGTTACAATGCTGTTGATGAGGGCGTGGCTAGCCTTCTGGGCCAGGTTCAGTCACAGGCTCCCGTGGATGTGCTGCTTTGCTTCTCACAGGGGTCGAACTGTGTCTCCTTGGCTCTGGATAATCTTCGTCGGAATGGCACGCAAGCTCCCTGGGCATTGACGGTGATGTTTAGTGGTGGCCAGATCGACGACGAAATTTTTGCGTGGCCTGCTGGTTGGATGTCCGATCAGCCGACTCTCCGTGTGTACAGTGCCAAGCAAGACAGCTTCTTTCAGGGTGGGGAAATGTCACTCAAAGACATGTACTCAGACCTCCTCGAGATTGTTCATGAGGATGGCCATATGTTCCCGCAATCTGAGCCACGTGCGGCTGAGATCTATGACCAACTGTCTCGAGAGATCCGTGCGCGCTTTGGACTGGCTGAGATTCCGATCGAGGGTCTGCAAAAATCGTGCGCTCCGCGCTCGCTTGGTTTCACCCTGCCAAGCTTTGCAGTCACAGCCGTCCTCCCTTCACAGGTGCAGCTGGAGCCAATTTTTAACAGACTGGCAGAGGATCGTGAACATGTTAAAATCTCCAAGATGTCGCCACCTCAGCTTGTTGCAGCCGACTGTCCGAACAATCCTTCCTGGTGCAAAGTAGCCAAGGTTCTCGTATGTTCTGCGACATGCAGCTCACAAGCTGGATGTGAGGATCCGGAAGGCTCAAGTTGCCAGCGGTGTCTCAAAGTTACCTTAGTTCTATGTTCAACTTGTGTGCAAAAGGATGGCTTTGTCCGGCTGCGTGACATCATGGAACTCAAGAACTTCCGGCCATACAATCTCGAGGCCCATCCACTTTGTTATGAGAGATAGCTGCTTCAGCTATCAGAGAGATGGCAGGAGCTGATGGCCTGCGTTTACTTCGATGAGAAAGAGCGCTACACCATGGTCAGATCCTAAAGAGATTGAGGGTCCTGCGTCCCGAAGCGGCAGAATGGGACACTCGCAGGTTCGGGAGTTCGATGGTGAACTCTTGATCCGCGCCAACCAGGGACACACCATGAAGGCCTCCAAGCACGCGGTTGGTCACAAGCTTCTTTCGGTCACCCCTGACCCGTTCCTAGCAGCTAGCTTGTCTTATTCTTAGCCAGTTCCCAGACTCAATGGAAAAAAGGTTGTCGAGGATGATCTGCTCCTGGAACCCATCACGGATCCCACCACCGTGGAGCACTAAGCAGAGTTAACGAGTGAGGAGCGAATTTTGGGTGCCGGCGAAGTGGGTCCAATTTGCTCCTTGCTCGCCTTGCAATCCCTTGAAGGTGTCGGACTGTGTCCACGGCACCTACCTCGTGCACTGGCCCTTCATCAAGCGGCAGGGTCTATCCAAGGTGCTTTCTTCTTGTGTTGGTGGGCAAGAAGGGATATGACATGATATGACCAGAGGGTTATGCTTTTTTTGGAGGTGGCGCGAAACCACATCCACCTGGCCCCTGGCCTGCCCGAGGCGCGCCCGGGGGTGACCCGGGTGATCCGAGTAAGCCAAATGAGCTGAGTTCTTCGTGCACCAGTCTTTGTCTTCGAGTGTGTAAGTCTGTTTTTCGTGTTTCGAGCCTGGAGACAGGATGGGAAGATTCGTGGCATGCGCTCCACAGCTGAGCTTTTCCTCTACATTGACGTCCCTGCGGCCATGCAGGACTTCGGCCAAGGGCATTCCCTTTGCCATTCCCGAGCCTACGCCAAATCTCTGTAAGGATGGGATGATTTTCTACCGAAGCAAGAATGAGGTCATTCTTACACAAGGGCACGTGACTTAGTCCGCCTTGTCACCATGTGCAAGATCTCCGCAGCGGGCATTGAAGCTTTGCTTCACCCAGAAATCCTCGAACATCCCGGGCGGCACACTTTTGGACTTTTGGAAGCAAAACTCTTTGTCTGGCATGTGAGGTTGGATGGATGGCTGCCAGTGAAATACTTCATCAAGGCTGCACGGCTTTCGAAGGTTTGTGCGGTTTCATTTGGGGCCTTTGTGTTGTGAGTCGATGTTGAGTCATGCGAGTCGCTTGTACGAGAGGCAGTGAAGATCAACTACTCCACGTGCGATATCGAGGAGTTGGATTTTGATCGGGGCGTGCACATGCCCAACTGGGTGCCGCTCCTATCTGCATCCCCGAAGCCCGAAGCTCTCCGAAGGGCTCCAAAGGCTCCTTTGGACTGCTTCTTGCTTCAGGCGGCTGAGCTGGCTCCATCCGGCCCGGGTGAAGCAGGCCGGCGACCTGTCGCAAGGAGCATGGACACGGGCAGCTCTGATATTTTGCCAAGGTAGCTACATGGTCAAGAACCTTGAGGCCTCCCAAGATTCCAAGCGTTGAGTCCATTTGAGTCCAACTCAAGAGCCGGACTGAAAAACAGGCATTGATTGCAAACTGCCGCAAGCGAATGGCAGAGATCAATGAGCTGAAGGCTGCAATCTTACAGAATATTCCTCCTGTAGCTTCGGAATTTATAATCCCTGTTGAGTGCACAGGCGCAGGTCGAAAACGGGCAGCACCTCACCGAGGTCTGTGAACTTTTTATGTTGGATGTCGTGGACATGTCAAAGTTCTTCTCGTCTTTGAAGGAGGAGCAGTCAAAGGTTGACCAGTACTCAGCGGCCCGTAGCCCAGCACAGCCCAGCAGTTGAGCTTTCTGAAGCCGTTTTGACTTGTCGGCGTCATGAAAGACTTGGTCTGAAAGACACCGTGATCGAGGGAGCGCAGAAAGAAAGCATGGCTGACGATGAAAAAGGCAAATTGCAACTCTCTTCCCGGCACACACACACAAATGAAACAGGAGAGTAGACTTTTCCGTTTTTCCCCCCAGATCAGGGCTCCGCAGGCATGGTAAGACAAGCTCGAACACAAGTCGGGGAGGGAGCCAAGTGCCCGGAAGGAAGGGAAACGGGTAGCTCCGCGTTTGCGCAGCGCAAGAAACGCAGGAAGAAGGCAAATGTGCAGTGAATCAAGATTCTCACCCTGATTCAGCATCGCAGAGGTTTACATCGAGCTCCAGTCCCTTGAGCAGCGCTTTCGGCAGCACAAGGGATACCGAAGGGAGAGCACGCAGGAGCCAAGGGGAGTTCTTTTCGTGTCTGCTTGTATACGATGGCGCTTCAAGCCGTTTGCAGTTGTACATGAGTCGTGAAAGCAGGTCCCAGCACAGCCCCGAGTAGTGAGATTTAAAGCAGGGGTTGGAGGATTGGTACCAGGGCAAGGCTCTCTCTCTCTCTCTCTCTCGGTGCGACGGAGCGACCATGGAGCTTAAAGTTTCTTGTATTCAAAAGCAATCGCACCACCCGAGAAATGACATCGTTGGAGTCAACGTCTCTCAAAGAAAATGTTGGATCCACTTTTCTGCTCCCTTTCCTACCCGCCCCAAACTAATCGCGGGTCAATCAGGACAGTGCTAATACTCACCCTCCCACCCGGATTCTTCAAGGGCTCCTGAAAGGGCACGAAAGGGGAACATGAAAGATATGCTGACAGGGATTGCCCGGAACTGTCAAATAAGGAGCCGAGTTCTTGAAACAATCGTTGAATCTTTCTTGAGCTGGGCAGCGTGACTTTTCCAGGAGAAGGAACTTCGTGCCAAGGAAGAGGCGGAGGCGGCTTGCCCGTGCAAAGATTCGATGCAAACCTAGTGACTTCATGGGATCTTCGTAGGCAGCCACGGTGGTGCAAAGGAAGGACAGAGCGGCAACTTGGATGCAAAGCATGAATCACAAGCCAGCCTACCTGGGACTCAACTTCAAAGCCTCAAGCTTGAGCTGGCAGCAGCAGCAGCAGCCAGCACTGAAATAGCTCAGGCCACGCCACCCTGGGAAAAAGGAAAGACGAGCATAGAGCCTGGATCCTTGGCAAGGGCCGGCAAGGGTTGCGGAATGTAAACCTTGTGCCGGCCATGCTCCACATTGTGAGGTCCACAGCCTTCAAGGCGACGGACAGAGAGAAAGCCGAGTCCAAGACTTGGTGTGCTCAGTGCTCGCCATGTCCGTGTTAGACGTGCTGCAAAGAGTGTTGTGTTCGGATTCACAAGGTACCACAAGGTACCACAAGGTACCAACGTTTCTGTACTCCCAGGTGGGCGGCGATTGGAAAACGGCGTGAGACTGCCCTGGAGAAGAAGGACGAGAAGAAGGAAGTGAAGGCCAGATGCCTTCAGATGCCTTCAGATGCTTCCCCCTGCGAGCCCTTAACGCTGCATCTGCCGGACTTGTCACGAAAGCTCATCAGAGTTGGGGAGTCGATTCCCTGTTGACGCTGGGGAGCCTCTGATGCTGCTCTTTCGGGGCTTGGGCGCTCTTTGATGCCTCGTTCGTCTGAACTTCCTACACGCCGAACTAACCTTGCGCTTCTGCTGCTGCGGAGCTTCCGTTAGGGTCTCAAGCTTCTCCCATCAGGAGGATCGCTGGGATGCACTGGGCAGGGGTCGGGGCCCATGTCCAGAATCGTCAGATTTGGAGGGTCTTTGGCCGCTCACTGTCACTCACTCATTGCTCAGGTCGGCTCACTTCGAGCGTGTCGACGTGTGGAGCTTAGAGATCTCAACATATTTCGAAGCGAGTTGCGAAGAATGCCAAGGCCTTCTGCTGAGAAGGCGGGGCAAGGAATACTGACGAACACCGTCCGACATTTTTGTATCCGTTCCCCTGAGGGCGTGTTTGACACAGGCTCCACCTTCCAAGCCTCAGACGCCATCGGGTGCAGGAAGGGTTGCCAGCATGCCATGATAACTCGAGTTGAGGAGCGCACAGAGCTGTGCAGGTGGTTTGGACAGCTGGCGCTTCGGTTCTGGTGGCACCAACCCTGCAACCCCTTCAGCTACGGCACGACCCGAACGACCCGAACGACCCGAACGAACCGAACGACCCGACACCGCCACGTCGGAGCCACAGAGGGACTTTGGGGGGCTGCATCGCGCTTCTTCCACTTCTTCAGCTCGCGCCGTGTAGGCCAGCAGCCAAGCCTGCTTCAGGCCGAGACGTTTCCAAAGCCAGCAAAAAGAAGCGTTCGGAGAGCGAGAAGTAGAGCAGAGAAGCAAAAAAGCACGGAATGAGAACGGACCATTCAGGGGATGTGGAATGTGGCAGGTCCCCCGCGCTTCTTCAACTCCAAGCTGCAGCAGCAGAAAGAGCAGAAGGAGCAGAAGGAGCGTGAGGAAAAGGCGGCGGCAGAGGCCAAAGCCGCAGCGGGCACCTGGCTCAGCCCTCCGTCGAATGAGAGATCTCCAACAAGTGGAGAGATGCGATGATTATGCCGATATTCCGACATATGCCATGTCGACGGTTCTGACGCGTGACAGGCTCATGGCGTGACCGGGACGCGAACTGGCGTGATCGCCCAGCAGCTCCAGCAACTCCAGCAGCCAAGGAGCGAACCCCCACGAGACTAAGCTCTTCGCTGTGCGTTTGTGGGTTCAAGGTGTGGCTTTTTGTGTTAATCTCTCGGTATCCAGAAAGATCAAAGATCAGAGCTTGGACTCGTACTCCGGCTGCCAAGAATTCAAAAAGTGCTCAGAAGTGTGAGGGCCACCCTTTCGTAATGGCACTGGGCAGGGTGGGTACGCTGAGTGCCACCTAGAGTGGGGGGGAGGAAATAGATACCGGGGACTCGGTTGGACAGTGCATCCAAGGCCAAATTGCATTTTGCCAGATGCTTACTGTACTTGACAGGCCCAGTAAGGGCCCTGTGCGAACTGGACGGGGGGGGTTAGGGCGACTCTTGTTAGGTTTTTTCAACAAAAGAGTGGAGTCCCCCCCCGACCCCCGGTTTCCTCTGCAGAAGAGTGGATTTCCCCCCCCCCAGCAGGTACCTAGTTCAGGTCCCTTCCACTATGAGGGGGTTCGGCAGGCTTGAGTGATGGCTCAGGTCAGGTTGCCGAGAGGGCCGGTTTTGTAGTGTGTGCATTTTCAGGACATGTGCTCATGTAAAAGAGCTCAATCTAGTCACACATATATATATATATATGCACATATATATATGTATGTGTTTATAATATACACATAGCTTTTCATTTTCGCATCATTGAGAATGATCTGAGATCAGTGCTTGGACTTGACTCTGAGTTTTCTGAGATTCTCACAATTCGGAGGAGCCGGGGCCAAGGGAGACTGCACTGCAGGCAGAACGCGCGGTCAAGACGAAATGATGCTGGGTGTCTGAAAGTCTCTTGGTCTCTAGTCTTCGTTGCAGGCTGAGCGCGAGAAGCCCTGCACTCAACTTGCAAAATTGCCAGCAGTGGATCGCACGGCTTTCGTCGTTGAAGAGCTGAAAGTGTGAGGCCTCCGGCGTCCCAGATTCCAACGCCTCCTCCGCCACCGCACTCCCAGCAACCTCAGCAACCCCAGCAACCTCAGCAATCGCAGCAAACCCAGCAAGCGCAGCAGCCCCAGCAAGTTGGGAGAGCTTTGCTGGCCATTCGCCATGTTTCGCATGCCCAACGATGACCGTGCCAGGCCCAATGCTGGAATGGCCGGTCAGGGCCTCTGTGCCAGTTTGTGGCGTTTGCATCAAGGCTGCGTTCATGGTATTGTCGGCCTGGTTTTTCGGAGTCCGCTTGCCTTGTTGGAATTGAAACGCATGCCTGTACCTTGGTGAGTGCTATCTGCTAGAATTCTCCCTTTTTTTGTGGCACTCATCAGCCAATCTATCAGTTGCCAGTCAGGAGACATATCATTCTGAAAAGCTAAACGCAAGACAGTTGCATAAGCAAATGCAGACGTGGCGCTCGCGGAAGATTCTCAAAGTTGCTTGTGGTACAAGGTCGAAAGTGCGCCGGCTCCGGACCCCTGCGCTAAATGGTCGGTTTGTGCAGTACATTTGTGTACATAGTGGCAACTTGACAAACATAAGGCTGGTGCGACATGGAATCGCATGGCTTGTGAATCCGTAAGCCATCTGCCACAAGCATTGTTTATTCCCCAGTGCACCGTGCCCTGCAGAATAACCGGTTCCAGGATCCTTTGCTATCTTAATGGAAGATCGGATCGTGATTCTGAAAGAATTCTCACTGCTGGTGAATGATGAATTACGAGCTTTTGCTGTGTACTGATCTACTTTGATGTGGGTTTCAGTTGTCACACCGACCCCTTGGTATCTTGGACCATTCTGCGTTTGGCGCAGGGGCAGTCGCAGTTCTCCATCGAAAAGCAGCAACAGAGGGAGACAAGAAAAGGCTTTAGGAGATCGTCAATATCGTGGTGGATTCGTTTCAGAGATGAATTTTCAGCGAGCTAACAAGGGGTTGCCGCATGTTGCTGCACCGAGGGACCATCAAGATCTTATGTGTCGCTTTGCAGTACAAGAATCGTGTAAGAACCAGTATTGTCGAAGTTGGTCGACTCTTAAGGCCAACCGAAGACCCTGCTAAGGCCCGGTTTATTTTTCAAGACTTTGCGTTCAAAAACGAAAAAATGTTTTTGCATGGGTTTGATTTTTGTTTTGTTTTCGCTCGGGACGCTGCGCCGCCGCCCACGTGGTATGCCTATGGAGGGCTTTTCCCTCGTGGCAAACGCTTTGTCACCTGAACATCTTCTCCTTCTCTCCCCAGCCCCTCCCCCCCCCCCTCCTTCCGCCTTCCCTCAGACACTCAGCAGGTCTGCACCTGCCTCCCCGGCCTTGTGCGTCAGATTGAAAGCCTGCACAATGCAGCACACTGCCATGTTCACTTCGCCCATGATCGCTGCGGTGTGTGCCTGTGAGCTGCGCCTGAGTTGAACATCCGCTCTAGCTACTGCTGGTTGATCTACAAGCAAGATATGAGAGTCTCAGGCCTCTCCCGCAGTGTGCACCTCAACACACTATACCAACCAGATCCGCCATTACCATTGGTGAATCATTTGTGCTTGCCATGGCAGCAGGAATTATTGACTTTCTTTGAAGAGTTTTTCGGACGGATCGCTTGCATCTTGCCGCTGCTTCTTTTCGACTCCCTGTTGCGGAGTGTTTTCTAGTCAGGTCAAGGCCATCCACAGTATGGCGCTTGCTATGGAGGCGGCTCAAAGAGATACCAAGAGTGAGTGATTCGGGCGGCTCTTTCAGCTCAGCAAGGTATGCAGCAGCACTATCCGCAGGTGCCGCTTTTCAGATTGAAACGAAGGGGTCGTGTCGAACTGCTGAGTGATGAGGCAATGATGCCCATGAATTCTGGCTGGATGAGCCAGATGAACCCGCAGCAGCAACAGTGTTGCCGGCATGACCTTGCAGGAGGTTTTGTAGCAGCATTCAGGAATTTCAGGGCCGGCACCTGTGGTTATGGCTTATGTGCAGCTGCACCACACATGTCAGTCTGCATCCAAAGCTCCCGAAACAGTGCCCATTGCAGGATGATGATGCAGCAGCAGATGATGCAGCAGCAGATGGCACAACAGCAATCTGGAACAGGCACGCAGAAATTGTATTTGCACCTTCGGTGCGTGAAAGTCTACGTGCTTTGGTCTCGCCTCAATTGCAGGCTGCAGCGGCTGCGGCTGTTGCGGGGGATGTGCAGGTTGTCAGGGATGCCAGGGCTGTCAGGGCTGCGGCTATGGCTGCCAAGGGTGTGCAGGGTGTCAGGGCTGCCAGGGCTGCCAGGGCTGCCAGGGCTGCCAGGGCTGCCAAGGCTATCAAGCGTGCCAAGGCTGTCCTGGGCAAGGGTGTGCAGGCTGCCAAGGCTGCCACGGCTGCCAGGGTTGCCAAGGCTGCCAGGGCTGCCAAGGCTGCCAGGGCTGCTCAGGCTGCCAAGGCTGCCAAGGCTGCCAAGGGTGTGGGTGTTGGGGTGGCGGAGGTTGCGGCGGTGGCAGTGGATATGGCTGTCAAGGTTCCGCAGCTGGCTGCGGTGGATGCTGCTCTGGTGGATGTCGGCAGGGCTGTGAGGGTGGCCGTGGAGCCTGCAGTGGAAGTTCCACAGGAAAGGGTGGCATGGGCTATGAAGCAGATCGCGGAATGGCTCAAGGCTGGGCATCATCTGCCGAGGTTCTAACATGGGTCCATCACGGTGTAGCTCGGTGCCAGGTGGCCGCTCAAGTTGGAACGAGGCGGAAGCGGCTTTGCTGTGGCTTGTGGCTTTGTCTTGTGGCTTTGCTGTATCCCTCGTGATTTTTTGATCACAATCCGTAGTTTTGTTCAGCTATCACACTTCTGGAAGAGTTGTCGCCACAAGTGCGAATGCCTTTGCGCGCTTGCTCCTCTGAACTCTGAACCCTTCAGGAACCTGCTCAGGCAGACAGCAGCGGGTAGGGGTGGGGCAGTTGCCACGCCAGCCGTGTGCTTGCCAACTCACCTCTTCAAGAATTCATCATGGGATGATGATGGCATGGAATGTCCTCAAACTGTGAGCATACGAAGAAACTTACACCGGACCTAGACAGCTTGCTCCAGCGGTAGTTGCCCATGTGACCCTGACAGTTGGAGAGGGGGTCAAGTTGTTCATGGCATGCGCTTGCCACAGGAGGAAGATCAGTACGGAGACTACGGAGACGAGCAAGGCAAGTCTCTGGCAATGCCCGAGCAAAGCTCGGTGCATGCACGATTGCAGAAGCTCGGCGCCATGAGAGGGACGACTCTTGCCAGGATGGAAGGGCGGAGACGCTCGAAACCTGGGGCAACATTGATCCAAACGCTCTAACAGTAAAGGTGAAGTCTCTCTCTCGTGGTGCTACCATGTTACATTTGAAGATATTTGAAGGTCTGGGGTGGAAAGAAGGGCTCGGACCTCAGAAGCCTTTCCGTTGGTGTCGGTGGAGACTTTCAGATGTTACTCCCAAGGCCGTGGGGCGAGCGGGAACAGCGGCAAGGGCCAAGGCGGAGTCATGCAAAAACCCGCAAGCTCTTGGCCCATCAAGATGTCCTGTGGTTTCTGCTAGCGAGGCAAGAGCGGCGCTGCTGGCGCTGGCGGCCCGCCTCCCGAACCACAGTTGCTTCAGGTTGCTTCTCCGCTGGTGCCCCCGAGATTCCGAACCCTCCTAGGTTGCTCTGTTTTCCTTGTCGCTATTCTCGTCACGCTTCCCTTTCAAGGCAAGGACCGTGGCAAAGGCCGAGGCCGCGACCGCGACGATGCTAGGTCCTTACAGGTCGTGAAGGACCATTCTGGGTGATTGGCTTTTGCGAGCAGATCAAACTCCACAACAACAACGTGCAACAACAACGTGCAACTGACAACGACGACAACGACGAAAACGGCAACGCCAACGACAACGACACGACGACGACGACGACGACGACGACGACGACGACGACGACGACGACGACGACAACCACGACGACAACCACGACGACAACCACGACGACAACCACGACGACAACCACGACGACAACCACGACGACGACGACGACGACGACGAGAACGACAACGACAACGACAACGAATACGACTACGACATCGACATCGACATCGACAACGACATCGACAACGACAACAACATCGACAACAACAACAACAACAACAACAACAACAACAACAACAACATCGACAACGACAACATTGACAACGATAACAGCATCGACAACGACAACCACATCGACAACAACGACTTCGACAAGAACAAGAACCAGACCAAGAGCATTAACAAGAACATCAACAAGAACAATAACAATATCAAGAACAAGAACAAGAACAATAACCAGAACAATAACAAAGAACATTCACAAGAACAAAGAACAATAACAACATAACGAGAACCAGAGCAACAACAACAGCAGCAGCAGCAACAACAACAACAACAACAACAACAACAACAACAACAGCAACAGCAACAGCAACAGCAACAGCAACATCAACAACAACAACAACAACAACAACAACAACAACAACAACAACAACAACAACAACAACAACAACAACAACAACAACAACAGCAGCAGCAGCAGCAGCAGCAGCAGCAGCAGCAGCAGCAGCAGCAGGAACAACAAGAACAACAAGAACAACAAGAACAACAAGAACAAGAACACCAAGACCAACAAGACCAAGAAGAACAACAAGACAAACGAGAACAACAAGAACAGCAAGAACAACAAGAACAACCAGAACAACAAGAACAACAAGAACAACACAAGAACAACAAGAACAAGAACAAGAAGACGAAGAAGAAGAAGAAGAAGAAGAAGAAGAAGAAGAAGAAGACGAAGAAGAAGAAGAAGACGAAGAAGAAGAAGAAGAAGAAGAAGAAGAAGAAGAAGAAGAAGAAGAAGAAGAAGAAGAAGAAGAAGAAGAAGAAGAAGAAGAAGAAGAAGAAGAATACCGCAACCACAACGACAACGAAAGCGCGGCAACGGCAACGGCAACGACAACAACGACAACAACGACGACGAGGCCGACGACGACGAGGACGACGACGACAATGACAACGACGACGACGACAACAACAGCAACAGCAACAACAGCAACAGCAACACCAACAACAGCAACACCAACAACAGCAACAGCAACAGCAACATCGACGACGACGACAACAACAGCAACAGCAACAACAACAGCAACAATAACAGCAACAACAACAAGAGCAGCAGCAGCAACAACAACAACAACAACAACAACAACAACAACAACAACAACAACAACAACATCAACAACCAACAATAACCAACAACAAACAACCACAACCAACAACAAACAACAACAAACAACAACAAACAACAACAAACAACAGCAAACAACAACAAACAACAACAAACAACAACAAACAACAACAAACAACAACAAACAACAACAAACAACAACAAACAACAACAAACAACAACAAACAACAGCGCCAGCAGCAGCAGCAGCAGCAGCAGCAGCAGCAGCAACAACAACAACAACAACAACAACAACAACAACAACAACAGCCACCAGGCAGTTGCCTTGCTCGACGCCGTGGAAGGTGTGAAGACAGGTTTTGGCCCCAAAAGTGGCTTTCGTATTGTAAGTTGCAGTGTTTGTGTGTTTTTTTCTCAGCATTTTCTGATTGCGATCCAAGAAGCAACATTTACCATCGAATACTTTCGGAACAACCGAAAAAGAAACAGCAACAAGAGTCCAAATCCGTAGAAGCAGAAAACGAGTAGCAACAATCATCAGGGATTTCGGGTTTGGGGGTTTAAGGGTCTAAATGTTTGAGGGTTTAGAACAGGCAACTTGCCACGTGTGACGTGCGACCTGCAACATGCAACATGCAACAGCAACAGCAACAGCAACAGCAACAGCAAACAAGACCACACTGCTACACTTGGCACGATATATGCACTCAGAGCATCTTGTCGTGTGCTTCGCCCAAGGAATGGGCGGCGCTGGGGCGCATGCGGAACGCAGCCGCAAGCTGAGGTGCAGAAGAAGGGAAGCAGAAGGAAGCAGAACGTGTGCGGGTGTTTCAAAGCGCGTCAAGCAGTTTCAACCAGTTTCTAACAGTTTCTAAAAGGTTTCGCGCGTTCTTCGTACCTGTGTGATTGATGAATATGTAAACTTTTGCAGTGAGTAGTCTTTCTGCGAACTTGTCGCCTGACATCGCTCAGCAGTCGGCATGATGGGCGAGGTGGACTGCTCGAATCTTGAATCTGATCCGAAAGCATGGCACATCCCCCATCAACGAGGGGCTTGAATGCCCGGCCCCGCTAGGGCCTAGCAACCTTCAAGCCTTGACCTTAAGAGACTTTCTGAAAATCCTCGACGTTGATACAGTCCTGGTACTCGTAGTTGGGTGAAAGCTACTAGGGGTCTGGTTCTTGGCGTGTGCAGGCGCAGTGGAACCGAAGCGCATGGCCCCGTCCCGTCTTGGCCTGTACATAGAAGGCCTGGCTCCCGAAAATCTGACGAGTGCCCTGCTGTTGGTTCATGACAAATCTCAGGTAAACAGCCGTTTCCTAAACCCCGAGCAGATTTGGAAGGCATGATGCTGCTTTGCTGCTTTGCTGCTTTGCTGCTTTGCTGCTTTGCTGCTTTGCGCTTGGATTTCATTCAAAAGGGATGCTTACGGACTGGCGGCTTTTTTGCGAGGTAAGCAGAGCTCGAACTCCAGGGTGCCTTTGCAACAAGCAGAGGCTGTTTCACCAAGACGTTGCGCAGACAGCAGTGGAGGCGTGAAGGGCCACGCCGTAGAAGCCTCCCGACATGTCGCTTTTTGATGTGAGACACGCAGAAAGTCTTGTTAATGGAGCGGGAACTGGACCGGCAGTCTTGTTTTGCACTAGTAAAAAAGGAGTGTTCATGCTCTGCTGCTGTGGAGGGTGCAAGACTTCCTTCTCATTTGCGCCGCTGCACTGTTGACAGCACGCCTTGTTTTCTCGCATGGTTTGCAACCGAATCTCCCGCTGCAATTTTGGGATTTCAGCTGGCCCGACAACCTGGAGTTTGGAGGCAGGGCGCTTCCGTGAGGGCTGGAAAGCCTTTGGTCTACTTCTCGTATTTCTCGTGCCATCTCGTGCCATCTCGTGCCAGGGGGGCCACACGGAAGGCAGTCGCCACCTCCAAAACATGGGGCAGGGCTTGCCGAAGGCCGTCACTTCGGTGGCGGTCAAGTTCCCTGTCTTGAATCGGACATGTTTTTGAAAAAGGTCAAAGCTGTGCTTTTCTCGGTGCAGCCGTAGCCTCTGCCGTGTCCGATCAGATTGCGCATCCAGGAGAGTTGGCGGCACGGCCTTTCGTGTTGGTTTTGCGGAGATGAATGGATGGCGACCTAGCATGGAGGATGCCCACGTAATCTATGCCCAAGATACCTGGGGCTTTTTTGGCGTCTTCGACGGTCACGGTGGTGATCAATGCTCTGGCTTCATAGCCAAGCGCATCAACGAGGAGTTGGCCAAAACCGGCATGCCAGAAAGTGACGACGCCGTTACGGAACTGGTTGGGGGCCCAGCCCTTGCATTCAAAAGGGTACTCACCGGGTACTCTCTTAACTCAGTGCTGAGAGTGAGAGTCTGCTGTTTGTAGTCACTTCGCTCATGTCCTGTTGCGACAGGCATTCCGCTTAGACAAGGAGTTTCTCGACTCCAACCAGCCTAGTGGATCCACAGGAACCTTTGTGATTGTTCAAGCGCCAAGCACACCTGGAGGCATCTTGGCGACATTGCGTTACCATATGCTACCATGTCGTGCCATCGCTGTGCTAGAATAGGCCTTTCATGAACCTAGAGGCATTCAAGGTTGCTGTAGCGGCTGTAGCGATCTGAGCAGATTACCCAGGCCAGTACCACCTTCGAGTGGGAAACATTGGTGATAGCCGTGTACTTCTGGGGAAAGCTGATGGTTCGATCTTCCCCGGGCCTGGAACCGACCACGGCCTCACCACGGACCCGTACACTCTGTACTGCACGCAGAGCTGTCTTGACGGAGTGTTGCGCGATGCTGTGCAGTTCTTGCTCTTCTTTGCATCCGCACTGTGGCGAGGACCATAAGCCAGACCTTCCGAGTGAAAGAGCTCGGATTGAGCGCACTGGCGGGAACGTGCAGGAAGTCCCTAGCCCAGATATGCAGCAAGCGTATGGAAGTGTATCGTTGGTTTTGCAATCGCAGATGGAAGCCAGGTGATGGGAGTGGCGCGGGTGAACGGAGATTTGGCCGTTAGCCGGGCATTCGGCGACGCTCAGCACAAGAACACGGGAGGCCTGTTTGCCAACTCGCCACCCGACTCATGGTCAATGAACATCACTGAACTGGATCATGCTGCATCTTAGCAGGTCCAAGCCCGAAGGATCACCCGGTGAGCTGTGCTCCCGAGCTGCAGGCCTGCAGTGGTGCATCAGTACCAGTCCTCCAGATCTGAGCGTGACAGGAGTTCGACTGTGAAGCCACAGATTTTCTTATGCTGGTTTGTGATGGAATCTCGGAAGGCTCGGACTTCAATTGACATGTTGATTGAGCTTAGACATGGGCAGCCAATGAACCAATGAGCTTCAGGCAGCTTTCCGAACGATGCGGTCGTCAAACTGGCAGCTGAGAAGCTGCAAGCGACTGAGGGCCGACCTGTTGATCCCGCTCAGGCCAGGTACACACATGCTAGGATCTGCTACAAGCCACCAGGCTTGTAGAGGTTCTGCTGGGGGCCGTTCCTGCTTTGCTGATCTGTCGGTGGAAGCGCAGTAGCTGGCAGGCCGCGATTGCTGTCTGCCACGAGGCCGGAGATGGTTGAGAGGGGGCTTCCCTGCACTTTGCAGACTTGTGCAGACTTGCCATGTCAAGTCATGTGGATGCAGGCGATAAAGTGTGGATCCAAAGACAACCTTTCTTGTATGATTGTGCTCCTGGGCGGCGGTGAGGTCCCAGCCTCAACGCTCGCCTCGTGAACGTTTTTTTGAGAGAAGTGTTGCCAATTATGTTGAACTAGTTGCAACTCGAAGAGGTGCCTGGCGAGCCAGTGGAGTTCATTCCAGGTCCCTTTGAAGCACCTGAAAACGCTGCTTTTCGGAAGGCCGGCCTAGAGGGAGAGAGGGAGAACGGAACGAACCATGAGCAGAAGTGGAAGGGTACAGAAGGAAGTAAGAAAGTCGCGGAGTAAATCCAGAAACGAACGACAACAGGAGGGAAGGAACGAAGGAAGGGCGAGGGGAGGAAGTCTGGAAACAAGACCCTGAAAACACGTTGGAATCCGCAATGAAAGGATGACCACAGCAGCGCAAGAAGAAGGGCAACACAAGATTGACAATCATCTGCAAAGAAATAGAGCATTTAGCCCAACCCAGACTCGAGTGCTCGAGCAAAGCATGCAGGTGCACTCTTCTCTTGATGATCATGTGACACTGCTTGTGCCGCGTCGCTGCGTCGCCAGGCCTACGCATCAATGGCCGAGCATGCTGGGATCACACTGCCACAAGCGCTGGAGAAGCCAGAGCCTCAACGCCTCCACACGACTCACTTGGCCTCCACACGACTCACTTGCTCTCACTTGCGGTCTCCCGGGCTTAGTTTTGCTGCCAAGGCGCTATTGCAACTGCGAGAAGGAGCTGGCCACGATCAATGAAGATTCCGACGTCCTCTCCCGAGCTTCCAGGGATCTCAAGGGCAGTCTTGCAAACACACGCCTGGAGGCCGCCAAAGAAATGGCAGCAGAGCTGAGCCAGTACGCTCCAGGGCCAGGAAAGGACCTCGAACCAGGCAGAGAGCTCTCTCCCTCCAACCTTGGCCTGAGAGTCTGGCAGACACATGCAGAGGCTCCACCGACCGGGTCGAATGGTTCCAAAATTGGCTGGAGAAGATCCGGCCTGCTTTTGGGTCTTTTTCCTGCCTGTTTGGTCCCGTCTGTGGATTTCTCCCGCGGCGCAAGTCACTGCAGTTTGCAGCTCGAGAGAACATGCCAGGACTAGCTCAGAGAGTGCAGCTGGAGGAATGGGAGAGGGAGGAGACTCTGAAGGTCTGCTCCTGCTGCAAGAGGGTAGATCTCAGCGCCAAGAGCGCAGCGTAGAGTGCAAAGACGCTCAGCACTCTCTGCGAGGCAGTGCGGCCCTCTCGCGAGACCAGCTCCTGGAGATGTTGCAGAACAATCCGTTGGTGGCTTACGGCGGAACAATGAAAAGACATTTTTTGAAGACAGTTTGAAGACTGTAACAATAGCAAAAACCAGCGAACACTCAAGTTGCAGCCACTAAAGCGGGGTCAAAAGCTGCTCAGGCGATTGCGTGACATGGCCGAGTCATCAGGCCTAGGCGGGCCTTTCATGACCCCGTGCAATACCCCACGCACCGTCTTGCACAGTACACCCACAATCGTAACATGATGCGCTGTACAACACAGTATCTCCAGAGTTCGTCGCGATGGTGCAGGCCTTGACCGGCTATTGATCCAGGACCAAGAGCCCACATCTCAGCATCGGTCTCCAAGGGCCTCAGCACCTCTCAGCATCCCGAAGCACCTTGAGTGCTTTCCATGGCGAGCTCCGTCTCTTATCTCTTCGGTTCTTGAGGCCCATGAGGACCGTGAGGGTCGCAAAGTTGGAGGAGCTGAAGCCGGCAGTGGAAGCACATAGCGCCCCTCGGCCTTAGGCCACGGTAGGGCCACCTTGAGGGATCCTTCAGGCGCGAGTTGTGAGCATGAACTGCGCTCAGAATCACATCCTTTGCACATCCCAGGCTCTGAAGTGGGACGACCGCTTGGCGGATGCCTGCGGTTGCGAAGGCATCGTTCTTAGAGACGACGAATCGGACGGCACAGCCCAGGCGGGCGCTGCACTGGTCTGCAAGTGAGGTTGCACGGGGTGTTTAAGCGGCTAAGCGGCTAAGCTTGCCGGTCTCTTTGCACGTCTTTGCGCTGTTCTGTGTCCTGACCTGCAGGTCAGATTTCCACCACCATTGGGGTTCAAAGCGTGGCTCCCAACAAGCCACTCGGCTCTCAAGGCAACTTGGTGACACGGATGAGCGGGATGCCTGATGCGAGAGCACTCCCGAGGCATGCTCCAAGAACTGACGCAGCCGTGCAAACGGGTGAGAGCTTGCGACACCGAGCAGCTCGTAGAAGCCGTAGAGGCGCCAAGATGTCACAAGATGTCACAAGATGTCACAAGGTGTCACATGTCGATCGCGCAGACTCTGCAAGACTAAAGGCTGGCTGCACTCGCCAGGCCCATTCCGCGCTGAAGTGGGACGACCGACTGGCCAAGTTGAGCGGCCAAGAAGGTTTTGTGGTGCAGCACGATAAGGTCCCTTCCTCAGGCTTGTAGACTTGCTGCAACACTCTGCGGTGAAGCCTGCCGGCTCAGGAGGATGCCACTCTGCAAGTTCGATTTCCTTCTGTCTCACTTACAGCCTGGCTGCCGGAATCGACTTTGACCTATATCGAGGAGGCACATTCTTGATTTTGGTTGCTCAGCCCCTCATGTCACTTTACCACGCTGCACGAAGCATTGTCCATATTTCGTCTCGCTACAATGCCCACTAATCTTCCCGCCGGAGAACAGATGGACTGTTACAATATTTTCATCGGGTTCGCCGGGTTATCTGTCGGAAGCGAACACAAAAACCTCTAATGCGAGGTGATGTGCAAGGCACAGTCACCTCTTCCGGCAATGCTTTCCAACGGCGGATATTGCATACATTGCCGTGGCTCGTGACTCGTGTGCCGCTCCCCTTCGATCTTGGCACAAAGGTTCCCGTCAGAGCTTTTGTGGCCATGTCACAGTGTTCGAGCTGTTGATGTGAGCGATGGATAAGAAAAGCACGGTGCTTTATCTCTCCCAGCCCTAGACACTGTGCTTGTGAGTTTTGGGTTCAGGGTCTACGGGCGTCGCATCATCTGTGCATGGCCATGACATCTGGACAGGCCCCGGCAACTCAAGCGGATTCTGAGGAAAAGGAAGAAACAGTCTGATGGACGGGGTAAGCGCAATTGATTGCCTGCAAAGGGACATCGACAGGGCTGAACGCAACATATTCGCCTAGAAGCGTAGTAAGCGATGTAAGCGCTGGCAAAGCAAGGAAAGGGAAGTGGCCGGCTGCCAGGCCGGTCTCCCCTACCGCACCCTGGTCCCTTTGCACCTGAATTCCCAGTCTCACTGCCTCCGACTAGCTCCTCACACCAGGCGTGCATCATTTCGCCGCCAGAACGTGATCTAGATCACAAAACTACCTAGCCACCCCAGCTGCCTAGTGCGTTAACATGTTGGAATAACTTGCGGGCATTACCGGGCTATTTCGCGTGTTGGTTTCGCTGCAAACTCAGTGACCGTGTAGCGCATTTTGCGAGCCGAGACCGACGATCCACGGAGCTTGCGCCTGGCAATGTTAAATTGCATGAGCAAAAAATGAGCACAGTTCGTTTCTCCGGCATGTGGGGTCATGTCGACAGCAATTCTGAGTGGCACTTGCACATAGCTGTAAAGGTTGAGTTGATTTGGATCAAGAGTTGCGAGGAAGGTCAGGGTTGGGACGTGTTGTGACGGTGGGGCATCCGGCTGAGTTTGGCTCGAATCCGACCTCTTGCTCCCTCTTCATGGCAGCTTTCGTGGTGGCCACCGCATTGCTTCTCGAGCATGACTGCAGATCTCTCCTCGCGCCTGATCTTGTTGGGCCCAAACCCATCGCAGCAGCAGGACGGGCTGATGACACGAGTTCTGAGAGCGGGAAGTTGAGCTTTCAGAAGTTCTTCAGGTGTTCTGGGCGAATCGTTGCCAACTTGTTCTCGAAGAGGTAAATCCTTAATCTGAAATCTCAGAGGTGTCGCGGGTTCTGGCGGACATCAAGTCTTGGGCCTCAAGCCCAAGACTAGCTACTGCCCCTGGACAGCAAACGGACTGTGCGACCTGCTGCCGTGCAGAACAAATGTTGCAAGGCTGTCTTGCGTTCACTGCATGGGGCAAAGGTGCCTAAGGCCTGCAATTCCAGATGTGACTGCGCGCGTTGCTCTGCATTTTTATCTGTGCAGGTAGCCATCGAGGTCTTGAAGTGCATGTCTGCTTCAGCAGTAGAGGCACGCTTTTGTGCGAAGGAAGGACATGGTGTAAAATCCCACGAAAAGATGAAGCATGTCGAAGCATGTCCGATTTCAGGTCAACAGCTACCACCTTGGAGCAGCAGCATCGGCTTGCGAGAAGGCGCGCCAGGAGGTCCTGGGAGATTGGAGCGTTCATCTCCCTCCCTCCCCTCCATTCCTCCCTCTCTACATCTCTCTCTCTCACTCTCTCACTCTCGCTCTCGTTCTCACTCTCACTCTCACTCTCACTCTCACTCTCACTCTAACCAGAGGCTTCGACGTGGCCTTTGGCCTTGCACTTGCTCCGCATGGAACCTTGGCTAAACTGCAGGCAGCCATCGCATGTTGAGTGGTGGTGATCTGGTGGCCTTCGTTTTCTTCGAAACTTGACAGCTCTGCGCAGGAGAGGTGCAGGCGGATCTGGCAGAGTCGTGCTTTCGCATCTTGCACCGAGGACAATCTCGACCAGATCGTTTGGAATTCTGCAGTAAGTTCGTGTTGCAAGCAAGGCCCAACAGTTCTTCAAACCTCCTGGAGCGTGCGCTGCCCTCTCTTGACAGGGCTTTGGCAGCGAACCTTGTGTCTGCTGAAGCACTCGGGCCTGGAAGCAGATGTGGTGACTTACAGCACCTCGGCCAGAAGAGGGCGCTGGCACAGGCTGAGGGTTGAGATGTAAGGGGACAGATCGCCGAGGCTCAAGCATTCCCAGCACCTCGACCTTCGCACCATGGGCACGTGGAGGCGCGCCCCCCTGCGCTCGAGCCGTACGAGAGAGTCCGAAACTCTCCCAAAAAGTGTCATCCAACCTTCAAATTCTCCAGCTTAACCGCTCGCATAGGCCCGCGATGGCAGCTCGCTCTTGCCTTGCTGGCCGCGATGACAGGCGCATCCTCAGAATCCTTTATCCCTTTCTTTATCGCGGCTTGATCCCTATGTGCCTTACTTGACCGGTTGACGCTCAAGGCAGCGGCCTTTTGTTGGACATCTTTGCTTGCAGCAAGAGCATCAGCTCAATGCGTGGTTCCGCGTCCTGGAGATGGGCCTTCCAGATGATCTCAAGGAGGGAGGGCTCTTCCCCTCTTCCCCTCTGCTCAGAGTTTCTAGGGCTTCAGATGTAGCATTGCATCGTGTCAGGATGCAGGAGCTGGAGATTCGTGGGAATTCGGTGGTCTATGGAGCTTTGATAAGTGGGGAGGCCGAGGAGTGGAGCATCTCCCTTGCGGCATTGGCCTCGATGGGACACACCCAGGAAGTGAATGTGATTAGTGAGAATGCGGCCATGTCCAGCTGTGCGCAAGCTCTCCAGTGGACAGCAAGCCTGGCACGCTTGAAGCGCATGCAGGATTCCCAGGCTTGCCAGACCCAAGCATGTTCTCCGACCGCGGTGAGTTTTGCCACTGCGATGGCCTCGATCTCCAGCAGCTGGCAGGTTCCGCTGGGTCTGCTGATGCAGCTCCAAGCGCGACGCGCAGTTGATGCAATCAGCACAAGTACAGTAGTCCGCTCTTGCTCAGAACATACGGCATGGGAAGTGGCCCTGGATGTCGTGACTTCTGCTTCCCACGGCAATGACATCAATGAGGTTAGCTACCACATCGCCCTTGAGACTTGCAGCCAAACATGCAATTGGGAGCAAGCCATTCAGCTGCTCCAACACATGGGCACGATGAGATTTCACTTGTCACCCGTACCCTATGCAGCTGCAATGAGGGGATGCGGTCTTGGAGGTCAGTGGCAGGTGGTTCTTGGTCTGCTTGAGCAAATGCTGGACCTCAAGCTAGAGCTGGACGAAGCCGCAAGCAGTTGTGTGATCGACTCTTGTTCGCGTGGTGGGTGCTGGGAGCTTGCCCTGGACTTCTTCTACCGTAGCAGCTTTGGCCGAGTTCACGCCATCTTTGATGCTGTCACCTACACGGCCGCCATTTCAGCTTGTGAGCGTGGAAGCCAGTGGCAAAGAGCCTTGGAGCTTCTGGAGAGCTTCGAGATGGAGCTTAGGCTTAGACCCGACACGATCCTCTTCAACGCAGCGATCTCAGCTGCCCAGAGTGGAGCTCAGTGGGAAGCAGCCTTGGGTTATCTGGGAAGGATGCGGGCCTTGGACGTGCAGGCAGATGCCGTCACGCACAACGCAGCTGTCAGTGGATGTGAGCCCGTGAGTCTCTGGCAAAAAGCTGCATACGTCTTCAGAGAAGCCCAAGAGAGGCGGCTGCAGCCTGGCGAGGTGGGCCATAACGCTGTGATGAGCAGCCTGGAGAAGGGCACCCAGTGGCTGGCTGCTGTGATGTGCTTGGAAGAACAGCTTCAGGCCTTACCCGCACCTGGGAAGATTGCCGTCGACACGGTTGCCAGCGCCATCCAGAAGTCCAGTCAGTGGCGCATGGCCATCGGGCTCATTGCAAGGAACAAAGATGAACAGAAAGGAATGTGAACGAGTGTGAAGAACATGTGAACGTAATTTGAACGACTTTTTCGGTTTTTGGTTCACTCGGTTGCACATGCCTGGTTTCGCGTGCCTGTTTTCTTCCCTTCTCTCCAGGACTTCCCGACTTCAGCCGTCACCGGACGCGCTCGCGTCTAGGCAGGGGCTTCTGGGCAGAGAGCTGACAACATCACACCACACAGTGCAGATTGCAGAAAAATTATGAATACTGCAAGAGAGAAGAGAGAAGAGAGAGGGGAGAGGGGAGAGGAGAGAGGAGAGAGGAGGGAGGAGAGAGGAGGGAGGAGGGAGGAGAGAGGAGAACGGAGAGAGGAGGAAGGAAAGAGGAGGAAGGAGAGAGGAAGGAGGAGAGAGGAAGGAGGAGAGAGGAGGAAAGGAGAGGAGAGGAGGCAGAGGAGAGGAGAGGAGAGGAGAGGAGAGGAGAAGGAAAGAGAAGAGACGACAAGAGAGAGCCCGTGTAAAGCGCTGCCAAGGTAAGTGAACAAGCGAACTAGAGACTGAAGCAGTCTGCCAGGACTCTTCCGGATGTTTTGATTTTCAGTGCGGCCATCAGCGCCTGCGAGAAGAGCCTCCGGTGGAGAGTTGTTCAGGAGCTGCTGACAGAGACGACGACAGTGGTTGGCGAGGTTGTAAGCCAGCTGAGATCGGGGAGAAGCAAAGCCTTGCCGGGCCTGTTGCGGGTGGAACTTAGCGAAGTTTCCAGGAGGGTGGCCAAGCTAAGCAATGCTGGCGAGTCCGGCATGGCACGGCTGGTGACCCTCACGAAGCCCAAGCCCGACAGCACGCTGGCCGAGATTGCCAGCTGGATTTGGTCTGCTGCCTCTGCTGCTGTGGATGACTCAACTGTGCTGCAGGCAGGTCGCGATGCCCCTAGGGATCTTGCCCACACACGTTCTGCGCTGCGTTGCCTGGCGCTGGTTGCTTGCGTCGCGCTGCGTCGAGCTGCAGGCTGTCGTGGAGCTGGCGAGGTCTAGAATTGAGATGGGCCTCGCACAGACGCTTTCGCCGCGAATGTTGGCCAACCTTGTGCCTGGTCTCAGTTTATCCCAGTTTCCTCGCTCATCACCTCTGCTTGTAAAGTACCCTTGACAAAGTAAAACGTTTCCGATTGATAGGCCTGGGGCTTGGCCAGCCTCGAAGTGAATGCTCCCCGGGTCTTCCTCGTCTTGCAAGGCGCGCGGAGGATACTTAGTCCGTGATGCCAGTGGTAGTGCCCTGTTCCAGGACAAACTTCGACCAACTTGAACCGTTTGTGTCTACGCCTTCAAGCCAGGGAGGGCTGCAAAGCGGGGGGGGGGGGGGGGGGGGGGGCGTATTTGGAGATGCTCAGAATTTTCGCGCGACAGTTTCCCAACGAAATGTCGGATGGATCTTTGCCGCACTCCTGCAACATGTCCAACGCGGAAGACCGGGTGAGCTGCTTGCATCTGCATCCTCACACCCACGTTCGTTTTGCTCGGTTCGTTCCAATCCAGCATCAAAGAAATCAAAAGCAGATAAGAAACCGCTTTGGTTTCCCGGCCCGAGCTTACCTTTAGCTCCATAGTGCTACTCTGCAGAAGAACACGTTGGTTTGGCTTGAGTGATGACATGGTCCTAGGCGCGGCGCAAGTTTTCGCAGTGGACCATGCCATATCGGAATTTGTGCAGATGTCTGGGGTTGCCCCGGACATGAACCTTGGGTTTTTGTGGGGAGCCGGGGAAACAGCAGAAAGATGTGAGCTGAGTGCTGGCGACGCAATGGGACATGAATCGAAGCACTGTAGCGAGGTAGCGAAAACAAGCCAGTTCTCAAGAGACCTGGTGCCAGGAGAATTGCTTCGCAGAGGAGAGGTGCTGATGCGAAGTGAAGCTCCAAGGAGCGTGCTGGTGGAGTTTGCATCAATAGTGTCCGAAGTGTCTGGGACTCAGAGAGAGGAGGAAAGAAAGGGAATGAACAGCGGCTTCTACTGGAGAGAGGAGGGCAGTTTTTCTACTTTTTGGTGAGGCTCTGGGCCTGCCACTTCGTGGGCACCCTCTCAACCACGCCATCTTCTACGTTGACAGAGATCGTCTTCCAAGTGTCGGGCAAACTGGATGCCATGGATGCCATGGTGGATGCCGTGATACCACTGGCTCTCACGGAGACCGCCGAAGGAGCCGAGGGCCATGTGCCGCGCCGCAGGGTTGCAGAAGTTCTTGCTTTCTTTGAGAGCGATTCCTGCACCGTTGCTCCAAGCCTCGAGCCTCGCAAAGGGAGAAAAACCGTGTCACTTTCCCGAGGAATTCTCCTCGACCTCTCCGATCGGCTTGTGCTCCACAAGCCGCCGGGATGGCAGGTGCGAGTCCCGGTGTCTCAGTGTCTCAGTGTGTAGCAGCGTAGCAGCGACCACTTCTCTCTCGAGAGATCAAAGCTGCAGTGTGGCACGAGATTCAGGTCGACGACCAAACGGCAAGCGAGGGGAGACCGCTTTCTGGCTTTCTGCGCTCTGCCATTCCTGGCCGGCATCGGCTGCTGAACGACTTGCAGCTTTGATGCATCGAATTTTTTTTTGCCCCCGCATTTGCGGAGACTCCGCATATCTCCGCCGCTCTGGCTGTTGGCTGCCTGAGGCACCATCAACGAGGTTTCTTGCATCGCCTGGATGTTCCAAGCTCAGGCTTGATACTTGCTGCCACAAGCTACACAGCTTACTACGACCTTCGCCTACAGCTTTCCATGGGCATGATGCTGCGTGAGTACACGACCCTGTGTCACGGGCTCCTGGGACCCCACCGAGAAGTCACCGTGCCCGTGTTCTGGCGGCGTGGCGAGGCGGATGCAAGCGCAGTGCGCCCAGAGGGCCGACGCGCGAGATCCAGCTTCCGCCGCTTGGGCTTCACCTTTCGTCGCCAAAGCCTTGAAAGCTACTTAGAAGGCTACTCCTTGGCAGAGATTCGGATTGGCACCGGCCGCCGGCACCAGATCCGCCTACACGCGGCTCACATTGGCCATCCAACCGTTGCCGATGGGAAGTACACGGCGGGCACTACTTTTGAGGACGACTTATCGTGGTGCCCGCGAAACTTCCTACACAGACACCGTCTGTGTTTCAAAGAAAGTGTCTGTGGTGCAGAGCACTCGGTGGTGGAGCCCCTGCCGAAAGACCTTTATCTGTCGCTCAACAGGACGAGGCCAGACGCCCGGTTTGTCAACTTGCACGAGACACTGCGAGCTGCTGCAAGCCCGTAAGCCCGCAAACCCTGCCAAGCCAGTGAAGCCCAGCCCGCTGTGCCGCTGTGCTCCCGATGGGCCGCCCTTCTTCGAAGTTCGCTGCATGTCCAACTCTCTGGTCCCACAGGGCCGATCTTGTTTGGTAAAACAGGGTTTGCCGCTTTACGCGCCTGATGTGCCGTGCTTGCTACCATATGGCTTGCGATGCTGAATTTTCCGGCACCCCCAGAGCAGCTTTTGCGCTCAAAGCTGAGACGTGTAGCGTCACGTAGAGAGACGTAGCGACGTAGAGAGACGTAGAGGGAGGTCAGACACCTGAAGAGACGCCATGGCGAGAACCGTCGCCATTGCCATCCTGTGGCTTCCAGGGATTCTTGCTTTCAACACGACGCAAGTGCGCATTCAGACACCCTGGACCTGTCAAACTGCTACATGCTCCTCCGATCTTGTTTTGGAGAAGGGAGCCTTGTAAGACTTTTTGGGCACTTAACGTCTTTTGGATTCTGGAGTCTCCTGAGGTTCCTGTTCCGATCTAGAGATGGTGAACATGGAGACGGGCACGGTGATGCCGAGCGACATGCAGATCCATGCCGTGAAGTACTGGCCTGAGCCGGTCGGATACCAGGGTGTCTTTGTGAACAATGACCGGGACCCATACACCAACATATACGAAGAGATCCATGCCACTCGGTGCTGCGACATCTCAGACGCGAGAGCATATGCTGGATTGCTTGTACCGGGTGGTACACATTGGTGCACCATCATGAAGTTCTCCGTAGGTTGGTGTGTTTTTGGTTTCGTGCTGTAGCTCGAAGGCTTCCTTTGTTGTGTGCTCTGAACCCCGAGGCGAGGGACTTGCCCGTGATCCGAAACGAGATAGGAGCCAATGCGCTTTTGCTGGCTCCATGGAGCTTCAGGCACAGGAGCCACACTCAGTTCCTGGAATTTGCCTCGGCGAATGACCTGAAGGTCATCCCATCCTTCGACCTTTCCTGGTATTGGGAAGATGGCACATGGGCTCAACCAGCTACAAAAGGGGCCTTGCGTAAGGATTTCCTTGATTTCTTGCAGTACTCGGCCCTCGTGAAAGATGCGCAGCCTGCACAGCTGAGCACACCAGAGACAATCCTCCTCTGGAACCTACAAGGCCTTCCTTCTGTTGAAGCGCTTCTGCCACGGAGCTGCGTGGCAGGTGCCCTGACCGATGTGGCCAACTTCAGGAATTGCATTGCCTCATCCGGGGATCTCGTGGATGCACTGGTCACCGTCCAAACGGTCCAGGATTGAGCTGCTTCCCCTTCCATGTCCCTTCCCTGCCGCCCTCTTGTCTTTCTTCCTATTTCTGTCAGTGTCTAGTGAGTCTCGTAACTAGTACAGGATTACATTGTACGTTTCCAGCTCTCGGCCAGGAGATGCTGCAGGTGGTGCGGGAGGCGCAGCGGGAGTTCCACTGCGAGGAAGGAGCCGTGAGGTCCGAGTGCCTAGCAAGGGACGATGCCACCGTCTTCAAGTTCGATCGACCCTTGGCGCTGACGGTGGACCTGGGAGATGTGTACCTCTCTGTGTCGGAGAATGCGGAGTACTTGAAAGCCTTCATCTTTTGGATGGAGCGGGTGGTCGGCTGCCATGCCGTTGCGGTTGGTCAGGCCAGCATCGAGGTCAAAGTAGTCCTACCCCCCTTCAAGCCTTCAAAAGAGGCCCACGTCTCGCCCCATTCTTTTGCCAGGTCCAGGTGCCTGAGAGCTTTGCCGAGGTGGCGCAGCAATGCGCCTTCAACGGGTATGGACGCTCGCCAGAAGACACGTCGTGACACGGAAGTTCCAGGGTGCAGGCAGATGGCAGAAGCGAGATCAGCTGAGGTTTGTTCGACATGTGGATTCTCAAAGCCCGCGCGGTCGCCGATGATGTCGAGGTCCCTCTGGCGAACTTAGAATCAGAAGTGTTGGATGTGCAGGGAACCTGGGAACCCATCTAGGGCCAATTGGCCAATTGGAAGGTCGCATTTTCCAACGTGAATGTCAGGCCGCTGCCATTCGTCGACTCCGGGACCATTTCAGCCAGCCGAAGCAGAACTTGGGGTCTGGAGCTGCCTCCGTCTCCGATCTCTCCGGCGCCATGAAGCCCATGGTTTTGGAGTTTGGATTCCCTGCTTTCTCCCACGGCTCCATGCAGCCTGAGAAGCAACACCGGGCCCTGCACGCCGTGTGGTCAGGGAGCGGCAATGGGGACGGGATCAAGAACGCCTGGAGCAGCGGCTACTGTGTGCGAGGACCCATCTTGCACTGTCTTGCACTGTCGTGCAGCTCGAGCTGTGCCACAGTCTGCTGCGCTCAATCTGTGCACAGGAGCTGCGGTCGATGAGTGGCAGGAAGAAGCTTGAAAAAGATGGTTGTGCTCCCTGAATTCACTCGACTGTGAATCGGCAGGTTGCACATCTTGTGTAATGTGTGAAATGTGTGACGTGTCTCTTCCGGCAGGACGTCTGGAGCGCTGATGAGCGTTATGAGTCCTGCACCGAGCTGAAGTCCAAGTTTGGGCACTCGACATGTGGACCCTTGACTGATGCGGGTCAACTTGCAGTTGCCTACCAGGGTTTGGTAGGGCAGTTCCACATCTTTGGCCGGCATTGCGTGCAGAAGCGCTATCTGGATGTGAACGCCAGCGTGCGCTTTCAGTTTGTTGACGACTTGCAGAGTCTCCAGAACGACTACAACCCTCCGTCGGTATGTGCTGCGGTGGTGTTGAGGCGAGGTGTCACACTCATCGCCTTCTATGCAGCGAGCGGGCTTTTCGTCTGCTTGGGGCTAGGCACCCTTTGCTCACTGTGCAGACGGCGGGCCTGGTGCACGGCCCGAACAACAGAAAACGATCATGAAGCCAGCAAGCAAAACTGCTTCAATCTGGAGCAGCTGATGCAAGCAAGCTCAACCAGGAAGGTCTTGGAGGATCTTTCGGCCGTGCCATTCGGAAGACTGCTTGCCGTGAAGGTCTCGGAAGCGCTGGAGGATGGCCGCGAGGTGCCCGAACATACAACCACCTGACTTGCAGCCACGCTCAGCTTGTCGTGCATGCTTCGGCTGCAGGAGCTTGCTCAGATAGGCTTAGTTTTAAGAGCCCCAGACCAACCCTAAACCCGAAACCCCAAGCCAGGTGCCCGTCCAGTATAGCCATCTCCGGGGATACTGTGGCTGGGGTTTTGCCAAAGTCAACGGCGCATTCTCATACCACCGGCTGCAGTACAACGGCCGTGGCCGGGGCACGGCTGTGCAGAGCTGGGACACCGCAGAGTCCTTCATCCGATTCCTGCAGGCAAGGCACCCCACCTGGTGTTGCTTCGCTGTTTCCCCCCCCCCCCCTTTTGCCACAGAGAACAGCTGTGAGAGGGACAGACGTGAGCAACAGTGCTGGCACTCAGTACACTGTAATCTGGCGAACAGCAGAAGCTGGCCCTGGGCGGAGCACAAGAGCAGCATAAAGCAAGTAAAGTACATAAGTCCCGTATATAAGTCCCTCATTGATCCTTTCTTGCAGGAACAGTCGGACCGGTCCCTCGCTGTCTACGGCTTCACCGATGCGGAGCTACGACGCACGGAGCTGATCGGCAACCGCACTGTGCGGCGCCGTGATCTGCTCGAGCTGCTGGATGCACACGGCTGCTTCAACGCAGGTGACACTGTGACAGGGCGGGCTTCAAGCCACCTTCAGGTCTTGGGCATACAGGCTGAGCTGGCAGTGGACCTGTCCTACCGAGCCAACCCGCTCTTCTTATCTGGAGTTGCAGAAGAGGTCTGGTCAACGCCGGGGGATGAGAACGACATGAACCCCGTCTTTAGTACTCGTAGTCGGCAAAAAACAAGTTTTTGACAACTCGTAACCCTATGGCCGCGATTGCCTTGCATCTTTCTCCCTAAACAGCAAAACAGCAATGTCTGTAAGGAATGGATGGCTGGCCAGGACGGGTACGAACATGAGGCTGTTCCTGGAGATGCTCGTGAACACGCATCTGGCAACGCAGGCAGATCGCCTCAGGCAACCGGTGAACGTTGCATCCTGCACATAGTGTAAAAGTGCTGTAAACAATGCATCGCCACTGTGCTGTGCAAGTCTTCGTCCGCACGCATTTTTCGCGTGAGGCGCCAGATCGAGCATGAGGCAACAGCGGTGGCTGCGGAGGAGCAGCGCCGGCAGAAGCCGGAGCTATGCGACGACGTTGCCATCAACAGGAGCTTGCTGCGGTTTGCTCGGAGTTTGCTGGAGAGCTGCGTCGCACGCGCTGCTGCAAGCAAGTCGCTAGTAAACTCTTGCAATCTCACAAGCAAGTCGCTAGTAAACTCTTGCAATCTCTTGCGCGTGTGTGCAGGAGGGCTTGTTATAACATCTGGCGCCGTGTGCTGGAGGGCTACCATGCTTGGCAAGGAGTTGTAGGCAACGCAAGGGACCTGGACTACGACGAAGACAAAGTCCAGAAGTATTTTGTCGAGGCCCTGACGTCCCGTCTGATCGGATCGATCGCTGAGCACCTGATCCATTCTCCTGAGTGGCTCTCTTGCGTCCACCAGAAGGTCTTCGAGAGCATGCAGGTCGATGAGGGTTCCGGAAGGCCTTCCTTCACCTGTCACGTGGACTATGCAGATTTGTGCGAGCCCCTGGAGTTCTTCTGCCGCAACTCCAACATCTTTGCCCCCAAGCAGGGGATCAACTTCGATGACATCAACGACTGCGGGCTCTTGTCCGCAAAAGGCCCGGATTTGACGAAGGTCCAGAAGACCTGGAGTGAGCCCGTGGGCCTTTGGGTGGCCTTTAACTTCATTGTGAACTACAAGTGGGTGCTGACCATGGCCATCTGGCTCTTGTGGTCTGCCTTTTTGCTCTATGACAGCGAGGTCTTCGAAGATTGGGTTGGCAACAGCTCCCGCCAGCCGACCTTAAATCGATTCTCCTTCTACAGCCTTGCCTTTCTGGACTCACTCTGGCTCTGCTTTCTGATGTGCTGCGAAGTCTTCGTAAGTGACTCCCCGACCCCTTACACGATTGGTCGGACGGCGCGCAATTGCTGTGTTAAGCTCCTGAGGGTGTGCAGGGTCTTGCCAACTCTGGCGCTCGCGGCAGCCTGGACACTGATTGCATGGCCAGATGTGCTAACTGAAGCTGCATCCAGCTTGGGGCTAGATGCATCCAGCCTTGATGTGCTTCCAAGCGACTTTGCCAAGACGTTCTGGTACCTGCCGGTGGCTTACCTCGCCTTCCGGTTTCTGTATGGCATGACGCCCCGCCTCAGACTTACCAGCGCATACCAGATCTTGCAGCTGGCATATTTCCGAAGGAGCCTGATCTGTTTTGATACGTTCCTACTGAGTTTGACGACGCTTAAATGAAGCTTGCTTCTTAACCAGTTGTATCCGCTCACCGCAGGATTATGCTCTTCTGGGCGGCATTCGGGTTGTTCTGCTTTCTGTGCAACTACTCCATGCTGGTGGGGCTTGTGCGGCCATTGACTCCGCACCAGCTTTGTAATATGAACGATGATGATGCGGACTTTTGCAGCTCCTACACTGTCGACGTCTTCACTGCTAGTATTGTCGTGAAGGATGTGCGGTGTGTCGCCTGCAATGCTACAGTGTTTGCGAGCTGGGCGCTTGTGGCATTGAGTAGCATGCTGATGATGTACTTCATCTTCAACCTCTTTGTTGCCATCGTTGGTAGTTCAGTGGGAGCTGCACGTGGCTTTGTGGAGACAAGCATCCCATCCTTGGAGTTCCGTGTAGAGACCGTCACCGCAGACTTCACTTCGATGCGAAAGGCCGAAGCGAGCTGGATGACCCACGGCTCCATCTTGAACGCAACTTGATACTGAAACATTCTCTATGTCTCGCCTTGATTCTAGTCACACACTTGCCGAGAACTATCCACACCTAAGGCAGTCTTTGGCAAGGACTGGCAGAAAGTGTGGGCGATGATGGCAGCTTGGCCGCACAGTGGCGTGTCTTTGTCAGCATAGTATCACATGATGAGTGTCAATGAGTGTTCAGATCTTGCCAGAATGCGGTTAGGTGGACGGCTTGTATGATGAGTGCCTCATCGACAGCAAGATGCGCAACAGCTTGCTGTCTGCAGCCAAGACGGGTGGCTCCGTGAAGCTGTCCGGTAAGGATATGCAAATCCTCGATCGTGCCAGGGCCAGGCTGGGGTACCTTTTCACCAGCCTCAGATCAATCTTGGGCGACACCAACATCAACTTCAAGCCCTACAATCCTTCCGCAGATGGAGTTACGGATGCCTTGGGCCTGACCCATCGGGGCCGCATCCCATCTTTGACTCAGATAGTTCCCGTCTACAGCGAGGAGGGCATCATGGACATCAAGGAGCTTGTGGGGGACCCCAAGGCAGGAGCTGTCTCGACGATGCTCGAGTTCCTGATCTCGCAGTTGCCCCGTGAGTGGGAGATCTTCGCCCAAAACGAAGGCCTGCACCCAACGGATCTTTATGATCAGCTCTGCGAAGCCAACAAAGGGAAGGGCTCGGGATCATCAAAGGCTCAGCAAGACCGCGTCCGGGAATGGGCCTCGCATCGTGCTCAGAGTGTGATTCGGACTGTCAACGGCGCGGTGCACTACCACCGAGCACTGAAGGTCTTGCTGGAAGGAAAGGACGGAAAGGATGGAAAGGATGGCGAGGTCGACAAAGCTGACAAAGGTGGTGTGGGATTTGAGGACCTCCGCTCCCACGCCCAGCTCATCATGGCCCACCAGACCTATGGCAAGCTGAGCCTCGGCAAAGCTCAGCAGGTGAAGATCCAGCATGGTATGATCACAACGCCGGCTCCACATGGCCTTCGCCCCAACGATCGCGTGCGCCTGACGCTCGACTCCCTGAATGCAGAGGCACCGCGTGTCACTGCTTTTCGCTCTGCTGGCACTGCTCTGTGCTTCATGTGTGCCGTACCCTGTCGTACACATCATCTGCATAAGACGCAATGTGTGCAGTGTTTGCCTGCAGAGGACGCGGTGGCCAGGCGGGCTGTGGAGAAGATCTGGAAGAATCGTGCAATCGCCAAACTGAAGCACCGTGCCAAGACGCGGCAGGAGGTGGAAGCCATTCTGAGCGATGGGGCGCAAGTCCAGTCCCTTGTTGATGAAGTCCTGGTAGATGGAAGCCTCTCGGAGGCGGTGGATGATGCCAAGGTAGAGAGCACCATGAGCGATGACCCATCCGAAGGAGCAGTGACCAGCACCAGCTCTTCAGCTTTTGCACGGCATCCCGCACTACTTGGCCGACTCTGGGGCCAAGCGCAGATCAAGGGACTGCAGAACTTCCGCGGTGGAGGTTTCTACACGATCAAGGAGATTGTCGACGAGCACACTGCCGTTCCTTCTGAATGCATTCAACTTCGGACCTCATGTTCTCCCTTCTCACGGCATTTCCTGCGCAGGTAGCATCGTATAGCGATCGAGAACGGGTGTCCACGAAGTATACGACACTCATAGCACTTCAAAAAATGTAGAAGCACAGGATGCAATTCCAAGAGACGTAGGCTGGCAGCATGTTCCCAGGTTCTGTCTGACAGCTCCGTGAATTGTGGGACGGCCCGGCTGGAGAAGGCGGAGCTCACGAAGCGGGAGCATGACGTGCACTATATGCTTGCCAAGCACCAGGGCTTCCCTTTCTTTGTTTGCATCGATTTCCAGCGAGGGAAGAGCCATCCACAGCTGGAGGAGATGATTGACGCACATGTGTCCAAGCAAGCGGCAGGTGTGGAGTGGGCCTCCGTGCGCTTCCGGCATGCCAGTGTTTTAATCAGGCACGGTGGCGAGACCGGGTCGACCGGGTCGACTGGGTCCTGGCCCATCGAGATTGTCCATGTGCTTCCCCGAGCACGGGGCCTCCTCATCGGGACGGTTGGGAATTTGACGCAAGGAAAGGCAGGAAACCAGTTGGGGGCCCTGCGCTTCGCGGAGGGCCACTTTGTCCAGATGATGGATGCAAACATGGGCTGCTATGCGGGCGAAACCTTCAAGGTGCCAGCTGCCTGGCTGCAAGCTGATGGAAAAAAGGATAGAAGACTCACACAAACAAGCCTCCCAAACTTGCAGAGTCTCGCCATCTCGCCGTTCCCGGATCTTGTTCTTGTGAGGACCCACGACAGTTCACCAGCTGAGGTGGTATTGCAAGGCTTTCATCGCTCGTCGCTGACCGAGGGGGACTATGATCACCGCCTGAAGCTCCAAGCCCGGATCATTGGCTTCCGTGAGCACATCTTCACGCGCGAGCATGGCCTGGTGGGGCAGATCATGGCGGACGGTTTGCCAAAACACAGTGCACAACTTACCACAACAGTCAACCCCAGTAATTCTACTCAAAGGGCTGACCGCGTGCATGCAATGCCGCAGGATGCCGAGTGGACTTTTGGGACCTTGGTGCCGTGCTTGGCGAGATCCAAGTGTGATCACATGCTTGTCAAAGATTTTGGGATATCTTTAGCTCATGATGCTCATGCCCTCGTGGCACTTGTGGCAGGTGCAGCGTCTGCTGGAGTTCTTGACAGTCCGCCGCCTCCTCGGTGGTTTTGTCTCCACCACGCTACTTCAAAATCTTTCCGCCAGACAGAGAGTCCTTTCAAGAGTGGCGCAGAGAGCGAGTTTGCTTGCTTTTCTAGCTTTCCTTGCCCTGTCTTGCGACTGTGAGATGAGGCATGCATTACGGACACCCTGACTTCATGGATGGGTTCTGGGCAGCCAACCGCGGCTCCGTGTCCAAGGCCTCGCCCCACATCAACTTGTCAGAAGACATCTTCGCGGGGCTGAACGTGAAGATCCGGCACCAGCAGTCCCTGCACACGGATTATCTGGAGTGGGAGAAGGGGCGCGAGGTTCAATTCTTGGCAGGCTCTGGCTTCTTCTGGAAGATCGCCAGCGGCAGCGTGGGCTTGCTGCGCACACGCGACCTGCGAACGCTCTGCGGCAATGCCTCCGTCATGGAAACCTTTGCTCTCTACTTTGCCACTGTGGCCTGGCACGACGCTCAGGTTTTGCGCAGCTGTTGTGCTGCTGACAGTCAAGGCTCTTCAGCATGTTCTCACAAAGTCAGTGCTGGCCAGCCCCCAGCTCAGCTGGTAGCGGCCTCCAAGAAACTCAGGATCCCTTGAACAGCACCCTCAAGCATGCTTGCATTCTAACATGTTCTGGTTAAAACGTACTTCACCTGCAACACATGCCCTGCCATAACGTCGAAACCCCTGTCGAGTAGTTCTTCATTGCGGGGGGGGGGGAGGTGAAAACGGGGTACATGCGGTGAACATGCTTGCTTGTTTGTTGTTTGGGCACACCATGAAAGGAAGGCAAAATCCGTGAATCGGCAAAGGGTGGTTTTCATGCTTTTCACAGGGGGCCAGTCAGGGTCCAATGCCTACACTCTGGAAGGGGGGTTGAACCCCTCTGTGGTTCCAATACCCCTCTCATGAGAGATGCGAGAGATAAGTTGTTGATTTGCAATGAGTGTGTGTGTGTGTGTTTTCTAGTTTTTGGCGCCGCCCTCAGAAGCAGGCGCGGTATTTCACTGCGGCCATCAGCTGTTGGACCCCTACCTATCACACGTGCAAGTCTCAACGGACTGAGCATTCATTCCGCAGAAGTAGATTTGCAATGATGGCCTCACGGCCTTGGGTTTACTAAGTGTACTTTGCATCGCAATGCGATGTCGCGGTCCTCTTGCCTTCGGATAAGATGGATGGGTTTACATGTGGCACCAAAACCCCCTTGAGTCCTCACACGCGAACTTTCTTGTTTGCAAGCTGCCCCCTCGCCTGTTGGTCAGCGGAAGTTTCTGTGACGGCAGCGGAGTACTCCAGAATTGAGCGGGTGCACAGAGGACGAAAATGCGAGGCACATCAAGCTAAAGCTACACCGATCAACGAAAGGGGTCCAGACAATGACATGCGTCGATGAATGACTCAAGGTCGAGGAAGCCAAACTGAAAATTAGAAGGACGGCCCTCAACGTCGGAGGAGGACGAGGAGCCGTCGGAGCCATCCACATTCTTCTGGCTCCAGATTGTGCAATGCGTGGAATACGCTTCAGGAGGAAGAGGAGCGTGTGCAGCATTGAGTCTTGCATCATGAGGCGTGCCATCGGAAAGCCCAAGTCCGTCTGTCCCCCCTCCCCCCCATGTCATCATCGCCATCGTACGCCAATAGTGGAAGCGCGCACCCGGAAATGGAGCACTTGCGCCAAGTTGTCAAGTTGCTTTTCGGATGTTAATGGGCAGTTCAGGTGTCATGCTTGCAGGTACATTCACAACGTCCTTGTAGACATCAGCACGGAGGTCTTCGTGTTTATCTTCATCTACTTGACCCTCGCATCGAAGTCCATCGCAGACCTGGGCGAGCTGGGGTCCATGCTGGCGGCAGAATGGCTCCTCAGAGCGCAGCATAAAGTCAACGTTGTTGCATTGAGCATCATAATTATGGCTCCAGAAGTAAGCGTCGCAAGTTCTAGGGAAGGCAATGTTGCCCCACCCCAAACAAATCTGGGACCCTCTGTCAGGAAATACCCGCGCGACCCACCCAAACAAATGTAGGGGGGGTGAGGACCTGAGCTGAAGCCAAGGCCCTTAAGCCCTGAAGCCGTGACGGCCAAAGGCTTGAAGATGTCTGGCCACCATGGCTGAAGCCACGGCCCTTAAAACCTGAAGCTTCTCGGGCCTTGAGGCCCTTTAAGGCCTGGAAGGGAACTATTGTTTGCTTGTGATTATGGCTAGTACGCAAAGGAACCTACTACACCGAGCCTGTGGGAACGAAATCCAATAAGGTTTCAAATGGCATAGGACCCTTCAAACAACCCCCCCCCCCCCAAAAAAAAAAAACAATAAAAGAAGAGATAATTGCGGGTGACCCCAACAACCTGAGTTCGCCGAATCATTTTGGAAAACTTGTGATCATGGAGCCTAGCCCTACAAAACAGTGCAACATCACTCGCCAACCGCCGATAGCTGCGCTAGCTGTGGCAGTGGTCCTTCTTCCCCTGTATTTCTCCACACGGTGATGGATGAGCACTGCACGTGCTTCTCAACGGCCCATCGCTAGACCCCTGCGCGATCACTTGCTCGTTGTCGGCCATGAAAGTTACTGAGTGTTACTCTGCGTGGCTTGGCGTGCTAGTGACTGCTAGTGTCGAAGGGTCCCTTTCGGTGCCTCGTGAGGTTCCTCACGCCTGCATTCTCAGCAATGCTGCCTGCCATCATCGGGTTGGGAATCGAGTACGGGCCTGTGTGGATGATCAGAAACTACATCTTCACTGCTCCTATGTCCATGGTGTACTTCATCTTTATCAACAAAGCCATGTCCTCCTCAGTCCGAACAACCTTCGCTGCCAGGGGCTCAGAGGGCTTCAAGGATTTAAGGGAGGCGACTGGCTTGGATGCCGATGCTCGACGTAGGCCTTGCACTACACCCCAAAGCCCTGATGTTTGCTCTTCAGGGTTTGGGTTCAGCAACTCGGTGACGTACTTCTCTTTAACAGCTCGGTGGGTACTACTCATTTGGCAGCTCAGTGGAACAGCTCGGTGGGGTTTGTGCCGGTTGCGGGTGCTGCTACGGCAGAGAGGCACGGTATTGGCAGAGGCAAGAATGCCATGAATCCGCTGCAGTCGAAGCGAGCCCTTGCTGTTGGGGCTTAGGCCAACACTGCTGAGTACGTCAACACAGGGAGGCCACATGCCAACAAGAGCTATACGCTAATGGAAGCTTTCCTGGCGCCCCTTGCCTGCGACTGCCTGTGTTGTGGGCTCTATAGACGTGCAAGCGGAGCGATATTGAGCGATGCAAAGCTGCAAAGCAATGCAGAACTGTGCTGAGGTATTGGAATTCGCACTACCGGCCGGCTTTGCGAATCATCTACTGCATCGTGTGGGAGCCTCAGCCCATCCAACATCTGAGAGTTCACAGCTTCACAGCTTGGCGTGGGCGAGGTTGTATCGGTCGATGAACAGCGATGGTGCCTTGCCACTCATCCTTGTGTCCTTTACAGACCCGGGCTCAGCGACCGTTGAGAAGTTGTTCCAGCCGACTTGAGTCAGAGCTTGAGGGCAAAAATGGCTGCGTCGCAAGTATGGTGCTGCCCGTTTGCCGCGTCTTGCAATTGAGGCCTTCGTGTGGATCCTGGCCCCGATCCTCTTCCAGCCGCCCACAAAGACAGTGTGTGAACAGACCCGTGAACTGGTCGGCTTTGTGGCGAAGGCCCACAAATCCTGCAAATCGGCTGAGTGATGAAAAGTCTTATCTTTCTGTAAGAGGTCCCTGCTCACCGCGAACGCCTCACCTCTGGAAAGCCCAGCTCTCTCTATGAGGCACTCGAACTCGCGCATGTTCAGGCTGATCGAGTGATTCGTCATTGGCTCACCAATTTCGCATGCTTCCCCGTGGCGAGGCAGGCTTCGAGCAAGAGCTGAAGCAGGCCAATCGAGGTCTCGTCCTGCCTCTTATCTCTGGCTTCCTCCTTTGCCTTCTCTACCTTTTCATGACATCCTCGGACATCTTGGACCAGCCCCTTGGACGCAAAGGAAACAGACGAACTATCTTTGCCCGGTGCTGTGCGTGCTCGCTCTCTCCCTCCTTCCTCCCAGCTCTCTGACTGAGGATGTGGGCCCCGCTTTGCGGCATGTTCATCCTCTTCCTGTTCCGATCGGTGCTGGCCATCTCCGGCATCAAGTCTGCAGGCGCGGGCCCAGAGCTTGCCGGAGCTTCCTTGTAGAGGAGAATCGATGGAACTGGCATCTGCTGCCGACTCTCCAGCGACACCTCTCCCTCTCAGGTATGATGATGCTGGCCATCCCGTGCCTGTCCCTGCAGCTTGGCTGCTTTTCAACTCTTTGTGCGACTCGCTAAAACTTGCGCTTGTCAAGGCTTGCTTTTGCTGCAGGTTCGTGATCTTCTTCTCCACTTACATTGTGGAGCCTCCGCTGATTTTGCTGTGACTTGCTAAAGCTCTGCAACCTCTACGGTGCCCATCTCTACCCCCCACGCGGGTTCCGCCAACCAGAGTGATGAATTCAGTCTGCTCAAGGAGAATCGGGATTTCGGGTCCCTGCTCGTGGCCACGCTGATCCTAATCCAGTTCTTGACCACCGTGAAGCTGCTGGTCTGGTCCTTCTTCGCCCTGGTGCTGCCGAGAGGCAGCCCACTGGGCTATGAGCAGGTGGTTCGCTTCACCTTCGACTTCCTGTGCATCTACGAGCTCCAGTTCTTTGGAGCCACTTGTCTCGAGTGAGGGTCAGCGGGGTCAGCTCCGACTTCCGATTTGTCTTGGTTTCGGTTTCTGATGAGGAGGTGGCTCTGTAGCATCTTCTTTAAATGCTCCTTGCTTGGTCCGCTGCAAGCATGCTTTCATATGCTTTCCTTCCTCTCAAGCTGGCTGAAGCTCCTTGAGGAGGGTCATGATTTCGTGATACCATGGTCAGCCTGTATTGTGGGCACTTACCGAACCTGCAGTGACTGCTTGTCGATGCTGTTGAGGGAATGTACCTCTTTTGCAAGTGGCAAATCATGGAATGACATCAACCCTTGCTGCAGTCAGACTATTGTGCTTTCTTCACGCGGGGTTTGGCGGGGTGGAGTTCTGCGCATGCAGATTTGCTTCTTCTGGATATGCGGATGACCCTTGATCGACGTTGCCGAAAGTCAGACCGTATGAGTTCGCAAAGACTTTCTTTGCACAAGTAGTCAGTCGTTGTGGCTCATGTGTTGTCATGGTCAATGGATTGATTTGGACATCTTCGAGATCATGTTTTGCCCCTGAACACTGAGCACGGAATGCTGCTTGCGCACTTACGTGTCCTGCAAAGAGGGCTTCTTGAGGGGTTTTCCGGCAGCCGATGCAGGCTTTGGTTGTGCTGATTCTGCAGACCATCTTCGCCAGCATACTGTGGCACCCCTCTCAGGGTTGGAAAAGACATCATGGCCTCAATGGTCGTTTGTGGCATCGTGTTAGGCCGTTAGATGCCCCAAGGTTGCTGGATAGACCTCCTCTGCGGCTGCGCACGGGCCTGATCCTCAACAGGTGGGGGGTCCCAAAGACAGGAGTCCCAGGAGTCCCTCCTTAAAGCTGCCTTAGGGCCTTGCGCCGTGAGCTGCAGCACGAAACTGACTGGGCTTTTTCCCTTTGCGTGCGAGCTGCAGTCCCTGAGCAGGCGTGTGTCGATCGGAAGCGTGGCTGCATGTTTGAAAGCACCCCGGGGCCCGCCCCTGCTCTCTGGGTGAATGTTTGTTGCTCGGTTGCTCTTGTCGTTTTGGTCGTTGTTCTTGCACCTTGTTGCACTTGAGGATGTGTGCGGACGATCTTCGGTGAGCCTGAGAGCCGCGGCCTCAGCCTCCAGAACGATGTGGCACGCGTGGCTCTGCCGGCTCACGTTCTCACATGTTCTCTCTGAGTCAAACACGTAACAGAAAACAACCGGGGTGTAACAGAAATAATGCCCCACAAAAAGGCGAAGCAGAAACTGCTGGGAAGCGTGACGGAAACCAACCTGGACGTGTGAGAACAGTGACCGAAACCAAGGGGAGGCGAAACAGAAACCAACCGTGAGACAGGTTAAGGGGGGGGACGGGGACAACAGAAATTCATGCTTGGATCGATTGCAGGCGTGCTTCTGGGAGGGTTCAGGACTCAGGGTTTAGGTTTAGGGGTTCGGCACAAGGGTTCAGGCTGCAGCATTCGGCTTTTGGCTTTAGGCTTGAGAGTTTAGTGCTCAGGGTTTTTTGGTTCAGGCTTCAGGGCTAGCTTCAGGGATTGGCAGTTTCCGTGACAAGCTCTGAGTTGGTTGCCATTGCAGGTTTAGCTGGTTTCCCTTACGCCCGCGTCTGGTTTCCGCATCGTCGGGCATGGTTTGCATTACACGTTCCTGGGTTTGTGTTGCGGTTCCCGGCCTGGTTTGGTGACATTCTTGTTTGGCCATCCTCACCCTGTACTCTATAGCTGAGTCTATCGGAGCTCGCGCTGCGAGCTTAGGCAAAGATGAGTGCATCACCGTCAAGGTGGATGGATGAAAATGGATGTGACTCGCCTTTGCATCATCCAAACCTTATAGGTCTAGTGACGAGCAGACGGAATGTCTTCGTGTAGCCTGGGTGAACCAGCCCAGCCGCAGAAACCTGATTTTGGGGACTACCTGCTTCAATGCTAAGCAGAGTACCTGCCCATGGAGATGTGACACCAGCATCTCGTGCGCGGACGGTGAGGGCCATTTTCTTGCAAGCAACTCTCCAAAGAAAGGACGTATGCATATTCTCATGGCCAACGCTCAAAGCAAGAAACTGGCACTGATTGTCGGCAGCCTAGTCTGGCCTTACAGAGCATGTACAGCTTCTCCCAGACATTTTGCTGGTCCCGTGCTGCCCACAAGCTGGCAACACCACCTTTGTGAGACACTCGCATTCAACGCGCTTCAAGATGAAGTCGCGAGTCGTAGTTCTTGTAAAGCTCGTGAAACCTTGTTAATTCAAACTGCATCCATGCAAGTTGGCAACCTACTTGTCTGCTTGCCTGGCTTTGAGTCGCCGGCTTCGCTCCAGAAACAAAGCTGACGGATACCTGTTGCTGTTCATTGAGATGTCTCGTGGTTTGCGGTAAGACTGACCTGGCCGCAGCAAAGCTTGTTCGAGTGGACTTGATCCATGGAATTCATCGAAAGAGGCCCCAGCAAGGCAAATGACAGGAGGGGCCATGGGGGGGCCAGCGCCCACATCAGCGCCAGAGCGACCACCGGTTTTGAGACCCTGGCAAGCGGATCGCACCTCCGCTGCAGGTCCAAGGCAAGCATGGCTGTACCGACCGGAGGGAGGAGCGGGATGCGCCAGTGGACGAGTCTGCGTGATTCGGTTCGGAGCTGTCAGAGGAACCAGGACTGGCAAGAGGCCCTGCGTCTTCTGGACACCATGCAGTCTCGAAGGATGGACCAAGTCTCCGTCTGCGCAGCGATGAGCTGCTGTACCAGGCCGGGTGTGCTGAGGGTGCTTTCAGGAGCCGAAAAAGCGTATAGCCTCCAGCATGGACCAGTGCACACGGGGGGCTTGTGTGACCGTGTGATTGTAAAGTGATGTAACGTGCTTCGAATCGCAGGGCCGGCATCTGGGAAGCGAGCCTGGCCCTCTTTGCGTGGCTTCTCGCTTCATCGGTGGCCCCGGACCCTGTCACCTTTAGCGCGGCCCTGTCAACTTGTGCGGGCTCTCGATGGACCATCGCGCCTTGGCCACTACTTCTTCAGCTCTGTATTAGACAGTGAAACAGCAGTAACCCCGTAGTAGCTGCAGCATGCTACAAGTACCTCTGCCTCTTTCCCCACGTTCCGAAAACCGACAGATCAGAGAAGAGTAGAGCAGCCGAGCAAGGCGATCTTGCTGCTTCAGCAGCTCATGGCGATGGCTGTGGAAGCTGACACCATATGTTTCAACTCTGCTACTTGGACACAGCTCAGAACTCAAGTCGTCAACTGCGAGTCACCTCGTAATCGCCTCGCGCACGATCTGTCGTGTGAGGCCATCAGTGCTTGTGACAAGACTGCATGGCAAGCTGCGCTGTGGCTGCTCCAAGCAATGCCTACAGCTGGAGCCATTTGGCATTTAACGCAGTTGTGTCCTGAGCAGCACTTCTGCAAGGATTGTTCGTGATCAGTTCCAAGGTGAGACCCAATTGCATCACCTTCACCGCTTGCATGAACGTGTGCCCGTGGACCGCTGCCCTGCATCTCCTCGATCAGATGCAAAGCATCAGCATCCCTCCCAACGACATCACGATGAACACGGTGGCTTGGTTGCCTTGAGAATCCTTGAGAGCTGTCGAGGGGGTATTCTGAGTACTGCGGGCAAGTTGGAATAGGAATGCCTGGCTTTCAGAGTGCAGGCCATGCAGACCTGTTCAGGGCAGTGGCAGACACTGTTGCAGCTAATGGTGCTCCTGCCGAGCTTGGCCATTCAAGCTGAGACTTGGCAAAAAGAAGGCACATGCGGTGAACACACGACCCGTATCTCCGTGAATATTGCAAGATGTGTTCCTCTTTCTGGCCATTAGTCCCATACTCATGGTGCGCAAGTCGTTTCGGGTTGGGTCTTTTGACGCATGGTTTCTCATGTGTTTCGTTTAGTCAAGCTCATGGCATGGTCGTGCAGAGTCAGGGGGGCGTGCGGCACTTCAACATCCTTGCATCCCCTCAAAGTTGCAAACCAAAGGGTACCCTCCAACCAACAACCTGAGTAAATCCTGCCCATTCTGTCGGTGTAGTGGCTTCTATGTTCTGGAGAAGGGGGCGGGCCAAAAATGTAAATGCGACAGCGCGCTTGGGAGCAACTGCTGGTTTTCCAAACTTGCTGGGCAAGATCCTGAACTCTAGCGACTCCAGCACTCTTGTAGTTCGCTGTGACTTTGGCCAGCAAAGTGTTCATTTGGAGATATGGTTAGTTTGACGGGTGGTGAGCCTATGTCTTCTTCACTCGTGAAATGAGGACTTTGTCAGCTACAGCACGGCATCCTGGCTGCAAGAGATGAAAGGCAGTCTGACAGGCATCTCTTGACAGGATGCAAGTCCATCCCAGGCCATCAGCGCCTGCGAGAGCGCCGGGCGCTGGCAGCACGCGGCCCTGCTCTGGGAGTCCATGGCCGCGAGCCGCGCCCAGGGCAACGTGATTTGCCGCTTGTCATCGCTCGTCCATGCTTGTCCGTGCTGTTGCTGTGAGCGTGGGAAAGGTACATATATGGGTGTTCTTTCGGGAGTCTGTTGCCGCAGCTGTTCCGTGAGGTTACAACGCAGCCATCAGTGCCTTTGGCTCAGCGGGGCGGTGGCAGCTGTCGCTGGAGCACTACCGCTTACTGCGCTCTGCATTGCCGCCCACTTGACTGCAGTTGGCTGCTGGCTCCGTGTGGGGGACATGGTGTCGGGTGTGCTTGCACACGCCACTAGAATCACTAGAAACTTGGTGGTGTGCCATTGCCAGAGCCAAGGCCTGATCAAGTCAGCTGCGGTGCGTTGATGGATGCGGTTGCAAAAGGAGGTCTCTGGGAGCGGAGCCTTGCTGTTCTTTCATCCATGGCGAGATTGAGGCTCGTGCCGGACATCTTCAACTACAATATCGCTCTAGAGGCATCCGGCGACTGGCAGCAAGCAGTGGGGCTGCTGGGATGCAGAGAAGGAGGCAGTCCACCGAACGGGATCACATACTCGAACGCCATGACGGTGCTCGCAGTGCACGGGCGCTGGAAGCTGGCCCTCGGCATGGCCCGCCGCAGCTTGGCAGAGCAGCGCTGTGCATTCAAAAGCAAGGACATACCATCTCAAAAAACACGACGGACCGTTGGGACCATGACCATGAGAGACCTGAGATGATCCAAGGCATGCGCGGAGACAGATGCCACAGCGACGCTTGGCCGGAGTTGGCTGCGGTCATGTGCAAGCATGAGGTATATGAGATCTACCTTCTTGAGCAGTTTCTAAGGAGATCGCACATGGCTCGGCTCTCAATGCTTGCGAGAAGGGTCAACAGTGGCAGACTTCCCTGAAGATGCTGCGATCCTTTGTTGCAAGACCAGTGCAAGACCAATTGACACGTCCGTCTGTTTTTTTTGGCACTATTTCTTGGCCCTTGTTGCCCTTGTTGCCCTTGTTGCTTCCGGAGTGTGCCTGTTGCCAGGATGGATGGCGCAACAAAGCATCGAGACAAACGAGATCTGCTACCGGGCAGCCGTGGCCCCAGGCGCAAGCCATACTGTAAAGGCGAGGGAGGCACAAGACTGTCAAAGCTAAGGTGATCAGTGCGTCCGAGCAAGAAGACCAGCCACTTGCTCTGAGGGCTTAAGGCTTCAGCTGGTATTCCATGAGGGTATCGTTGCGCGCGAGTTGCGCGGTGCCTCCACAGTTGAGGTGGCCGGTGGCGCTGATGTTGCTGCTGGACCCGTCCACACCCGCCGGTGCCGCTGTGAACTCCGTGGCGGAAATCTCCCCGCTCTCCGCCTCCGAGGCGGTGCAGGCGTCCTGGAGGCCAGGCCCCTTGCAGGCTTCCAGAAGCCATCTGCATCCTTGCAGATATTGATGGTTGGAGTGGCTTACAGGTTCGGTCCTTTGGTGAATTCGTAGGCGTTGTTGGGCCCTGTTGGAGAGGTGGAGTCGGATCCGACGCCACAGCGGCAGGCTGCCGCTGCCTGAGCTGCCGGCGCAGAGGCTGTCTGAGGATCAACTTCCTCGCCTCACCTTGCAGGAGCAAAAGACAGACCACAGCGTGCTTCGCATCATGCTAGCAAGAGATGCAGATTGCGCAAGATGCTTCGCTTCGCAAGACGCTGCCGAAGGAGCTGAGCGTCCTCGCCTGGTCGATGGCGTCCTCGGAAAGCTCGGAGAGCTCAGCAAGCTTTGGGCACACCTGGGACGCCCTCCTCCAAGAGGTCCGCATCCGGCTGCAGAGCGGGGAGGACACCAGGAATGCATAGGATGCAGAATGTAGAGACGTGAAAATTTGCTCGTCTTGTCGCTTGCGATGTCGAGTGCGATGTCGATTGCAGAGGAGCGGCGGCTCCCGATGCGGGCGCTGGCGACGTTGGCCTGGTCCATGGCTGCGTCGCCCGAGCCTGGGCTTTTCGATGTCTTCGGTGCGATGCAGAGGGAGCTCGCCAACCGGGTGCCTCTTCTTCGAGGTAGAGAGGCCAGGAGCTCGAGCACAGACATGCTGGAGGTTCTCTGGGCTTCCAACTTTGCGGGTTACCTACAGCTGCGCAGCCTGCCGCCTGTGTGGGACGCTCTCCAACGTGTGGCGCGGGCTTTGGACGGCTCAACCGTCTCTGGCGTCTCGCAGTTGCCCTCGCAGTCCTCGCAGCCACGCCTTTCCCGCCATGACCGCCTTGCCCTGCTGCGGCAGCCTCCAAATCCAAGCGCGCCTGAAGTCGTGATTGAACTCTGGGACAGCTGCCTGGCATCACTAGCATCCGTATGCACCCGTCATCCTTAGTTTGCCGTCCGGGCCGTCCACCCTTCTTGTTTCATCTGAGGACTCGTGATCCACAAGCCGCCGGGGTGGCAGGTGCACAAGATTGCACAACCTAAATCCCAATGGGGAAAGGTAGCGGATTCGCGAGGATTTCGCAGGTTTGCCTTGGCAACTTTGCCTCTCTCAGGGTTTTTTCTGTTTGCTCTCACAGAAGGCCTTGACGCAACGTGCAAGTGCATGTGTGATCATGCGGGATGGTGTTCCACAGCTGGTCTGGTTGAGGTCGATGAGTCTGGAGATGCCTCTGGCAAGCCCCTTTCGCAGTACGTGCAGCAGCTCCCCAACCATCGCAACCTGCCTATCCACCATGATGAGTCTCACCAGCGAGGATTCCTGCATCGTTTGGATGTGCCAAGCTCCGGAATGATCCTGGTCGCTTCTACTTACTCTGCCTACTACGATCTTCAATTTCAGCTCTCCTCGGGGATCTTGATCCGAGACTATGCTGTCCTGTCACATGGCTGGTGGAGTGCTGACCGTGGGGTCATTCGCGCGTCAGTGACCTGGGCCGAGACTGGCGCCCAGAAGGACAGCCCAAGCCGCATTACACCCGGTAAGAACTCCGAGACAAACCTCAAGGTCCTCAGCCACTCTGTGCGCATGGGAAGCACACTGTCCCTTCTGGCAATTCGGATTGGCACCGGGCGGAAGCATCAGATCCGGGTTCACACCGCGCATGCCGGACACGCCACCGTGAGCGATGGTGGCGTGGACGAATTGAGGTCCTTGAGGTCAACTTGAGGTCAACTTGAGGTCAACTTGAGGTCAACTTGAGGTCAACTTGAGGTCAACTTGAGGTCAACTTGAGGTCAACTTGAGGTCAACTTGAGGTCAACTTGAGGTCAACTTGAGGTCAACTTGAGGGTTGGGAGTTGCGTCTCTGTGTGCTTGTGACGTGACAGACTCCTTTGCCAGAGCTGTGCCAAGGTATGTATTCTGCTGCAGAGACGTACGCCTCCGATCAGGATTGGTGCCGGCGGATATTCCTGCACCGGTGCGCCCCGCAATGCACGCGAACTGCTCGACGAAGAGACTAATTAAGCGAAGAACGACTAGCTTGCGACTGGCAGCTCGTTGAGCTTAGCTGATGGTCAGGTACCACCTAGCGTTCCGGTCAAGTGCCTTGCATGGAGAAGACTTCGAGGCGGACTTTGGGGAGAATCGCGAAGTTCTCTCAGTGTGCAAGTCTGCGCGGTAAGTCCCGTGGCTCCGGTTCTGTGAAGGCCAATGGTGCATTGCCGCCGGATCTGCAGGACAGCCTTCAGATGGCACAGGCGAGCGGCGTGATTTTGACATGTGTGCAACCTTTGCAGTTCAGTTTCCATCCATTATGCAAAGCTCGAGGTCGTTCGACCCTCCTCCCAAAGGGCAAGGCAGGAGCATTGGGCAACGCCTTGGGCAACGTCTTGGGCAATGCTCTCCTGATAGGTCGGTGCGCTTCGCCTCCCTGCCACCATGGCACATGTGCTCACAGTTTCACAGTTGACGCGGGGGGCTGAAAAGGAGCGACCCTGCACACCCGCACACACACGCACACACAGAGACACGGAGACGCAGAGACAGACACACAGGCAGAGTCACACGGTGATACTCGTCAACGAGCTCTCAGACAACAGATCCGTGAAGGATCTTCATGGCATTTCACGGAATTGATAGACTCTGATAGACTGTCGGCTCCAGCCTTGGGCCTCCGAGGGGCCTCCGGTGGGCCCGGTGGGCATGGATTTCATTGCCATGTGCGGGCATCCAGTGCAGTGCTTAGCGCCCGGTTAGTGCAAAGCGCACACAAGGGACCAGAGCACTCAAGCCGCGAACGCGCAGTCCCTCAAGTAATGAGCCCGTGAACGTGCGGCGGCTTTCAAGAGGAGTGCGGGACAGTCACAGTCCGGGGCTCACCAAGAATTGGCTCGACACAAAGTTGGGATGGTTTTGGAGCCGGAGGCCTTGTCCCGCTCGGAGAGGCATGCTCAGCTCCACAAGCAGCACACGAAGGGACACTGGGGAGTGGAGCTGGGAGGTGACCCCCGAGCTGTGACCGCAGCACTGAAGCAGCTGGCAAGGCGTGGAGTGGATCTCTCTGAAGTCCTCCTTTCCATGCAGAGAACGACGATTCAAGCCAATGTTTACCACTACAACACAGCCATCTCATCTTGCCAGGGATCTTCCTGGCAGTCGGCACTGCGCTTGCTGAGTCGGATGTCCGCGTGCCTTGTGAATGCCGACGCAGTTAGCCAGAACGCGGCGATGGCGGCAGTCGGGCCTGTCTGGGAGCGGGCCGTCACCCTCTTCTGTGACAGCCACAAGGAGTCGGTGGCGTTCAACAGTGTCTTGTCTGCCTGGGGTAAGGCCGGCAAATGGGAGCTGGGACACAGAGCGTTGAGCCAAATGCAGTGCCTTCGTGTGCAACCAGATCACATCAGTTTCACGTCGTGCCTGGATGCAAGCGGGCGAGCAGATTGCTGGAGAGGGTCCTCGTTCCTGTTGAGGCAGATGTCGCGGCAAGGCGTCCGTGCTGACGTGGTTGCATGGAACTGTGCTATCTCTGGACAGAGCTGGCAGCCAGCCTTAGAAGCGTTGGCATCCATGCCTTCTCAGGCTCTGGCTCCCGATCGAGTGAGCTATGGCTCAGCCATCAGCCGATGTGGCCAGAGCACCCAGTGGCAACATGCCTTGGCAACGATGAGGTGCATGAACAGCCATGCATGCCCACACGTATCGCTCGTCACCTACCATGCTGCTATCAGCGCTTGCGAGGCTCAGTGGCCTTTGGCCATTGGTCTCCTTGCCGCCTTGTGCGGCGCCCGGCTGGCGGAGGTGGTGACGTACAACTCCTCGGCCAGTGCCTGTCAAAAGGCACTCCAATGGCTGCAGGCACTGGAGACGTTGCAGAGCATGTCGGGAGCCTCACTTCGGAGTGATTGCTTCAGTTGCAGCACTGCGCTGGGTGCCTGCCGCGACTACTGGCAGCTGGCTCTCATGCTTGTCGAGGGGATGGGCCAGAAAGACCTCCCTCCCAATGCCGTTGCACTCAACGCATTGACCAGCGCTGTTGGCCAGGGTGGGCGCTGGCGGCTGGCACTGGGGGCCGTGGACGGGGGCGATTGCTTCACCTACGCTGCAGCTATCAGCGCCTGCGAGAAGGCCCGCGAATGGCAGAGTGCGCTCTCGCTCCTGTGGCAAATGCAGGCAGCATCCCTCCCGGCGGACGCCGTGTGCTTCACTGCCGCCATCAGCGCCTGCGAGAGCGCCGGGCGCTGGCAGCACGCGGCCCTGCTCTGGGAGTCCATGGCCGCGAGCCGCGCCCAGGGCAACGTGATTTGCCGCTTGTCATCGCTTGTCCATGCTTGTCCGTGCTGTTGCTGTGAGCGTGGGAAAGGTACATATATGGGTGTTCTTTCGGGAGTCTGTTGCCGCAGCTGTTCCGTGAGGTTACAACGCAGCCATCAGTGCCTTTGGCTCAGCGGGGCGGTGGCAGCTGTCGCTGGAGCACTACCGCTTACTGCGCTCTGCATTGCCGCCCACTTGACTGCAGTTGGCTGCTGGCTCCGTGTGGGGGACATGGTGTCGGGTGTGCTTGCACACGCCACTAGAATCACTAGAAACTTGGTGGTGTGCCATTGCCAGAGCCAAGGCCTGATCAAGTCAGCTGCGGTGCGTTGATGGATGCGGTTGCAAAAGGAGGTCTCTGGGAGCGGAGCCTTGCTGTTCTTTCATCCATGGCGAGATTGAGGCTCGTGCCGGACATCTTCAACTACAATATCGCTCTAGAGGCATCCGGCGACTGGCAGCAAGCAGTGGGGCTGCTGGGATGCAGAGAAGGAGGCAGTCCACCGAACGGGATCACATACTCGAACGCCATGACGGTGCTCGCAGTGCACGGGCGCTGGAAGCTGGCCCTCGGCATGGCCCGCCGCAGCTTGGCAGAGCAGCGCTGTGCATTCAAAAGCAAGGACATACCATCTCAAAAAACACGACGGACCGTTGGGACCATGACCATGAGAGACCTGAGATGATCCAAGGCATGCGCGGAGACAGATGCCACAGCGACGCTTGGCCGGAGTTGGCTGCGGTCATGTGCAAGCATGAGGTATATGAGATCTACCTTCTTGAGCAGTTTCTAAGGAGATCGCACATGGCTCGGCTCTCAATGCTTGCGAGAAGGGTCAACAGTGGCAGACTTCCCTGAAGATGCTGCGATCCTTTGTTGCAAGACCAGTGCAAGACCAATTGACACGTCCGTCTGTTTTTTTTGGCACTATTTCTTGGCCCTTGTTGCCCTTGTTGCCCTTGTTGCTTCCGGAGTGTGCCTGTTGCCAGGATGGATGGCGCAACAAAGCATCGAGACAAACGAGATCTGCTACCGGGCAGCCGTGGCCCCAGGCGCAAGCCATACTGTAAAGGCGAGGGAGGCACAAGACTGTCAAAGCTAAGGTGATCAGTGCGTCCGAGCAAGAAGACCAGCCACTTGCTCTGAGGGCTTAAGGCTTCAGCTGGTATTCCATGAGGGTATCGTTGCGCGCGAGTTGCGCGGTGCCTCCACAGTTGAGGTGGCCGGTGGCGCTGATGTTGCTGCTGGACCCGTCCACACCCGCCGGTGCCGCTGTGAACTCCGTGGCGGAAATCTCCCCGCTCTCCGCCTCCGAGGCGGTGCAGGCGTCCTGGAGGCCAGGCCCCTTGCAGGCTTCCAGAAGCCATCTGCATCCTTGCAGATATTGATGGTTGGAGTGGCTTACAGGTTCGGTCCTTTGGTGAATTCGTAGGCGTTGTTGGGCCCTGTTGGAGAGGTGGAGTCGGATCCGACGCCACAGCGGCAGGCTGCCGCTGCCTGAGCTGCCGGCGCAGAGGCTGTCTGAGGATCAACTTCCTCGCCTCACCTTGCAGGAGCAAAAGACAGACCACAGCGTGCTTCGCATCATGCTAGCAAGAGATGCAGATTGCGCAAGATGCTTCGCTTCGCAAGACGCTGCCGAAGGAGCTGAGCGTCCTCGCCTGGTCGATGGCGTCCTCGGAAAGCTCGGAGAGCTCAGCAAGCTTTGGGCACACCTGGGACGCCCTCCTCCAAGAGGTCCGCATCCGGCTGCAGAGCGGGGAGGACACCAGGAATGCATAGGATGCAGAATGTAGAGACGTGAAAATTTGCTCGTCTTGTCGCTTGCGATGTCGAGTGCGATGTCGATTGCAGAGGAGCGGCGGCTCCCGATGCGGGCGCTGGCGACGTTGGCCTGGTCCATGGCTGCGTCGCCCGAGCCTGGGCTTTTCGATGTCTTCGGTGCGATGCAGAGGGAGCTCGCCAACCGGGTGCCTCTTCTTCGAGGTAGAGAGGCCAGGAGCTCGAGCACAGACATGCTGGAGGTTCTCTGGGCTTCCAACTTTGCGGGTTACCTACAGCTGCGCAGCCTGCCGCCTGTGTGGGACGCTCTCCAACGTGTGGCGCGGGCTTTGGACGGCTCAACCGTCTCTGGCGTCTCGCAGTTGCCCTCGCAGTCCTCGCAGCCACGCCTTTCCCGCCATGACCGCCTTGCCCTGCTGCGCCAGCCTCCAAATCCAAGCGCGCCTGAGGTCGTGATTGAACTCTGGGACAGCTGCCTGGCATCACTAGCATCCGTATGCACCCGTCATCCTTAGTTTGCCGTCCGGGCCGTCCACCCTTCTTGTTTCATCTGAGGACTCGTGATCCACAAGCCGCCGGGGTGGCAGGTGCACAAGATTGCACAACCTAAATCCCAATGGGGAAAGGTAGCGGATTCGCGAGGATTTCGCAGGTTTGCCTTGGCAACTTTGCCTCTCTCAGAGTTGTGTCTGTTTGCTCTCACAGAAGGCCTTGACGCAACGTGCAAGTGCATGTGTGATCATGCGGGATGGTGTTCCACAGCTGGTCTGGTTGAGGTCGATGAGTCTGGAGATGCCTCTGGCAAGCCCCTTTCGCAGTACGTGCAGCAGCTCCCCAACCATCGCAACCTGCCTATCCACCATGATGAGTCTCACCAGCGAGGATTCCTGCATCGTTTGGATGTGCCAAGCTCCGGAATGATCCTGGTCGCTTCTACTTACTCTGCCTACTACGATCTTCAATTTCAGCTCTCCTCGGGGATCTTGATCCGAGACTATGCTGTCCTGTCACATGGCTGGTGGAGTGCTGACCGTGGGGTCATTCGCGCGTCAGTGACCTGGGCCGAGACTGGCGCCCAGAAGGACAGCCCAAGCCGCATTACACCCGGTAAGAACTCCGAGACAAACCTCAAGGTCCTCAGCCACTCTGTGCGCATGGGAAGCACACTGTCCCTTCTGGCAATTCGGATTGGCACCGGGCGGAAGCATCAGATCCGGGTTCACACCGCGCATGCCGGACACGCCACCGTGAGCGATGGTGGCGTGGACGAATTGAGGTCCTTGAGGTCAACTTGAGGTCAACTTGAGGTCAACTTGAGGTCAACTTGAGGTCAACTTGAGGTCAACTTGAGGTCAACTTGAGGTCAACTTGAGGTCAACTTGAGGGTTGGGAGTTGCGTCTCTGTGTGCTTGTGACGTGACAGACTCCTTTGCCAGAGCTGTGCCAAGGTATGTATTCTGCTGCAGAGACGTACGCCTCCGATCAGGATTGGTGCCGGCGGATATTCCTGCACCGGTGCGCCCCGCAATGCCCGCGAACTGCTCGACGAAGAGACTAATTAAGCGAAGAACGACTAGCTTGCGACTGGCAGCTCGTTGAGCTTAGCTGATGGTCAGGTACCACCTAGCGTTCCGGTCAAGTGCCTTGCATGGAGAAGACTTCGAGGCGGACTTTGGGGAGAATCGCGAAGTTCTCTCACAACTCAGAGTGCAAGTCTGCGCGGTGAGTCCCGTGGCTCCGGTTCTGTGAAGGCCAATGGTGCATTGCCGCCGGATCTGCAGGACAGCCTTCAGATGGCACAGGCGAGCGGCGTGATTTTGACATGTGTGCAACCTTTGCAGTTCAGTTTCCATCCATTCTGCAAAGCTCGAGGTCGTTCGACCCTCCTCCCAAAGGGCAAGGCAGGAGCATTGGGCAACGCCTTGGGCAACGTCTTGGGCAATGCTCTCCTGGTAGGTCGGTGCGCTTCGCCTCCCTGCCACCATGGCACATGTGCTCACAGTTTCACAGTTGACGCGGTGGGCTGAAAAGGAGCGACCCTGCACACCCGCACACACACGCACAGAGACACAGAGACGCAGAGACGACAGACACACAGGCAGAGTCACACGGTGATACTCGTCAACGAGCCCTCAGACAACAGATCCGTGAAGGATCTTCATGGCATTTCACGGAATTGATAGACTCTGATAGACTGTCGGCTCCAGCCTTGGGCCTCCGAGGGGCCTCCGGTGGGCCCGGTGGGCATGGATTTCATTGCCATGTGCGGGCATCCAGTGCAGTGCTTAGCGCCCGGTTAGTGCAAAGCGCACACAAGGGACCAGAGCACTCAAGCCGCGAACGCGCAGTCCCTCAAGTAATGAGCCCGTGAATGTGCGGCGGCTTTCAAGAGGAGTGCGGGACAGTCACAGTCCGGGGCTCACCAAGAATTGGCTCGACACAAAGTTGGGATGGTTTTGGAGCCGGAGGCCTTGTCCCGCTCGGAGAGGCATGCTCAGCTCCACAAGCAGCACACGAAGGGACACTGGGGAGTGGAGCTGGGAGGTGACCCCCGAGCTGTGACCGCAGCACTGAAGCAGCTGGCAAGGCGTGGAGTGGATCTCTCTGAAGTCCTCCTTTCCATGCAGAGAACGACGATTCAAGCCAATGTTTACCACTACAACACAGCCATCTCATCTTGCCAGGGATCTTCCTGGCAGTCGGCCCTGCGCTTGCTGAGTCGGATGTCCGCGTGCCTTGTGAATGCCGACGCAGTTAGCCAGAACGCGGCGATGGCGGCAGTCGGGCCTGTCTGGGAGCGGGCCGTCACCCTCTTCTGTGACAGCCACAAGGAGTCGGTGGCGTTCAACAGTGTCTTGTCTGCCTGGGGTAAGGCCGGCAAATGGGAGCTGGGACACAGAGCGTTGAGCCAAATGCAGTGCCTTCGTGTACAACCAGATCACATCAGTTTCACGTCGTGCCTGGATGCAAGCGGGCGAGCAGATTGCTGGAGAGGGTCCTCGTTCCTGTTGAGGCAGATGTCGCGGCAAGGCGTCCGTGCTGACGTGGTTGCATGGAACTGTGCTATCTCTGGACAGAGCTGGCAGCCAGCCTTAGAAGCGTTGGCATCCATGCCTTCTCAGGCTCTGGCTCCCGATCGAGTGAGCTATGGCTCAGCCATCAGCCGATGTGGCCAGAGCACCCAGTGGCAACATGCCTTGGCAACGATGAGGTGCATGAACAGCCATGCATGCCCACACGTATCGCTCGTCACCTACCATGCTGCTATCAGCGCTTGCGAGGCTCAGTGGCCTTTGGCCATTGGTCTCCTTGCCGCCTTGTGCGGCGCCCGGCTGGCGGAGGTGGTGACGTACAACTCCTCGGCCAGTGCCTGTCAAAAGGCACTCCAATGGCTGCAGGCACTGGAGACGTTGCAGAGCATGTCGGGAGCCTCACTTCGGAGTGATTGCTTCAGTTGCAGCACTGCGCTGGGTGCCTGCCGCGACTACTGGCAGCTGGCTCTCATGCTTGTCGAGGGGATGGGCCAGAAAGACCTCCCTCCCAATGCCGTTGCACTCAACGCATTGACCAGCGCTGTTGGCCAGGGTGGGCGCTGGCGGCTGGCACTGGGGGCCGTGGACGGGGGCGATTGCTTCACCTACGCTGCAGCTATCAGCGCCTGCGAGAAGGCCCGCGAATGGCAGAGTGCGCTCTCGCTCCTGTGGCAAATGCAGGCAGCATCCCTCCCGGCGGACGCCGTGTGCTTCACTGCCGCCATCAGCGCCTGCGAGAAGGGACTGGAATGGCAACATGCCATCTGCGTGCTGTCTGCAATGCAAGACTGCCGGGTAGAAGCCAGCGTCATGGCTTACAATGCCGTGGTCAGTGCTTTAGAGAAGTCCAGTTGCTGGGAGCTTGCACTCTCATCACTGAGCTCTCTTGGGCCAGCAGCAGATGTCGTCACCTTCAACGCAGTGGCTCGGCAGCATGTTGCGGATATTTGTTTCGGGGGCAGTCGACGTTTTGGTTTGAGAGGCTCTTTCCTCCAAGAGCTTCGCCAGAAGCAAAAAAGAGCGTTTGCGACCAACGTCGGAGGCCTTGGGTGCCTGTGCGAAAGGCCAAGCCTGGCCCTGGGCTCTGCGGCTCTTGGATATTCTCTCCGAGATGCCGAGGGCTGCCATGGAGCCCGACGCTGTAAGCAGCTCGGACGGATGTTGGGATGTTATGTCACTCCGGAGTCTTCAATCGAATCGGTTTTCTGAGATGACAAATGAGGTTACAACGTGGTGATTACGGCATGTGAGAGGTCCTGCCAGTGGGAAGCAGCTTCTTTGACCAAATGGCCACAATTTCCTGCACAATTGAAAGACTATAGACCGTCTCGACTCGAGTTGAGTCTCAAGGTGTTGAGGCTTCTGCGCGAGGAGACGAGTGCGTTCGGCGAGCTCATGGCAGGCCTCTGCAACTCCACTTTTTGAGTTGTGTGGGAGTGAGTTGTGGGGGAACGTTGGCTCCCAGAGGAGTTCTCGGAAGACTCAAATGAAAGTACCATTCTGCACCAACTTTTCTGAGCCCTTTAAGGCAGCTCGAGCTCGGGCGCTTTCCGGGAGCTCGAAGCGAAGTGCAACAGCGATCTCGTCCACGTCATCTGGCGCTTGGCGAAACTCGCCCAAGTAGCGCTCTTCGATGTGAAGCTGCAGATTCTCGCCAGGGCAGCTGTGGCGGTGCTGGCAGAGGCTGTACATCGAGATCTGCACCTCTCAGAGATCAGCACTGTCCTGCACCTCGGTGCCAAGTCTCAGATCGCTTTTTTGGAATCGTTGTCATTGAGGGTGTAGGGCGGTCCTGTCTCAGATTTCTCAGGTGGTCTTTAGCAGCGCTCGGCTTGGAAGACCCTCCGATCCACAAACTGATGGAACAGCTGAGGGCCAGGCGCAGAACTCGCAAGAGGAATCCCAAGAAAAGGATCCCAAAAGGGCTTCGGGGGATGACTTTGGGGGTTCTGCAGTTGGCCGCAGTTGGCAGCAGTAGGCAGTTGCCAGGTTGGATGCGGGCCAAGAGAAGCTGTTGCCCCTCAACCTGTTGGGCAACACAATCTGGGCCCTTGCCATGCTCGGCAGATTCGGCAGATTCGGCAGATTCGGCAGATTCGGCAGATCTGGCTGGGAATTGCTCCGACTGCAGGAAGAGATGGTCGCACGCTCCACAGTGAGCTTGTGGCAAACCGTGGACTTTGCATCCGCTGCCTTGGAAGTCTTGTGGGCTTCGGCCTTTGTGCAGCAGTTGCCGATGCAGATTGAGGACAGTCTTATCCTGTCTGTGCGAAGAATAGCTGGGAAGCTAGACAGCCAACCGCCGGTGCTTTCCAATACGCAGACGGCATCGGCCGCAGTTGGCCCCAGCGGACATGGCGAGCCTGTCTCGCCTGAGTGGCCCCGCCTTACCCGACTCTACTCTGATCGTGTGGTCGTCTACAAGCCACCGGGGTGGCAGGCCCCTTGCCCCCTTCAACCCTTCAACTTTCGTCCACTCGGAGGGCAGACCCTAAACTCATAACAGCTGCTTTGAGGTAGATGATGCTGTGGCGCGGAGGCGGTGGCCACTATCTTCGTGGCTGCACTCTGCCCTGGCGCCCGGCCAGCAGAAGCTCCTTGAGGACCAAAAGCATCGGCGGGGCTTCCTTCACCGCCTCGACGTGCCGACGTCGGGGCTCGTTCTCGTGGCAACTAGCTATTCTGCATACTACGATATGCAGCTGCAGCTTATGACCCGTCGAATGGCGAGGGAGTATCTGGTGCTCTGTCACGGATGGCTTCCCAACCGTACGCAAATCGATGCCCGCATTCACTCGCTCGAGGACGGGAGCTGATTCAAGTAAAGGGCTGAGGCATGAGCTCGTTGCTGTTGCAAAATGCTTCATGGAATGTGCTGGCGAAAATGCTGCGAGGACGGCCCCAGCTGGTACCGATCAAGTCGGATTTCGGGTGCTGGGCGGCCCTCTACGACGCTTCTTAAGCCAGCAGCCTTTGCAATGATCGCTGCGAAGGCTTTCACCTTGACAACCTTCAATATTGTAACAGGCCGACGACACCAGATTCGAGTCCACACGGCGCATGTCGGACATCCGACCATGAGCGACGGAAGATACACCGCAGATGCGACTTTCAAGGCCTATCTTCGCAACTGCAGTGCTGCGTGTGCAGAAAAGAGTTGCTTGCTTGGGTAGCCTCGCAATGCAATGTGTGCACTGCTTCTGACAGGATGACCGTGCACGGTGTCCCCGGAACTTCTTACATCGATATCGCTTGCAGTTCGAGGCAGCGGATGCGGGGACACAGATGACTCCTCAGGAGGACAGGGCTGGACGGAGTGGTTGCGCCTTTTGAGTCGGAACTCTTCGAGATGGCACGCTGATTCGCTGTTCGTGCCAGGTTGTTGAGCAGCTCCCGCCAGATCTGGCTGAGGTTCTTGACATGCTTGTACCTGTCTCTGTAGCTTGTTTCCCTTCTGCTGCTGGAATTCGTGGCTGGAGCACATCCGCGTGACTCCCCCACTGAGCTCGCATGGTTTTGAAACTGTCTCGGGCAGTTTGGATGTTGTTGCGGGACCATGGAAACGTCCGAGCAACAGGGTGTGCGCTTTTGTCCTCTGCTTTCGCAACATGTTTGGCCAGGGAAGTGTTCAGCTGTTGTGTCTGAGCTTCTTTGAGTGCAACATGCATTGACAGTCAAGAGTCCAGAGTCCAGTGCGGTGAGTGCCGAGATTGCGAGCCACCCACGCTGGGGCTCAAGCAGTGCCAGCACTGCAAGATCTTGGATGCACGCCTCTCTTCCTCTGCCCACCTCATGGCACTGATGCTGCATTCATGCTGCAGGCCCCTCGATAGCCATAGCACCCAAGAAGTAACGAGCGGCTTTTCGGCTTTCCGGCTTTCGCGATTTCACGAGTTTTGTGTGGAGGCCTGCCAGGAGGCGGCGGAGCTGGGCCGCGCCGAGGCGCTTTTGACGGCACGTGGCAGTCCTCCTCTACGGTCTGTTTCCATCTACTTCTCTCTCTCTCTCTCTTTCTTTCGTTCTTTCTTTCTTTACTTCTTTCTTTACTTCTTTCTTTACTTCTTTCTCTCTCTCTCTCTCTCTCGCTCTCTCTGTTTCTCTCTCGAGAGAGTCTCCCCTGACGTTTCCTCCCTCCTCCCCCGGTTGCTTTTTCTTGGTTCCGGATTCGCCACTTGGAGGCTGCTCTCTTGCAACTGGCGTCGCTGCAGACCAAGTGCCTGGAGGCCCACGTAGGGGAGAGGTTACAGTACGTAGAGCCCCAGCCCTTTCGCCAAGAAGTCTTTGATCCCGCATAGTGACTCAGTGGGAACGCAAGCCTCAACGTGCGTGGAGAGGTCAATATCTTTCAGTACAATGCCTTCATCTCCGCACTCCGCGGCAAACATTGGAAGCAGGGCTTGGACTTCTGGGCTTCCCTGCGGCAGTGGCAGCTGCAACCAGACACCTGGAGCCTCAATGCCGCCCTTGGCACCCTGGGCCCCAATGGCGGCAACTGCGGCTGGGCAGCGGTGCTGGCACTGCTTGCGCAGGCCCAGAAGGCCCAGAAGGCCCAGCTGGCGGACGTTGTCAGCTTCAACATCCTCATTTCCAGCGCAAGCACCAGCAGCGGCGGCACGGCCGGCAAAGGCATCTTCTCGGCGCACAACAAGGCGGCCTGGAAGGTTGCGCTGGCACACCTGCAGCTTCTGCCGCTCGTGTCTCTGCAAGCAGATGCCGCCAGTTTGGGGCCCTGCATCAGTGCCAGCTCCCGTGCAGGCCGCTGGTTGCAGGGACTTCAAGCACTTGGGACCTGTGGGAGAATTGGGAGGTTTGGGCTTTTGGCGGACTTGGGCTCGCACAATGCGGCTTTGGCCGGTGGTGCCTTGGCAGGCCGCTGGCAGCAGGTCTTCGGTCATCTGGAAGCTCTCTTGTGTGCCTTCCTCCGGCCGGATGTTGTGACCTTCAACTCCTGCCTCCGTGCCTGCGAGACCGCCCGGCAAGCGCAGCAAGCTCTGAAAACGCTGAAGCGCATGCAAATTCTGCAGATTCGCCCCACGCAAATCAGTGTCAACACGGTCATCAGCGCTTGCGAGAAGGCCAGCCAGTGGCAGGCTGCACTCGGATTGCTGGCCGAGCTTCCGCGCATGAATCTCCTGCCTGACATCATTTCGCATAACGCCGCAGTCGGTGCCTGTTCCGAGAATTGGCAGCAGGCATGCAATCTTTTTGAGGCCCTGCTGGCAGCCGAGCTATGTCCCGACCAGGTGACCTTTGGTTCCCTTATCACTGCATGTGCAAATGCAGCGCAGCTTGACAGAGTCGATGCTCTCTTGGAGGACATGTGCGAAAGAAGTTTGCAACCAAACCTGGTGATCTACAACAGCTGCCTCAACGCTTGCGACAAGGTGGGGTCGTGGCAATCTGCGCTGAACTTACTCGACCAGATGACAATTGCTGCGATTCAGCTGGACCTGCTCAGCAACAGCTCCGCGATGCGAGCATGCCAGAAGGCTTTGCACTGGCGCGTGGCATGCCAGCTATTTTCTCAGATGCACGGAAAGCGAATCGTGGATGTCTTTAGCTACGAGGCAGCGATTGCCGCCTACTCCCAAGCAGGCAAAGTCCCGGAGACCTTGGCCTTGCTCCAGAGCCTCCCGTGGCCGCAATGGGTCCGTGAGACTCCCCCGTGAGGACTTAGGAGGGTCCCCTTGCTTTGGTTCGTGACCGTTGGTAGCATCGATTCGTGGGGCAACGATGCTGGCCCATGGGGGACTTTCTTTTCACCGCTCTCTTGCAACAGGGTGGAAGTGCATGTTTCGCTCGCGTCGCTGCGCTTGTAGTCACGGAATGCTCTGTGAAATGTGCGGAGCCAGTCGCGGAGCCATGTGAGTTTTCCCATTGCGTTGGCTCAAGGGTCAGAGCACATGGCAGCATGGGAGGACTGCGAGGCCCCTGCAGGCCCGATCGCATGCTCAAGAGAGGTTGGTGTGAGATTTGTTTGGTGATTGTTCTCTTGAAGGCTGCAGTCCGACAATCACGACTTCAATTCTGCACAGGCTGAACTTAGAGAGTTTCCCAGTGATCCCAGAGGCACACGACTCAGTGACCGCAGCTTTGGTGTTGGGAGGTGCTACTCAGAAGTGCGCTTTCCACTCGGCTGTATTCACCACGTCTGGCTACATCCGTGCTTGCAGACTTTGCGCAGAAGAAAGCCGCCCAGGCGATGTTGCTGCTACCTCCCTAAGATGCCGCATGGGCAACATGGGCCTCATAAGGCCTCGTATAGGCCTCATGGGCCATCCCGTGTGAGCAGGTGGCCGCCAGGACCTTGCGCTGGATGCTCCTTGTCGATGTAGCTTGAGGAGGGTGAGCAGACTCGTTGAGTACTTGGTGCTTTTGTATTGTCTGCCTAGGCAGGAGGAGGAGCTCGAGGTGAATGCCTTCCACGTGTCCGCTGTTCTTTCTGCAGCTTCTAGAGGCAAGCAGTGGCAACTGGCACTGGACGTGATACAACACGCGAGTGTGAATGGCGTCGGCTCCTGTGCATGATTTGGAGCGGGCCTTCTGTACGATGTGACATGTGACATGTGTGCAACATTGTGCAACGATCTGTGCACGAATATTTTAGGAAGAGAGAGCGATGTTGAGCTCTGAGGATTCAATGCCTTCCTGGATGCCTGTGAGAAGGCCGGGCAGACAGACCTGGCTCTGGAGATGTTTGCCAAGATGCCCGAGCGCCTGCTCCAACCAGACATCATAAGCTGCAACACAGCGCTGCGTGCGGCGAGCTCAACCCAACACTGGCAGTTGGGACTCGCCTATCTTCATGGAGCCGAGGTGGATGGTATCAGTTACACTTCCTGCATGAACTCGTGCCAGGGTGGCTTGTGGCGACTGGCAGTTGAGTTTTGGGATCTGCTCCGAGCCATTTCGGAGCCCAACCCAACTGCTTTCAACTCTGCCATCGCTGCATCGCGTGCTGAGTGGAAGGTGGCCCACCAACTCTTTGCAGAGATGCTGGACACTGGGACGTCGGTGGATTCTTACACGTTGAGCTCCTTGGTCACCTCGAAGTGGGAGGCTGCATTGGCTTCTTTTCATATGCGAAGACGAGAAGCACCTCTAATTAGGGGGATGGAGGCTACAGGCAACGCACTACTTGATGGCTGCCCTTGGGCTGTGGGCGTGGGCATCTTGCATCAGATGCGGGTTGGGAGGATCCATGTGGGCTGTGTTGGCTACACGGCCTTGGCGCGAGCCTTCGGTGCTGATCGCTGGCGCCAGGGAGCGGCAACGTTGGAGCAGATGCACAGAAGGGAGGCGCTAGTGTCCTTTCGGAGTAGTCTCTCTTTTTCGCGGGCCTTAATTAGCGAAGTGTGCGCATGAGCTTTGCTGATAGGTGCAGTCGGATAGCTTCTCCCAGAACTTTGCTCTCAGCCTCTATGAGGAGGGCAGTTCTTGGAAATCGGCTTGCTCGGCTTTGAGAGCTGTGGCAGAAAGTTCCATGGTGCTTGGCAGATTTGCATGGCAGATTTGCATAATGGTCAAATGCCGCATGCGCTTGCCGCGCCTTGAGTGCAAGATTTGCCTCGAAGGTGCTGGATCAGATCGGCCACTCAGCCATCTGAAGGGGTTTGCCATTTGCTATGGGCGTGGAGCCCGCAGTCGCGGTCACAGCTTAGTCGTAGTGTAGTGGGTGTTTATTTGCGCCATTTGGTCTGGAATCCCTGAGGAGTCAGTGCCGCGATGAGCACGTGCGGCACAAGCGCCCAGTGGCGCTGGGCAGCGCGCCTCCTCTCACACACTGAGAGCGTCAAGAAGGCGGGCCAGTGGGGCCAGGTGGGGGAGTAGAGTCCGAAGCAGCTCCACCCGCCCATGCCACACCGTGCCACACCATGCCTGTGCCGTCCCGTGACTTGCCCTGTCTTGTGAATTTGTAATTTGTAGGTTTTTTTGTGTTTCTTCCTTTTGGTGCATGTTTAATGTCGCGAGGTCGGCTCCAAAGTGGTCGCGAAGAACTTAGCCCTTGATGCATGCGCGAAAAGCCTTCAGTGGGCTTGGGCGATGCACCTTCTCTACCAAATCGTCGAAGGCACGCACGGCTCTTTACAAGCTCTTCGCATGCCGTGGTGTTTGGATGCACAGTAGAAGCCTATCCTTGCCACGAGGACATTCAGGCAATGTGCCCGACGCAGTTACCTTCTCGACCTCCATCAGCGCCTGCGTGGCCTGGTCCTGTTAGCAATTGCTTATTGGCCGAGTCGCAGAGTCGCAGAGTCGCGGAGTCACAGGAGAGGATTGCTCACTGGGGCATGGCACTCTTCGTCCTCCGGACGGCCTGGGAAGCCAGACAGCTGGAGGAGACCTGCTGGAATCTGCTTGCTTGGGAATCTCGTTCTCTGACCTTGTGGCAGCAAGGATGCCAACGCTGTGTTCAGTTGCTTGGAATGCAAGGGGTAGCATCATGCGAGATGCACCTGCGAGCCCAGACTCCTAAGGCTACAGCGCTGCGATCAGTGCGTGTGAGAATGGCCGGCAGTGGCAGCTGGCGCTCTTCGCATTGAACCTTTCACTTCTTAACCAGGTGCGGCGACATACGGCAGCGGAATTAGTGGAATATGGTTAGGGACAGCAAACATCTCCGCGGCAGGTGCAGCTAAGCGAGGTCTCTTTCTCGGCCGCCATCAGCGCCTGTGAGAAAGGGCACGAGTGGCAGCACCTCAGCTGAACAGAGACACACCCGACGAGTTCTTTTTTTGACATTTGTGTGGAGGTTTTCACTGTTGCTGCTCGATGCCTTGGGGGAAGCAAGCCTTCAAGTGGGCGGCGTCAGTTTCGATGCCGCCATCAGTGCTTGCCAAAAAGGCAGGTCTGAGACTCGTCAAAAGCACACGCTTTCGGAAAAGCTGACAGTTGACACGGATGTGCGACTTGCAGGAGAAGCCGCCTCACGGGGAGCGCGGCCAAGTGGGCATAGCTGTGGGTCTGTTCTCACGGCCTGTGAGCGAAGTGGGAACTGGAATGTGGCTTTGGATGCCTGGAAGAGGTCCGCTCAAGCTCAACTGAAGTGTTGCGCACGGGGAGCGCAATTTAACTAGCAGACAGAAGAGAGAGGTCCTTTCAAGTTGAGCTGCCCTTCATGTTAATTCACATATCTCAGAGCGAATTATTCTGTCGGAGGATGCAAAGCCAGTGCTTGTCACCAGATGAGACAAGCTTCGCTGCAATCATCAATTCGTGTCGTAATGGTGGTCGATGGCAGCTGGCCTTGCAGCTCGCCAACTCAGGCGATCTTCTCAGCACGGACATATGACATATCGGTTATAGAGATCGCTGAAGATGTGTGGACCCACAGACGCCTGCACAATGCCTGAGGCTGCGGGGGCTTGGAGCAGTTGGAGGCCGGCGGGAGCTTGGAGAGCTCCTTGCACCTGCACTCGGCAGCGGTGGGCGCCTGCGAAGTCTCAGGGGTGCCGGTGCCAAGAGACCAAGAGATTCAAGAGATCGCAGCCGCGCGAGGCTCCCAAAAAGAGGGACGTCTGGCATCTCTTTCGTGTTGCTCGTTGCTGCTCTCTCGCTGCTCTCTGCCTTCTTTGTGACTTGCGTTCCGTGACGCGCTTGCGCTCCACACATCTCCGGAGTCCGAAGCGCGGCGCTTCTCAAGCCGCAATGCGGAGCTTGCTTGCATCCCCCAAGGGCCGCCAGCCTGCGAGTTGCCGGGCAAAATTGTTCCATGGGCATGGCAACACCATTGGACCATATGAACCACTGCTCTTGGAGTCTTAGAGTCATGGAAGTCCCATTAAGGTGCAGACTTTACACCGCTTCTCAGGGCACGCGAGACAGGGGCGCCGGGCATCGAGGAGGCCGTACAAGAATGGCAGAGGATCCCTGAGTCCATTGAGTCCGTGCCACTTGGGCATCTTCCCGTTTTCTTCTTTTTGGTGCCGGTGCTCAGGAGCCCCTGGCTGGCCACGGGATTTCTTGGAGATGTTGCAAGAAAGAAGCCCGAGGCAGGGTGTGCAGCGTAACGGTGTGAACTTAGTGTCGTCGGGAAGCATTCGGGACACCGAGGTCGCAGTCGACGTGTTGGGGTACCTGTCTGAGAGGCGGGTGGACGTGAACACATTTCACTACAACGCAGTCATCTCGGCATGTGGGAAGACAGATGGCTGGGAGTTGGCGGTACATCTTCTGGAAGAGATGAAATCTGGGATGGTGTCGCCAAGTGAAGTCAGCTATGGTGCAGCGATCAAGGCCTGCAGCAAGGGTAGCGAGTGGCAACGAGCTCTTGGAATGTTCTTTGCAATGGGGCTCCAACCCAACTTGGTCGTGTACACAGCGGCAATCAGCTCTTTGGAAAAGAAGGCTCTTTGGGAAATGACAGTTGTGCTTCTCGAGCTGATGACTTCACAGTCTCTTCGAGCTGACGTGGTGTGCACAAGTGCAGCCATGCGGACGGCGAAAACAAATTGGGAGGTGGCTTTGCAACTTTTCCAGAACATGATTGACCAGGAGTTGGCGCCGGACCTCATCAGTTTCAACACGCTCATCAGCTCGTGTGAAGAGCAGGGTCTATGGGCAGAGTCTCTGATGGTGCTGAACTCTGCAAGGGATTTCGGGCTCACGCCGAACGCCGTGAGCTTCAACGCTGCTTCAGCAGTAGCCCAAAAGGTGGCGGTCTTGGCAGAAGGTGTGTAGAGAGTGACAATCTGACAGTGACACTCTCTGTCTCTGTCTCTGTGTGTGTGTGAGAGTTTCGGATCAGGCTGGGCACTGGGAGGTTGCCCTCAGCCTGGTGCATGAGATGCGAGGTTCCGGCATACAGACTGGCATAATCATCTACAACGCATGCATCAGCTCCTGCCAGAAGGGTGCCATGTGGGAGCTGGCCCTTCACCTCTTTGGGGAAGTTGGCCGTGTTGGGCTGCAAGCAGACGTCATCACCTTCACTTCCGTCATCAGCGTCCTCGCGCAAGTGGGACTCTGGCAGCTGGCGCTGCGGATGTTGGCCGAGATGGGCACGGGCACGGCAAGGCCCAACGAATTCACCTACGGCGCCGCCATTGCCGCCGCCGGGCGGGCCGAGCAGTGGGAGGTGGCCTTGGCTCTGCTGGAGGAGGCGAAGATGGCAAAGTCGAAGGCTTCGTTGAGTGCCGGGACCTGCAATGCGGCCCTGAGCGCCCTCGAGAAAGGCGGTGAATGGCAGAGGGCTCTGCATCTGCTCGGGTGGATGGATGCCAGTCAGGTGATTCCGGACGGCTTCAGCTGGAACTCTTGCATCTTGGCAGGCAATGATCATGATCAAGACGCAAAAAAGCACGTAGCACCGAAAAGTCAAGTCGTTAAATGTCGTTAAATGTCGTTAAATGTCTGAAGTCAGGCATAAGCGCCTGCGAGAAGTGCGGGCAGTGGCAAGCAGCATTGACGTTGCTGGACGTGATGCAGAGAAGCTGTCGTCCAGACGAGATTTCGTACAACGCAGCCATCAGTGCTTGCGAGAAAGGTGGGGTCCAACTCGGGAACTGCCACTAGCCCCGGAGCAGTTGTCTGTGCTGTTTCTCCTTCCATATTGCCCAACCCAGAGTACCCTCGCCACACGGCAAAGAATTACTTCTCGAACATGAGAAACACATGCCGCATGCCCTAAACTAGTCCGCCTGTGTGTGACGCGCTTCTGTGGTGTTGACAACAGCTTGTGTAATGCCGCATGCCCTAAACTAGTCCGCCTGTGTGCTAGACCTGATTTCAGATGACACGGTGGTCTGAGTCGAACCATTCCTTTCGTCTTCTGGTCGTCCACACCGTCGCGAATCCCCTGCAAGGTGGTCAGTGGCAGATGGCGATGGTACTCTTGAGTGCCATGCCAGACCTTCGGCGTCACAAAGGGGAGTCTACAGGTTCTCTAGATTTGACTAAGTTTTTGGTGTCTCACCCGGGCCACTGGAACCCAGGAGCTTGATCGTTGGGGCCTCCTTTTTGTGTTGTTTGCATTTGTTTGGTGAGCTGCTGTAGGAGAAGCGCATTGCTCCTGGGGTCGTGAGCATCAATGCTGCCATGGGTGCCTGTGGGTCGCGGTGGCAGATGGCCCTGCTCCTGCTTTTCCGCATGCCCTCCCTAAAGGTCCGCTCAAATTCACACAAAGAGGGCGGTTTGCTGTTTCATTTTGGCAGCTTGTCTCATGGCCAGGCTCATCCTTCTCTGGTCAGCTACAGCACCGCGATGAGCGCCTGCGAGCGTGCAGGCACTCTGTCTGAGCAGAAGAAGATTTGAACCAGATTCCCCGCTCTTTTTTGCGCATCTCTGCATCTCTGCTCTGCATAAAAGTGTGCAAGGTGAGTGGGAGATGGTGCTGAGCTTGCTGGGCTCCATGACTCCCATGACTGTGCCTCCAGACCGGGTCTGCATCAGCACGGGCATCACGGCCTGCGGCAAAAACAACCAATGGCCCCTGGGCCTCCGCCTCCTGCATTCCATCGCGGCTTGGACCATCATCTAGCTTCTCATATCTCTTTCTTTTCATTCGCATCATCTTCTTCGAGCCGAGGCAGAGCCCGATAGCGTCTGCAGCGTGGCAGCATGCGTACCGGAGCTGACTCAGTCTTGTGCTCTGCGAGTTTCGCACGAGAAGGCTTCAATGCAGCCATCAGCGCCTGTGCAGCAGACCCGTACCTGTGGCAGTTAACTTTGGACCTGCTGCACCGCCTCTCGCCTTCAAGATCATTTGGGCTGCCAGTTTCTTTAACTTTGTCAGCTGTGCGTGTGTGCATTTTGTGCAGGCATGAAGATGCGAGGAATCCCCTTGAGCGAGATCACGTATAGTGCCACTTGGGACATTGAGACATCGAAGGTTTTATCTTTACAGAGAGCTTGGGCACACAGCAGCGCCAGCTCGTCTAGGCCGTCATCAGTGGCCTAACTCAATGGGGCCTAGCCGTACAACTATTGGAGCAGATGCTGGATGAGAAGGCCTCCTGCGAACACCCTTTGATGTAATTCATCTTTCTCTGATTCTGGCATGATGTCGAGAAACGGTGTGGGAGGTCAACGCCAATGACATGGCTCTTACATACGTGCAGTTACATACATGCATACATAAATCATGCCTACGTACGTATGTACATACACATGCAAATGCATTATTTTACATCTCGAACATCGATCACAAAACGCCTCAGGGCAGCTGCTCATACTAAGACTATAGCTTTTTGTCCACGGGCCGCGTTTGCGTGCTTCTGTTTCGGAGTTTTGGGGTTGACGGTTGAACGATGTTCAACGATTTCCTGTGCAGCAAGGGTGAGGATGCTTGAGTCTTAGAGTCCATAGGACCATAGGATGGCTCCGGGCCAGAGTTTCCGCAGCCGTGGAGCTCATCGCCCTGCCTCCTAGACTCCCAGAAGTGCCTCCCCCTGGCCCCCCTAGCCTTTGCTTCAGCACGGGGGATTGAAACAAGATCGGCTTAAGATTTGCAGCAGCTTAGGCAAACTTGTACCCTGCTGTTTTTGGCTCTCGGAAAGGTGGTCGCGAATGACATCACCTACAGCTGTGTGATCAACGTGTGCACCAAGGCGCGGAATCTGAAAATATCGGTATATCGGGGATTCCCCTTGACAGAGAACGGGGCAAGTCTGAAGCAGGCGACGCAGTGGGCACCAGCTGTCGAGTTGCTTCGGCTTTTTTCCACGTTGAGCCCGGGACCCCCTTGGCACCATGTTGTTCTGTGTAATCTTAGGGCAATTTTCGGGACAAGGCCCAATTGCCTGTTACCAGAAATCACCCCGCTGAGCGCAGTAAGGACCACGCCTAATCTCATCGCGTACACTGGTGCTATATGTGCATGTGACCCCTGGTCGCGTTGGCTGTCTGTAACATTATGATTCATGGTAGGCAGATGTAGGGCAGATCGGAGCTCGTTTGCTACGAGAGCGTAAAGCAGAGACCCGAGAGATGATTAGGGACATGTGAGATGCGTCAGGAGGAGAGTTGTCAGTGGCGGGCGGCACTGGATATCCTGCGGCAGATGTCTGAAAGACAGATCGATGCGAATTTGCCGAGCACCCTGGTCGCATGCAGATGCACGAAAACCAAGCTTATTGCTTTGCTCATTCCATGCCCTTGCTGGAGGCCTGAGCATCACGACGGAGGCGTTGTGGAAAAGCAGAGAGACGGAGATGGCAGGGCAGCTTGCAGGCCCAATGTGACCCCGAAAATGACCGAGTGAGACCCCTGCAGGAAGCTCCAGTGTCTTTTGCATGAATGGTTGGCCTTGCCAGGACGAATTTCACGGGAGACCTTGGACTTCTTTGCATCTCTGGAACGAACACAAAAGAATTGTCGAGTCTGTTCAACATCTGAAGATCTGAGCTGCTCAAAGCGTGCTTGTCGGGCGACGCCCTGATGCATGGTGGAATGATGCTCTGTGTTCATCGCAAGACTGGCTCCTATAGGTAGCACCTGTACTTCTAAGCCACAGATGGGCACCGAATTCGGCCTCACACACACAAGGGATGCTACACCTGAACGTTGCAGGCTGCTGCATTAGGCACGAAGTATCACGAAGTGAATTCACCGTATTCACCTGACAATGGCTGGCACACCTCACGGATGTCTCCTCTGCAAGTGGCCAGCTCAACAATTCTTTGGGAGCTGCGCTTTGCACGTTTTGTTTGGTCCCGACGGAGGCTTCGGTGCATGGCTTGCGCATCGACCCAGTTCTTTGCAAGGCACCAGGTTCTGACCATCCGCATAAGACTCGAGACTAGTTGTGAAAGCACGCAAAGGACCCGAAAGCGGCCACGGCTTTCCTTGCCAACCTGCGCGATGGGCAGGCGAGTTTTGCAACAATCCAAACATGACAGCCTGCATCAGTCGCAGAGCATCCTGGCCAGATTGCGCTGGATGCATTCCGGCGTTTGCTGGAAGGCTCCAGCTTTTCGGCAGTCTGAGGCTCTGTGCTCCGGAGCCTTCAACCGCTCAATGTCTTGATCGCAGGAAGGCTCGAGGCGAACGCCTTTCACTACAACTCGATCATCTCGACATGCTCGCCACGTGACATGCAATGCAGCCACATAGGTTGCTTGAGTTAGCGCCAGTCGTATCCCAGCTTCCGAAACCAAGCGAAGCCCAAGCGAAGCCCAGGAAGTCTGAACAGTGGCAGCTGGGTGTGCAGATCTTTGGGCAGTCGCAGAGCAAGGTGCTCGAGGGCCTTTGCGCCATGTTGTGGTGGATTTGCTAGGATTCACCACATGTCACCACGTCGCGGAAGGTTATTCTGAGTGCTTCCAGCTACAACGTGGCCGTGGCTTTGTGTACCTCCGCGGCTCAGTGGCCGGCTGTCTTCGAGTTGATGCGCGACCTGGCTTGGAATCATGTGTTTGGTGGTTCGCAAACTCTGTGGAACTCTCGAGCAACTCGCGAGCCAAAAGCTGCAAAGTGTGCTCCCAAAACAGTGCTGTGGACACATTGTGAGGTGGGATGCACGTTGCCACTTTGCAAGCAGATCAAATTGGACCCTCGGCTGTATCGATTGCTCACTCTGACGAAACCTCGCAATGCACTTCAAAGTGCCAAAGGCCTGAATGCGGGAATTCATGCCTGCACGGAAGCTGGGCAGTGGAGCTCGTCCTTGCAGCTGCTACAGATCTTTGCAGGCAATTCAGGCAATTGGCGGCCAGTTCTGCTGTGGCATATCTTCTTCTGAAACGCAGACAGGACCTTTGCAAGCTGAGGATCTCCGTGCCGAATTACATCACCTTCAACTCCGCAATCAACGCAGCTTGCATTGTTGGATGTGGTTGGTTAGTTGGTTTCGCGAATGCACCCGCACATGCCCACATGCCCTCCTTCCAGTCTCTGTCATCAAGCAGCGCATATCATTCCTGTGAAGGCTTGCGATTCTGCTCGGAAGTGGGAAGCAGGGGTTTACTTCTTGAGCAGGCTGGCCTGTACAGACTGTAATTGCTTCCGCTTCAGAACTCCAGCGAATCTTGCGCCCGGAGCAGGCTGTATCTAGGTGCAGTCCTTCTGTCCCAGCCCTGCAGGATGGCGAAGCTCCGATTGTCCAACGAGAGAAGCTACGGTGAGCTGGGAAGGGGGGGGGGGGCGGGTGAGCAATGGCTATCAGCTAGCAGCAGTCAACAGCAGATCTGACAGTTATTCGCATAACGTCCGCTCTTCGCAACGTTAGCATCGAGAATCGAGAGTGTTTTGCACTCTGACACTCTGACACTGGGAGGCGCCTCGATCAGCAGCTGCGGTCGATCCAGTGAGTGGTGCTTAGCCCTGGAGCTCTGCAGGAAAGTGGAAAGTGAGACGTAAGCATGCCAATTTTGTATTCAATTGCTCTTGCAAACTGCAGAGGACTGCCGGGATCAAGCTCCGTTGCTGCACTGTGGAATTCTCCTTCACATGCACTGTCAACAGCCTAGGCTCAACACAATCATTCTGAATGCAGCGACGACGGCATGCGAGAAGGTGCACAGATTTCACGGGCACACCTGCTGCTGCTGCTTGATGCTGGCCAGGCGGGCCAGTGGATGGCAGCACTTCAGCTGTTGAGGCCAAGTCTGGTCCCGGTCCGAGGCTTGAGCTGAGCATTCGCGAAACGCAAGGGATGCAGCACTTCTAGAATGAAGAAGGAGTGGTACTGAGGATGTGATCGGTCAGTCCCTTAAGCGTGCTTTCGTTGTACAACGTACCATGTGCATGCCGCAGTTGACCGTCGGTCAGGCTGCAATGCTGCCATCAGTGCTTGTGAGAAGTCGGGTCAATGGCAGAGAGCCCTTGTCCTTCACCAGAGCTCCACAGCACGGGTGCCTACACATACCTGATGTTGTGGGCATATGTGGGCCATTATGAGTGTCGCGCTCCGGGTCTGAGGCTGCTGATGTGGTTGCTTTCAGCGCCGCTATCAGCGACTGGCCTTGAGAAATCTACAAGACGTTGCAAGGGTGCAGGGGTTCTGTTCTCCCCTCCTGACGCGTCTAAAAGCCCTAGCGAGGTGCAGTCGGACGGTGCCAGCTGTGGCCAGCGGCAGTCCAGTTGCTGGAAGGGATCTCGCGGCCCACTTCTCAGCCAGAGAGAGTGCAGTATGTGCAGTTTTGAACCGTCTAGCGGTCTCCCTACAGTATCCATCTGCATGTGCCAAGGCATGTGGAGCCAAATGCAGAGACTTGGACGGCACAGAGACAAGGCAGACGAGCCCTATGAAACGAGCTCCAAGTTGTTTGTACGTGAGGTGAGCTGTGGGGCAGCCAGCAGTGCATGCAAACGGGGAGGGGAGTGGCAAAAAGCACTCTGGCTGCTGCCTGGCTTGCACCTTCATTGATATTCCTGAAGCGCCATCCCAAATTCCCGAACCATGATCCCAATGAAATCAACCACTCGACAAAGAACATGTCGTGGGCATAGGATCTCGCTTTGTAGTGCATCTGCATGTGGACTCCACACTTAAATTTTCACACGCATGTGCACAAGCACGTATTCAAATCTGACTCTGACTCGCGAAGTAGGTCCTTGTGGCACCCATCTTCTTTAGACTCCGCACATGTCCTTTGCAGTCACAGGTCTCTTCCTTCGTCGGGGCTACGACGAGGTGAGCGTGAACGCTCATCGCCAATCTGTGAGCTGGCTTGGAGGCGCATCGTACAAACTCCAAATTGGTTGGGGGCGTTAGGGCTTTGAGGGGTTGGCCATGTTTCTTATCCTTTGTCACGAGTCCGGTACAACCTATATATTCAATCCAGACAGACGGGCAGGCTCTTGACTGCGTAAATGTTCGTGTCTTGGCAGGCTGGCCCAATCCAGTGCAAGGCCTGCAGCACCCTGCAACACTCCGATGCCCGTCGCAGCTTTGGAAGTTTGACGTTTAGAGGCATATGAACGTCTTAGGAAAAGGTCAGTGTCAATTACGCTCAGGCAAGCACACAGGCACACGCAGAGGCATGATACTTTCATTCGAGATGCGGGCTCGAGTCATGGCCACTTGCCACGCCGGCCTGCTCACAACCATGAACACCAACACCGACACTTTTTGTGTCCTGGCATCGGGATGCCTGGCGATCATGCGTGTGTGGCTTCCGATGGAAAGCTGTGGCCACTGGTGCGCAGCAGCGTGGCCCTTAGTCTGGGATGTCTGGGCTGTTTGCCGGGTCCCATTGCCATGCAGTTCCCAAGCTTGTTTCGTGGTACTTGGTGAGGTTGGGGTGGCACTGTGTGCCATTTGGCAGTCGAACGCCACATTGGCAGCTTTCATCCTTTGCTTCGAGCGCGCAACCTGGATCAGCAGCGCCGCGCATCTGCTGAGCCCGGAGCCTCTGATGTTTCTATCCCCTCAACGTTTAGAGATTAATGTTTAACTTAGCTGTTTGCCCGGAGCTGTGCGGTGCATAGTTCGGTCCTGTGCTCCAAGGAGTCGGCTCAAACGGCTTGCCTGGAAGTCTGGTGCTCTCTGGTGTTGCTGTTCATGGAGAGGTTGTTTCCGGCTTCATTGCTTTACGCTATGCTGCCGGCAATCCTCCTGGTAAGGCAGCGTGGATGCCACAAGGCTGCCCGTGAAGGTATGTTGTCGCCGTTGGCACTGCGGCAGTTAGCCTGCGATCTTTGCGGATGCGGGGAAAAGCCTCAGTGTTGACTGGGATTTCACCAAGTGTATCCAAGCATTTATGATGGCATATGACATTGCAGACTTGGTCTGATCGGGGAGGGGCTTGTGCAATGTCGCGAAAGCGGACGTTGCTTTGAATTCACATGTCTTAGCCGCTAGGTCTGGTAGGTGGCACAAGAGTCCACAAAGGCCAGCCGAGTTAATGACTTCTCTGTTGAGATTGGCATGAATTGCCGGCGTTCCCAGAAGCTTGATAGCAAACAAAAAGACATGGCCACACGCAGTGGGGGGCCGATGCAGGATCGTTGCCTGGATGCCTAATGAGACAGGAGTGGCGACGAACGCATTGCACAACTGGTGGTGCAGGCGCCAGCCAAGCCTCAAACAGCCAGGGCTCATGCGACCACAACGACAGCAGGGCCACGGATTGTAAAACGCGTGGAAAGGGTCCTGTGCCTGAAGTGCATAGGGTCCCTTTAAGTTTTTCCTAGGATGAGGCTTTTCGATGTTGCACTCGTTGGGAGGCTGTGCAGTAGGAAGACGTAGATCCAGAGAGAGCGAGCAGGGCTGAGTTGGGCAGGCCAGGCAGCTGAATCTTGGGCAGCTCAGAGCGGAAGAGCTTGCAGTTTTGGCGGCTCAGATGCAGTGCACATCTGTGCACATCGTATCAGTGTGGGCGAGTCGAGCAAAAGTGCATATGATATACTGTATAGTGCATGGAATGGTACGTGCTATTGCCCCAGAGGTATGGAGTTTTGCGACGCTCTCTGTGTCTGACTCCGCCGTTGACCGGCTCGTCGACGCTGTGGGGCACCGCTTGCGACACTTTGGCACGAGAGACTTGGCCAGGCCAGTGGAGAGAAGACATTGTTTAATGACGTCTTTTGGTGAAAGGGAGAGACAGAGATCACTGCACTGAGATGGCAGAGAGAGGCTCTCCTGGTCTCTGGTGAGCTTGGAAAAGGAGTCCATGCTGGAATGTCTCCAGAAGGCTCTCACTGGAACACGCTGATTCGCTCATTCGGTTTTGCGCGACCCTCTGTAGCAGGGACTCGTTGACTCGCGAAATGACCTCGTGGCGTTGACTCTTCGAAAGTGAGGAGTTTTTACTTCGCTTGCGGCGAGTGGATGTGGATGCCGACTCCGCCATCTCCGCGCTAACGCTTCTCTGGTCCCACCGGCGATGTTGTTTGCTCGATCTCTTCGAAATGCCTTGCAATCTGTCTTATGCAGCATCTCGCAAATGCCCCCAAAAAGCGTGAGTTTTTTGGCTGGACAGCAGCGCTGCAGACATCGCAGTTGAAATGAAATGTCTGGGAGACTGGGTCGCCTGCTTGGGCTCTTTAAGTCTTTGGCCTTGACGCCTCTACAGTGTGGCATGAGAACACTCCCAAGAGGCCGAAGGGCAATGACACAGCAAAATAGGCAGGTGTTGGGAGGCGTGCGGCGTGGTGTAGCAAGGACAAGCCACAAGAATGAGATCAAAGCGATCTTTTATGTTGCCAGGAGTGGTTCCCTTGCAGGTGTCCCGGCTATGTGTTCTGCAGCTGTCCTGCTCACCGACATTCTCTCTTTTTTTTATCTTGCTCACCATTGTTCTCCATTGTCCTGAGGATGTCTCGCCCGGCGGACTGCCAGGGTCGTCGAAGGCGCCTCTGCTTGGGTACTTGGGAGCTTTGCCGTAGCTTTGCCGTTTAGTGGCGGGCCGAGGTTCCTTGGCGCTCTTTGGGAGGTCCCGTGATGCATCCCACATCGTGGGCCCCCAGAGGAGTTTCCTGGGTCCCGCTCTGACTCGTGGCAGTGCTGACGGTCCTGACGAAGGTTCCGAGGGTTCCGTGAAGCGCCGTGAAGTGAATGTGGCACGAAGCCTGTTTTCGATGAGGTAAGGAGCCGCATCTGGTGGTGTCGCTGGTCGACCTTGCCGTGGTACACAAGCCTCCGGAGTGGCAGGTGTGAGGGGATGTGGCACACAGCAAACTTCACTTGTTCACGCACCTTCGGGCAAGTTCTCCTCAAGGTCGACGACGGCGAACATCCTGGAACGAATGAGCCTGAGTGCCTCGACTGAAAGATCGAGGCTCTACACTTGTTCTCGAGATCTCTTGGTCTCGGATGCTCAGGAGAGGCCTTCTCTCAGACTACATGCAGGCCCAGTCACGGCACCATGTAGCACTTGTACACTTGATTATCATCCGTTAGCGTTCAAAAATGTTTCATATAGTTATGGCTTCAGAGGCCATGTTCCCGAGATGCGGCCTCCTGGCGCACGTCGGCCATGGCCCGGGGCCGGAGATTCTTCTTCAGTCAGAAAGTTTTTGCAGCGCTTGTCCAAATGTGGAGAGATGCGCCTTTGCTCCTCTGAGAGGTTTTGTTGGGGTCCGGGTGCAGTAGTAGTAGTCGTCGTCGTCGTAGTAGTAGTAGTGGTGGTGACGACTCAGCCCCGCATCCAGGCTTCCGGTGGCGTCGCTATCCTTTCCGAAGCTCTACATTTTCCATCTCTCGTCATCTCTCTCAAGGTGTTTCCAGAGAACGATCCCGAAGCATGTAGGCTGCGTGTGTAGACCTCCAGACCTTCGTTTCGGATCTTGCTGGTTTGGCCGAGTCGATCTTGCACTGCCGTCGAGTTGGAAAAACGATGCCATACACGACTGCGCGTATTTCCAAGTCATGCTGGCAAAAATATCCACGCTAACCATGCCAAGACACAGGTCTTGGCCCACGCGCATGATCCAGGTATGCGTAGCTGAAGGCACATCGTTCTTCGTCGCGTTGCTGATTCGGCACATTGGTTTCATTTCGCCATCAAAGCGTGGAAGGCCATGCGGTGCAAGATCACGGAATCGATTGTGGAACTTATGCATGCCTGAACGTGCCACTTCCCCAAGCTTTGTGATGTCAGTTGAGGCTACAGCATCATCCGAATGCACTCAGGGTACTCTCTTTCGCCACCCGACACTCAAAAAAAAGGTGTCTTTTGCTGCACGTGCGAAATTCTGCGCCAAACAACCATGCACACCTCATGCTCTGCTGTCAGCAGCCATGAGAATAGTTTGTTCGGGGGTCACGCGTCAAGCTCTTCCAGCGCATTTGCTGTGAGAAGGCCCTGTCTCAGCGACATCTGAACGGCTGGCTTTAACTGTTTCTTGTCTCACGTTTGGCATGCACTCCGCTTGACCAGCAAGAGTTCCTTGGTCCTTGTCCATGAAGGCATTCATGGTCCACATGCTGTAGGATGCAATGTACAAGTCCTCGACCAGATCAAGCAAGGAAGAAAGAAACTGCGAATAATTCCGGGAGCCATTGCGAATGTGGTGTTCATATGAGATGCTGGCATCAGGGTCGCACGGAATCAAGTCCGATCACCATTCGTGATGCAAGGACGCACTTGGCAAACCATGAAGCTTGTCAGCCTACCTACGCGTAGCATTCGGCCTCTGTAATCTATACTTTCTTGCTTTAGACTATTCAGTTCTACACCCAAAAGAAAGCTTCGGTTGGCGAAGCCATCGACCTCAAGTCTGGTAGCTTGAAGCAGATGTGTGGGGATGAGGGCTTCGGATGTGAGATTCATAGGAGTCATAGGAGTCATAGGTTTCTCACAAAGTGTTAACTGTCTGAGGCCGTGGCTTCCTGCATCGGCTGGACGTGCCAAGCTCTGGCTTGCTCCTAGCCTTGAAAGATGTGAGATGTACGTGCTTGGCTGATTCGGATGTGATTCGGGAGTGCCTTCATTGAAACACCCCTTCTCTAAAGCCGAGGATCCTCGTTGCCAAGTCTCACGAAGCCTGGTACCGAATGAAGGCCCAGGCGGATCGCCTCCTTCACGTCCGCTTGTCGCTTTGTGAGGTTGTGAAATTCACCGAAACTTTTGTGAGGCAGCCTGCGGGGACATCCAGCGCGACTACATCGCTTTGTGCCACGGCTGGATGTGCCCTGAGCGGCAGGCTTGACGCTGTCCTTGACGCTGTCCTTGACGATGCCCATCTTTCCTTATGTCCGGCTGGTCGTCGAACGCAGGAAGTCGCTGCACGAGTCCAGTGGTGGCCTGATGGTAGGACAGCGACGCTCCGTCGCTCGACTCGGCTCAACGGTTCGATGGTAGTTCGCTTCGACACCTGCTGAAATCAATCGCGGAAATCTCGCGCCGTGCAGGAGAGCACCGAGCTCTGTGGATGATGCCGGGCGACTGGCAAAGACGAAGCTCAAAGTGACGAAGTCGCGAAGGCGCCCTCCGGCTCTTTTTCTCTCAGATCTCCGGCAATGGCGCCCACATCTCTCAGGACGGGCGCGAGAAGTCTTTGCCTCCTGAGCATACGGATTGTGACGGGCCGTATGCATCAGCCGCTCGCCTTCTCCGTTTTATCTTTTGCTGCATATAGCTCTCTGCACAGTTGGTTGGCCAAGGATCCGACTGCACACGGCGCATGTGGGCCATCCGACCGTGCGAGACTCGAAGTATTCGTCTCTGGCGACTTTCCAGGCCTCCCCTCAAAGTCTGCTCATGCAACCTTCATGAAGGTTACGTTAGGTACGCAATATTTTCATTTCCGAACTGTCGGGGAAGCCGAAGGAAGATGCCCTCTGGTGCCCGGACCATTTCCTGCACCGGCCATGCCCCAAGCTGTCATCAGTGCCCAGCAGCATCATACCACACTCTATGAGGCATTGCTTGGTCTTCATGGACTCTGCAAAGCAGCCGCACCAGGCTACCAAATGCAAAAGCAAACCATCGGCTGCAGACGGTTTCTGACAGGTCATCGAGCCATTGCCCAGAGGTTTGCAAGAAGCTCTCGGACAGCTGACCTAAGGCAGGATGGCCCCCGGTGCACAATGTGAGCTAGGTGTACTCTCACAGTCTGAGCACTGCAGAGTTTGCGGAATGGCTGATTCCCAAGCTCCACCCGGACGTTGCAGGGGCAAGCTTTGGTTGGCAAGCTGGCGGTGTAGCGCACAGTGGAAAGCTTCAGCGGCTGAAGCAAGCTGGGGGAGGCTGAGGCAGGCCTCCTGATGATGCCCACACGTGTTGGGGCCTTGACCAGTCTGCGTTCTCTGGCAGACGCCTGGGCTGCTGAGTTTGGGGAACCTCCGTCCAGCAGACCCTGGACGGATGTGGGAATTGATGCTTCGAGACCTGCTGTTCATACGGGATCAAAATGGGTGTAGAGAAGGAGCAAACCTCAGCAAACGTGCATGCAAGCGCAGATTGGTGATGTCCTCTGCCATATGCAAGCACCCCAAGTTCGGCGCATTCCATCACGTTCCTGTTTGCCCCTCTGCTTCAGCACGAGCTAGAGATGGCTGCGTGGCGAGATTGTAGCCATTGTAGCCATTGTAGCCATGGACCAGAGACAGTTGACACCCCCCCCCCTTTGTCACGTTTTCAGCACGCGAATTGCTACAGCAATAACTTCGATTGCAATGTCCCGAAGAACGTAGCCGATTCTCATGTGTCCTGAAAGTGTGTTGCTATGAGAGTCCAAGCATGTCGGGGGTGGTGCATTCTGGGCGTCTTTTGGGCAGCCCCTTGGAAGCCAGGCAACGAGGATGTTGCGGGGTGTGATCTGGAATCTGCTGCACCTCAGGCCAGCCGCTACGGAAGGACCTTCTCCCTGAACGCCCCCGGAAGGCGCGGCGCTCCGTTTACACAGCCAAACTTCACCTGACTTCACTCTTCCATGGGTTCTATGAAGTTTTTGGGCCGGGTTGTCAATGGGTTTGTTTTTTCCACTCAAGAGCTGCACCTGTGGCAGCCGACGTGGTAGCCAAACGGTCCAGAGCCTGACGAACGCTGCAGAAGCTGAGTCTCGAACGATGTTGCAGAAGCCCGTGACGGGAACTCGAACCATCACATCGCCATGTGCGCATGGGAACAGAGAACCTGTGATCAAATGGCTTTCGGCTCAATTTTTGTTTTCACCACCGAGTCGTACCACTGCACACCATCGCCGTGCCATTTCCTTCCTTTTCTGTCTTGTCGTCCGCACCAAGATGGCAGATCGCAGCAGCTTTGTCGAGAGGACTCTTCGTGAAGAGCCTTGGGCAGCTGCTGCTTTCAGATGATTCTTGATGATGATGATGGTGATGATGGTAGATCATGATGGTGATGATGCTACACTGTAGATGATGACGGATGGAAGGTGTTAGAAGATGATGCTTGATGTTGATGATGATGATGATGGTCATGCTGCTGCTGATGGTGGCAAATGGTGCTGACAGATGATCGTACAGCTGTTAGATGGTCGGTGATTGATGATGATGGTGATGATGGTGATGATGATGATAGATGAATGATGATAGATGAATGATGAATGATGAATAATGAATGATGAATGATGAGTCATGATGATGATGATGATGATGATGATGATGATGATGATGATGATGATGATGATGATGATGATGATGATGATGATGACTGATGATGAAGCTGACAATCATCATCCGCCTTCGGACCATGTGTTGTCCAATTGCGCCTTGCGCCGTTACATTGCGTATGCAAACATGTTGCAGGGGTGTGCTGTAAGCTTCGGGTGGTTGAGCTCTGGTCACTACTGTGGCTTTTGACACTTGTGGGGCTCCCTTCTTGTGCAGGGCGAGCTCCGGGCGACGCGAGGTCGTGCAAAGTGTCGGGCTTGTCAGCGTGTGCTGCTCAGCAGAAGATGCGTCGCCCCTCGCGGGCCATGCGTGTCACAGGCCGAATGTTCAGTGCTGGTAGAGTCCACGCGTGCATGCACCTTGGCGCAGAGGCCTTGTCCACTGGCTGGGAGCCCGCCCACGCCCTTGCTCGCAACAGTGAGGAGCGGGCAGCTGCTCAGGCGCCCGTGCTTCTCAACGACACGCTTATGCAAGTGCATTCACGAAAGAGGTCTTCCGCGCGGCAACGCCCGGTGTCGTCTCTGTGGCCCGTGGCTACCGGCAGGGTGAGAGACGTCGTGGTGGCGGTGAAGATGGCCTGCCGCCTTCCCTCGGCAGCGGCTTCGTTTCTTGGCAAGTCTAGGTGAAGGTACGTGAAGGTCCGACCAAGCCGCTAGCCTTAAAGATGTTGAAGTCTCATGAGTCTCACGTAAAAAAGCCCGGAAAGACTCGCTTGGCGGCCAAAAGGTCTGGGACACTTCGCACATCGTGACGATGCCTGGCTAGGACTTCAGAAGCTGTGCCTTGCACTTCCAGGCCGACAATAGCAATAGCAGGTATCCGTGAAGCAAATGCCAAGCAGTGCCAAGGAACTATCACGTTATTCGAGATCTAGCTCCTGGGGAGTTGCAGATCGTCTTCCTCGATGCGGTGACCAGCAAAGACGAGACTGAAATGCCCAAGCGGGAGATCTTGAGGGGCGAGTTAGTCGGAGCCGACCCCTTCACAGACACTGCGGTGGTCAAGGTCGTCGCCCCGCCAACTGGCACGATGGTCGTCGGCATGCACCCACTCCCGACAGGGGAGTCCTCGGGACTCGAAGTTGGGCAGACGGTCTACGCGATCGGAAACCCCTTCGGTCTTGACCACAGCATGCCACGCGCTTACTTTTCCAAGCTTGTTCCAAGCTTGTTCCAAGCTTCTGAAGCTACTGCCAGCTGACCACCTGCTGAGGAGCCGTGGCATCATCTCTGGCAAATCCAGAACACTCGACATTGGAGAGAGGCCTTTGTAGTGCTCTCATGCCACCGCCACTAGCACGAGTTTTTCTTTGTTTTCCCTCTCTCTCTCTCTCTCTCTGGTTTTCCAGTGCCAGGCCGATCCAGGGCTGCATCCAAACGGATGCGTCCATCAACCCAGCCTCTCGAAACAAAGGAGACAGTGACCACGCCCGTTCGAACTTGAGAAGACTTGCATGTCCTTTGCAACAAAACACAAACCCAAGTGTTTTATAGCGTTGCACTCTGAGGGCAATTCGGGCGGCCCGCTCCTGGACGCGGGTGGCCGCGTCATCGGCGTGAACACCGCCATCCTCACTGCCAGTGGCACCTCCGCCGGGGTCGGCCTGGCCATCCCGGCCGCCCACATGCAAACTCTGAGACCTTCTGATCCTGGTAGTTCAGGCTGAGGTCTTCAAGTGGAACAAGACTTCGTAAAACCAAAAACTCGAGAAGCGTAGTGAAAATAGAAGAAACATTATGGCTGCGTGGAGCTGTCTGATCTGTCGGCTTGATAAGATCCTGCTTGAATCCAAAAGCCACCACGTCCCAAGGTGGACACCGTGAAACGGAACGTGGAGCTGATCCTGAAGCAGGTCGCATACACTACTTTTTACTTCGTAGCATACTGTTACAGCTCTACCAGTGCTGCTTATTATTGCTCTTCTGCTGCTTCTCTTGCCCATGAGATGCCCAAACCTCTCAGGTCTCAGCCAAAGTACTCTTCCAACCATCCCAGTCGCCCAGGGTTTCGTCTCCCGCGGCTTCCTCGGCATCACTTTTGCGCCCGACCAGATCGCTGATGCTCTGCAAATTCCCGGCGTCATTGTATACGGCGTCATACCCAAGAGCCCTGCAGAAGCAGCAGGAGTGTCACTTGGTCTTCCCTTCCCTGCAGTTAGGGCAGCGTGTCAACGCCCCATCTCCCACACGACACGTCACGAGCAGGAGTTCGCCCCATGCTGAATGGAACGATCGGGGATGTGATTACCTCCATGGATGCGAAAACGATTCGCACCGGTTCCGACGTCTTCCGCTTGTTGGACAAACGGGCCCTGGCCTTGTGGCCTTGTGGCCTTATGGCCGCTTTCTGGTCGTGTCGAGGCTCCAGGGTCAGAGCTTTGCGAGTCTCAGCAACTTAGGTTCCAGGAGACGTTGTGTCGCTGGGCCTAAAGAGGTGCTACTTGAGCTTGACTCGAGGGTTTCTCTCGGGTAATGCTTGAAGTGTTATGCAGGGCCCGAAGAGATGTGGATGGATCGGCGGTCGTTGAGCAGTTGACCTTCAACGTGACGCTGAGCCCCTCTGCAGAGTTTGTCACTTCTGGCGTTACTAGTAACGAGCCGTTACTAGGATGCCTGTAGGAGGGAAGGTAGGAGTGACATCAGGAAGCCTTTCATTCGGAGTGCATCAGCTCGGTCGGTGCACCGAGGTTCAACTCCGAAGCAATTGTGATGAAGAGGTGAATGCTGCAGAAAGAACTGCGGCAGTTCGTGTAGCATAGTCGCTTAGCAGTCGATCATAGGTGCCATAGTTTCCATAGTTGTACCCACCAATGCGTGAAATGGCTTCCCTTCATCGGCGACAGACGGCGACAGTGCCCAAGGAGGGAGGTTTTGCTGTATGCTTGTGAGTCGTCGCCGTCTCTGCCCGAGCGTTAGCGTTCACAGCGTCCTCATGGCTTGGCAGTGGCCCCGGTTGGCCGAGTATGAGTTGCGTTAGGCCACGTGCCTGACAATGCGATGCTCAGGTAGAGCAGCGCAGCAGCGCAGGGCGCCGGGACATGTTCAAGAAAGGGTGCAGCCCTGAGACACGTGTCAGAAGGCGCCCGGAAGTTGTCACCAGTTTTGCTAGGTATGCAGCGCAAGGGCAGAACTTGTTATCCAAGAAGGAGAACCGTTGTCAGTGTGAATGATTTGTCTCAGACAGCCCAGCTGTCTGACATTTCAGGATCTGAAAGCTCTTAAAGGCACGCTACGGACAAGCTGTTCGCTGCAATCCGCAATCCGCTGTTCTGACCGGCGCACCTTCCAGCCCCAGAGGCCAACTCACCGAGCACTTCCCCAGCCTAGATGAGAAAATGCTGGATGAGATCTTGCCTGAGGGCCAAGCCAAGGTCGGCTCCTTGTGGGCTCAAGGCACGACGAAAGCACTGGATGTCACTGGATGTCACTGGCCCATGTCCGGAGTCCTTTTTGAGGTTGTGAAGCTGGACAACAGATGCTTGCTTTACTCCTCCGGGGACTCTCCTCCAGCTTTCTTTGATGCAGAGGGCCGAGGGGAGTAGCGCCCCCAGCTACTCTGTGATACTCTGTGTAATGAAGTTTGACTCCTGGCGCGCTGGTTGGGAATCAGGTTCTACCCCACTCTGCACACGCTCTGGCAGTTCCCGTGCGACCTCTCAGATGTTAAGATGTCAAGATCTGTCACGACTCTGGCAAAAGTATTCAGACGGTTCTTTGCCTGGTTTGCCTGCTTGGCTTTGCTGTTGAATGAACGGATATGCCCTGCTCATTCAAAGGCATATCATGCAGGAGCTGACTATCCATCCGCCTGTGTAGCACGCCGAGCTCTGGGGGGAGCACAATGAACAGGGTATGCAGTGATCAGTGACCCGAGTCGTGTTGTGGGTGTGTATAAAACGAGGGTTTCTTCTTGAAGCTCTCCAGGTCGAAGTTCGTGCTCAACGGTGCAGACCTGATGCTTCCAGGCGTCCTTGCGCCAAGCTCGGGGCCTCGCGCAGGGCCACCCTCTGCGCTTGGAGCTGGTGAGTTGCGTCGAAAATTTGTTTGTTGGAAGCTTGGGGGGAGGTGGGGATATGGTGCTGCACAACGAAGGTGCCTGCAAACGGCGTCGCTGGCTTCGGAACAGTGACGAAGGGCCAGAGGGAGCCCTAGCCTGTCCTCGTCGCATCATGTGTCGTCGCAATGTCGTGTGAGCCCGTTCTCGAACGTGATGTTCGATGTCTGGGGAAGGCCACGGTGTATCAAGATCGATGGCAACCCTTATCCGATTGCAGTCGGGAGAATGGTGGTGAACCAAACCCAGATGGAAAAGCCGCATCCTTACTTGGACACAGTCCCCACAAGCATGAATCTAGTCCGCCGCCTCTGACGTGCCGCCTTGTAATGCTCCTCAGGTTGAAAGGAAAAGGCATGGAGGCGAGCGCAGATCACTTCTTCCTTGAGCGCTTGTCTCGACTAAAGAGTGGAAAGGTGATGCATGTCTACAAAGATGCTTTGTGGGCCCAGTGTGGCAAGGCGTGAACATTATTCATGCCCTATTTGATTGTACTCCTTCCAGAACAGGTGAAACCCAATGCTGGTTTCTCAGACGAGGACGAGGTGGGAAGCTTCGACATCCGACCTTTTGGCCCCTATACAAGTACACAAGTGAGCGTAGCAGGTTGCTCCCTGTGCGGCCAGCAACTGGAAGCCCGGCGCAGCGCGGGCAAGCTCAGACCATCTGCTTGAGGAAATCTCTGAAGTTTGGGTTTCCCCTCAACACTTTCCTCTTGTTGGTACTACAAGTACTGCAAGTACTACAAAGGTATCGTGCCCAGTACGAACAACTGTTGGTGTTGGGGCGGCACGCCAATTTGCTTCTGCACGTCAAGAGGAGCAGAAGCCAGTTTGAGCGACTGTAGAGCACCGTGATAAGCATGACGTAGGATGTTGGCACGTCGCGCCGAGGGGTCCACCTGTATGTAGACATGGCGCACAGTGCTCGGGGTGGCTCGCATGTGCACGACCGGACTGAGGAGCGCGGAGGCTAACGGTACGGCTGAGCCTGGGGCTGCGGAGGCCCCGGCAGCAGCACCAACAGCAGCGCCCGGAGGCTTGGCCAATCATTGCTGGTCCCGGCAGCGGTTCGTTGTGTCATGTGTGCCTTCACCCTGTGCAGGCGGCAAAGCTGCAGGACTCTCAAGCCAACAAAAAGTTTGGTGGAGAATGGTGGGCTTAGGGTCAGGGGCGGTCTTTCTAAGGCCGACGATTGGACGCCTCTCGGCCTTGCACGAGCGAAATACCTGGTGCCTTATGAGTTTCGGAAACACTGAGGCAGGATGACCTATTGGATTTCACTTTCCTCCAAGCCTTCAAGCAAGGCTGTGTGACCCGTGTGACCGCTACCGTTCGAAGTGCAGGGGCTCCAGTCTCGGCACAGGCCTTGCAGATGACAAGGCTAGTTCCTTCTCCGGCTTCAAGGCTCCGACAGGGAGACTTTCTGAGAGATCGGGAATGCGCAGGCTTTGCCCATAGAAGCTTCTGAGCTCTACGAGAAGCACATGAAGCCAGCGAGGCCTGGCCACTGGATGTGAGAGCGCCTTGCTCCTAAGCGTCTGATGTCTGCTTCGCTGGAAGGCCTGAGGGAACCACCCTAGATGTCAAGAAGTCGTAGGGGGCCTCGGCATCTCCAGATGCAACTTTGGCCCACGTTCAAGCTGCTCAGGTCTCACAAGCAGATCGGCAAGTTTTTGAATGCAATGCGGAAATCCAAAGCCATCGACGTCACAGAGAAGAAAGGCGTCATCCACGTTTCGAAAGTTGCGGGTAACTCAGCCGGTCAGCGTGTCTTAGAAACGTGTATCCTGGTTTGTCATGCGAGCACACTCTCTCTCGCTCTCTCTCGGCAGGACAGGAAGCACAAAGTGTTTGTCAGTCTCGAAGAAAAATATGCCGGGAGCTCTCAGCGCTTGCAGTTGCTTCAGCCACCGGCTTTCACAGCGCCTCTGACTGAGGCGGACCAGGTGGCCGCTGCCCCAGTGGCCGCAGCAGCCACCGCTGCGACGACCCCTGCAGGCCCACCGCAAGGATTCTTCAGCCTGGAGACTATAATTCGCCATGTCCCTGAAAGCCCTCATCGCCCTCATCCGCAAGCATATACACACGTTGAATTAAAAAACAGAGGTATATACACATTTTGGATACATATAGGTTTGCCCCTCCGCCCCCCAGTTGCATTTTGGGCTAAGGGCTTGAGGGAACCCTAACCTTTGCATTTTGGGCTTAGGGCTTGAGGGAACCCTAACCTTAAACCGGGCCGAGGGGGCCTGAAAGTGCCAGGCTTGGCGCCGCCCAAAGTGACGGCGATGCCGGGATCTGACCACGGTTTAATGTCTTTTTGTTTTAAATTTATTCTGGGGTTATCGGTTGCTTTCGGAGGGCTTGCAAGAGAGGTTGCGAGAGATGCCGATGCCTGAGGTGGAAGCCCTCGCATTACCTAGAGCCGATCTGGAAGGTGCCGAAGCAAGTTGGGCTGTGCGGTGACGTAGTTCCTTCAGAATTACCCAGACTGCAATCAGTTTGGCAGGCCGTGGGGAAGAAGAAGGATGAGCTGTACACCTGGGATGAGGCCCACAGACCACTTGCAGGGACTTGGCTGAAGCTTGAGTTTGCCAAGGCCAGAGCCATAGTCTTCAGCTACATAGAGCAGGACTGGCTCACTGGAGTAGTGCAAGTTGCTGCAACCCCCATATGTCTGAAGTAGCTGTGTGTGCCGGCAGGAGAACCTTGGCAAAGCAGATGGGTTGGGAACCTGGACTGGATGACTGGATGCATCTGCGGCCATCGGTAGCATCACGCAATGTGGTGGAGGCCCATCAAGATGAACGATGGCCTCCTGACTGCCCTCTGGAAAACCGCCCGAGGACTTAGACTCAAGAGGAGCCGCTGCCTCTAGTAAAAGCAGCATCCCCAAACCGTGGAAGTATCTATAAACGTGGTCTCAAAGCAAAAACAGTCTGAGAACGCAGCGTAAAATACCCCGAGGCCGGCGGGCAGAAGAAGGACCAGGAGTGGCCCACGGAGGCTCCATGGATGCTGGGTTTTTCGGGCCATTGGCCATGTTCGCCCTCCTAAGCTGCTTTCTCTTGCGGTTACACAATATGGGCTGTGCCATGCTGCGTTACTTGCATCTCTGGAGAGGTGGATGGCGAGCAGGTAGAAGAGAAGTTGGAAGACCGCCTTCAGCAGCAGGAAGCTCAACGACTTGTCCGGCTTAAGTGACTCAAGAAAGCCATTGCCGCCCTCGCATTCTCCGCCTTTCGGAATTTCGGAGCACCTCCACGGACTCGCGGTAGAGAGGTACACGTCCATCGATGTGGCCGGCGTGGGTGTAACGACCCGGAAGGGTGCCCCGGTGAACATCGCCATCTCCCTGCTTTGGGCCCAGCCTGGCTCATGAGCCACGATGCAGCGCCCATACCGATTTCTTTCTCTCTCTCTCTCTCTCTCTCTGTCTCTCTCTCTGTATCTCTCTCTGTCTCTCTCTCTGTCTCTCTCTCTGTCTCTCTCTCTGTCTCTCGCTCTGTCTCTCTCTCTGTCTCTCTCTCTCTCTCTCTCTGCTTTTGGTGTGTCTGAAGCCTCTAAATGTTCTGAGAGGTCAAGAAAAGGAGCTCACAACGTCACCAGGATCTGCAACCTGGAAGCCTATGGCCTCGATCCGGAGTCGCTCGGAGAGCGAATTCGGAAAGCAGTCGGAATATGGAGCATTCAACTGAGTTGGAGGCGGTGTGCTGATTCGCTGTAACTGAGGGCCCTGGGAGACGAGCTGAAGCGAAAGCTAAACTGTACAGTGTATATCGAAGACATGCCTGGCAAGAACGCCGCGGCCTAAGTTTGAAATTGAACACGTGGCTTCAGGCCTCAGAACTCAGCATGCCGCTCAACATCGAAGTGCTTGGGGGTTGGGATGACGATCTGCACGTGCCGAGGTGAAGGAGAAAATGTTACAACTACAAGGTCACGTGCCTTTGCTGCAAGGCAGCTCAAGCGGCCGGGTGCAGACGTGCGATGCGCCAGGGTGTCTTTGGCTTGTCGCATTTGTCACCCAGGTTGACCAGGAATTAGCGCAGTTTTTGGAACAAAGGCCCGAGTACTGCCGCTGTTCCTTGGCACCAAGATCTTTCACGTGCGCCAGGTATGGAATTACCAAGAAGTTTTTGGAGGTGAAGTGAGGGCAGCAGAGGGAACCGCAAGAGCTTTTGTGTAGGCTTTTAGGCGTCTTAGGACTTAGGAAAAACTTTGCCGTTTGTGCAGACCGCGTGCAAAAGACTGCCAGTGCCTGCGTGCCACAAGCCCACTTGCCTTGCCAGCTGCCATCTTCGAGAGCTTTGACATGAACTTAGTTGTAGGCCCGAGACACCAAGTGGTCGGCCCTATTTTTGGTGGCTGTTAACTTCAGCAAAGCTGAGAAGCCATCGCCCTGGACAAGCTCGGCACTTGAACAACTCGTTTGCTGAACTCCTTTGCTTAAGTGAAGCTCGTTGCCCCTCGCAACTTGTCCAGGGATTTTAAGCGCGAGTCACAAGAGCTTGCTTCTCTGAATCTGCGCCCAAATGACGACAAAAGCAAACCGCTTGACCTTCTTGGAAGCTGTGCGGCGAGGACGAACAGACCAGGTTGCGGCTTGGCAGTATCCCAAACTTGAATAGCCCGGACCGAAAGAGAAAGCGATGAAGACTTCAGCAAGTTCCCTAAAGTCTTTAGTATTCTTTAGTCAACCCTGGAGTGTTTTTGTTTGACGCGATGGAGAGGCCTTTACACACAGCTTTTCTCGTTCTGAGACTTCTTCGGCCCCGGTTGGGCCGTAAGTCCCGCAGGCGAACCTCAGTGCTCGATAGTGCTCGGAGAGGGTTCCCTCAAAGTCATCGCGAACGCTATCGAACGCGTGGAGTGTTCAATGGTTCCAGAAGGCTGGAGAAGAGCAGAGGAAAGAAGCTTCTTTAAACGTCACACACACACACACATGCACGCACACACGCACGCGCACGCCACACGCACGCACGCACCAAAAGACGAGCGATCCCGGATGCTCTGACATGGTCTCTGCACTCAACTGCCCCCCGCCCAGCCTGCGCGGGAAAAACAGGCCGCTCCTCGTGTGAGCCGAAACCAGGCGTTCGAGCCTATGCCTCTCCCCGTCTTGACAAAGCATGGTCCATGGCGTGGTCACCAGCCCTCGTTCCTTTCGTGAGGTCAGACGTTCGGAGCTGGTCAAAAAGCCTTTGGTAGTCTCAAGCGCGTCGGTTCGAAAAGCTCCCACGCTTTTCAGTTTCCTGTTGGACGCGGCACAGGCCCACCGGCCTTTTTCCGAAGTTGCAGGCGTTGCGTAATCCTTGTCCTTTGAATGCTATACTTGGAAGTCTATTTTGCACTGTGCACACAGAAGTGACGGTGAGATGCCGAGGATCAACTTCTTCGGGCGCGGGCACATCCAGAAGATGTGGATGAGAACGTTTGTGATTGGACCGGAGAGCCCCTCCGTCCAACGGTTCTGATGCTGGCAGCCCAAAATGCGCAGCAGGTTTGTGTCGAAAGGCTGTTGCAGGCGGGTGCTCTGGTGAATGGCAAGAATGCCATCGGGCGAACCGCCCTGCATATAGCAGCCGAGAAAGGGCACGTCCCAGTCGCAAAACGCTTGCTACATGCACATGCGAACCTGGACATCGACGACAAGAAGGGCAACACTCCCCTGCACCGCTCGGCATGCAATGGGAGGCAGGAGATGACGCGTGTGCTGCTGGCAATGCTTGCGGAAGTCGACGTCAAGGACCAGCGAGGCCAAACCCCCATGGACCAGGCCAGAGACCGTGGTCAAACAAAGATCGTGGAGATGCTGGCTGAGGCTGCAGCTGAGAAGGCAGCGGCATTCGTGCAGCTCCGAGTTCTGAATCGACAGCAGCTCCAGCTCGTTGCAAAGAGAGTTGAGGTTGAAGGTGATTCTGATCTCGAAGCCATGCTAGCAATGCTGACCCAGTACTTTGTGGCTCGCTTTCGCGGACGACAAGCCTCTGAGTTGATCCAAGAAGCCCAAGCAATGCGAGTGAAGCAGGATGCCCTCGATGAGGCCCGGGGCTTCGCTAGCCTGTGATGTCGGTTTCTAGTGATTCTAATCGCTCTCCCAAGAATGTCCGGGGAACAGCAGCAGACGGCCGTAGAAGAGAGGTTCTCGGATACACTGAGCTAGACACCTAAGTTGGACTAAAAGATGTATATGTATATATATATATGCGCATTATATGGTCCGGTTCCCCAATGGACCAAGCGCAAAGTAGAAAACATGCACAGAAAACATATTAAGAATAATCCCAAATGTCCATATTGTCCAAACTTGTTTTTTTTTGCCTTGTTTGCACTTACTTTTGTTTTTTTGGATTGTGTTGTTTTCGTACTTGTTTAGACTTTTTGCACTTATTCGTGCTCCTTTTTTTTTGTGTGGGGGGGGGGGCTTCTTTGCACTTATTTGTGTTTTGTTTTCTGAGCCTTTGCGCACTTATATTTGTGTGTTTGTTGCCCTTGTTTGGCACTGTGTGCTTTTCTAGCTTATGCCAAGCATAGAGATGTACAAATCCGAAAAACCAAAATCCCCAAATACACAACTCCACAAGTCCAAAAACCCAATCATTCCCGGAGCTTCTCCCAGGCATTTTTGAATTTTTTCGGGTTTTTGGATTTTGGGGTTTTTGGGGAGTTTTCACGTTCGCGGTCCAAGTGCATTCTCCATTTTTCTCACTGAAAAGAGAACGACCTTCAAATCTTGAGAAATGTACCTTATCAGAATCTCAATAGCGTCCTAACTACTCGAAGCGTGAACACTGTATGAATAGGATACGCAATAGCGTACTCAAGAAAGTTTTGAATAGAAGTTTCTCTATATGAAAACCCTGAAAAAGTCTTGTTCAAATCGCTGAAAAAGCATGTACATTAGCAGCAGCACCGTGAACTCGTGATACTATGCTGTTTGCTTAACGACCGGGAACATGCTTAGTCTTCTAATAGCTGCACAAACTGCATCTTTTGATTAGAGACGGATGGTACTCATGTCACTAGTACATTTCAGCTGCAAGAATATCAACTATTATGTGCTCAAGGGGGGCGGCACAATAAATACTGAATGGAGGTATCCATCATATACTGAACGACTATATGTGGTACCTGCATGAACTACATATTCGGATGTGTGTGTGTGTGTGTGTAAGATGATGTGTTCAATCCACCCGAGGCCATGCAAGAGTACGACAATATGCCGAAGCTCGGGCTGATTAAGTTGCTGGTGTCGCAGACGGCACTGACCACTGGCTACGTGCCTCCGCCGCCTTTGCCGCCCATCCAACCGATGGGCCCCGTAAGTAGTACCGTGGCACCGCCGGCACCGCCGCTGCCACCGCCGCCAGCATCAACCAAATCCCCACGTGATCACCAGTCGATGCGGGCATTGAAAGCCTGAGAGCAGCCTGTCTCCAAGGCACACAGGATCCAGAGATTGCGACCGGTATTATATCGGTTTGAGAGCAAGTTGTTGACTTGCGCGTTTGTCGACTTGTGTAGTTCTGTTTAATGGCCTCTTCCAAGGAGAGGTCGTTGAGGCAGAACTCTCGCTGGTCTTGTAGGTCTTGAAGGACCTACAACGCTTTAGGTGCAGCAGTTTGAAGACTGCAAAGGAAGAAAGGTCCGAGCTTTTGGGGGGGGGGGGGTGTCCAGCGGCCATTCGCTTCTTCCAGACATCCAAGAACTTGATCCAGAAGCCACCTTTTGTTGCTTCTGTCTCGTTTGAGGGTGTTTGGGCTCAAGTCTCTGTGACATGACATGTGGCAGTTTCTTTGTGGCACGTTGCTTGGCACGTGCCCCCCCCCCGGCCCTCCTGATAACCTGGTCATCAGCACACACGGATGCAACATCGCATTCACGACATTGAAAAGGTACCTCGGTACCTACTACAACTTCCGACCCTACATGGAGGCCGGACCTACATCGTCTCCTATCCTGTCTTGTCGATTCGAGAGATCTCCAGGTGCTGAGGCAGTTCTATGAAAGACGCCTCGCAGAATATGCCCACAGCTCGATTGCCCCTCATTTCATGCCACGCCAGTTAAGATGCCATCCCCGGTTCCAGGCCGAGACGAGACCCATCTCGAAGCAGTGAAGGCTTGAGGAACATCTTGAAAAAGGGTACTTTTACCCGTAAACTGAAAGAGCCTAGATATCACAGTACAGGCGTTAATGGACGCGCCAGAGACCGCCTGGCAGACAGTGTGTGCCTCCTGGCTTTGTACATAGAGATGCGGGGGGCAAGCGGGGGAAAACCTTGAAACAGCCGAAATTCGACCGCAAACCTTGGCTGCAGGTTCAGAGTGCGACGCCATGAACCCCCCCCCCACTTCAGCCGTTGGCTCTGTACAGGGAAACTAAGGTAGAGTGGGAAATAGTGGGAAGCAGGTGGCGCCCCTTTGTGAAGGCCGTCTTCAATTGGGTTCTCAGGACCTGTTCAGATTCAGATGTTGAGCCCCTGAAGTCAACTGGGACTGTGAGGCCCAGGGTAACCCCAAACCGAAGACTCAACCCCAAAGTCATTCTTCGCTTTCTCTTTCTCAGCTGTGAGATGTTCCTCGATCTTCTTTCGCAGTGTGTGCCCGGAAGCCCATCCAACACCTGTCTTGCCTGGGGCGGCCCCTCCAGGTATGATGGACGGCACAACTTTCGCGATTCTTTTCTTTGTGATAGTCTTCGTGGGTGGAGTTGCAGGATATGTGTCCTTTCCCCAGATCCTGATGCGTTGCACGGGTGTTCTGCACCGGATGCAGCGCCCTTCTTTTGCAGGTACTACGTGAACATGAAGATGGCAGAGGCCCCTGCCACGTGCTGCTGCGTCAACTTCTGCGGATGCATATTGCAGGCTGGCATGGGCCCCAAAAACGTTGGCAAGAAGAAGATTCGCAAGAAGGAGCCGGTGCCCGGGTGCAGTCGGTAAGCCTCTTTTTCCTCCCCGCCTCTGGTCCTTGCTGCAACCTTCTGTTTGTTGGGTGGAGGACAAAGCTTCCTGGTCGCTCGGCGGTTAGCTCGGTCAGCTCTGGCACGTGGACATCAGGAACTTTGCCGTGGCATGAATGCCCAGCAGAGACTTCCGGCCACAAGCCGACAAAGACTCCAACTGCAGCGTGCAGTCGTGCTAAAACCCAATGCGTGCCAAGCAGAACATGAGAAGAACGTACCCTGTCGCTCTTTTTTCAAGCAGTTCATCCGCTTGTTTGCACGATCTGATCGAGGTGTTTCTGGCTCCCAGAGCCCTCTCAGTGGAAGTAGCATGCCGAAAACATTTAAGCTATATGACAGCAAGGAGTCAGCTCTGTCAAATGGGTCCGTAGCCGGACATGGCCTCTGTGCCTGACTTCTGCGAGGCTGAACTGGGCATTGGGGAGGAATCATGAAATGCATGAAGTGAATGAAGGCATGAATTGTGTGTGAATGAAACTTGAAGTAACATAGTTCTTGTGCTGGCTTGCAATATAATTCCCTGAGTTCGCAAGCCCCATTATTGTTATTGTTCTCTTCACGGGCCCTTATTCTCTTAACTTCACTACTGGCCCGTGAGTAAGATAACATAAAGGCCATATCAAGCTACTTCAACGGTAGGGAATGGAATGACACGCGCGTTTAATTTCTTTTTGGGCTTTTTACGAGCGCCTTTAATAGGGGGAGGATGGAGGCGGAGGGAGGGGAACATGGGGGGACCGTGCTCACGCAGAGCGGATCGGGCCAGGCCTTGCAGGCGCGATCCGCAGAGCTGCGACGGAAGGTGCACGAAGAGCGGCAGAAGCAGGCCACTCCCAAGAGACTACGGCCTTGGTGGTCACAGTCATTGTCACTGCATGAGGAGGCAGCCCAGCGTGACCTCGCCTCTGTGGAAGACGAGGCGCCTTATGAGATCTTGTGAGCGGGGTGCTCTTCTGCGCGGCTCTCCCGAGCCATTGGCGTTCTGCTTCAGGTGGCGCAGCTTCGCAAAGAGGCCTTGGTTTCAACGAGATGCCTCTCATGTATCTCCGAACTTCATTTGATATGTCGGAAGTCTTCACGAGGACCTTGACGGAGTGGGTGCCCTTTGGTCCCCGGTCCCTAAGTCCTAAGCAAGAAAGAGAGACGGAAATTGTGAACGACGGAGTCCAGCCTAAAAGGGACAGTGGAAGCAAAAGGCTAGCACAGTTAGCTGATGTGGAGGCCCTGGAGTTGCAGCTTGCCGCCGACCAGCAGCGGCAGGCTGAAAAAGCATGAACAATCCACAAAAATAGCTCACCTCCAACCTCTCTTAGATGACTCTGTGAAAACACTTGTTGCTTGCGGAGTGCTTTCAAAAGTAGGCGGTTCTTCGGCTCAACAACCCCTTCCCCGCTCCCCCCCCTAGACAGGAAAGGAAAGCTCAGAGGGAGGCCGGCCTGAACCAAGCGGCGGCATCGCTGGCTTTGATGGAAGCCTGTGTGTGTGGGTGTGCTGATTGAAAGGCCAAGGTGGATGTGGCTTCCTTGAAGAAGGAGGCCGAGAGCACTGTGAGTTATGTTGAGGTCTCTTCTGTGATGAGTGAGGTCGAAAATTTGCAGACGTTTGCAGGTGAGCCGCCGCCAGACTCAGGTGCGGATCTTGACCGAAGAGCTGGCGACTGGGCCGAACCCTGGACCTAGGTGACCTGTCCGATGTCACACAGACATCCTTGAAACCCTCTTACAAAAAAGGCCTGTCAAGAGAAAGAAAGTCAGAGTTCCGCGCTTTCTGTGTGGTGCCGCTCGACCCGACCAAGGCGCGCACCCAGGCGGACGTTCACAGGCTTGTGGATGAAGCCGTGGCAAGAGCTGAGAAGGCGTGCTGAGCCTCTGCCATCTTGTTCTGTTTTTGCCATTTCTTGCATCATCTTGAGCTCTGTTCCGCTCTTTTGCACAGCTTGTATCAGCATGCGGTCGTCAGGCTGCCTTACAGCAGGAAGTAGACATGGAAAAACAGTGGAGCTGCCCTGAGCCTCCCTGGCTATACTGTGCATGTACCTAAGGCAAGCGGCGCGAGCTTAATCACAAGTTGTTACTCGGAATACTTTGGCGACGAGGTCTGCCCGCAAGGAAGCCGAGCACGAGAAGCTCAGGTGCAAGCTGGTTTCTTGCGCAGCAATCAAGAGCAACGACTTCGACCATCGTTCAAGGCAGACGGAAGAGAAAACGCTCCACCAGCAAGAGGCGGCTCTTTTAGATTTTTTGAGGTGAGGGGTGGGGAGTCGGGGTACAGCCCTCAGATGAATGTCTGATGAATGATGACATGGAGAGGAGTCTGCGCGCCTTGAGCACGAGATACGAGTCCTACCGCCTCGCACTGCGGTCGTGCAGCTCTTTGCCGTGACAGCCTGGCTTGTTTGTGCATGAGCCATCATGAGCGCCAGGACCATTGCAGGTCTTGCAAAAGTTGTAATTCGTTTTTTATCCATTTGCTTCCGTTTAGAAATCGCCTGACATGGCTGCAACGAGCCGAAAAAGAGTGTCTTTGGGACCTTCAGGGCCGATCACCAACGGATCTGGGCAGATCTGGCCAGGCTCGATGAGCTTCGGCATGTTCGCCAGGCCGTGCTCCTATCATGTGCTCATGCGCTCCGAGTGAGGAGCATTTTGTGCTTTGGTGCAGGTCGCCGCCTCCGTGCAGAGTTGTCGCAAGGAAGAGGAGCAGCTCAGGGAACTGCGGAGAAGGCCACTCGCTTCACTCTTCACTCGCTTCGGAGCCGTTAGAGAGGGCGCCGCCGCCGCTTCGGAACTTCGTGGCTCCCTGAGAGGCGGCTCTGCGAGAAGGGCGAGAAGCTCGTGCAGTTGGACCGCGACGCAGCCGAGCAGCGCTGCCAGGCTGCGGAGCTTCAGGCCGCCTTCGAGGAGCTTCCCGGTCCGGTAAGTTCGGTATGTCTCGGTTCCTCTTCCAAACGCAGCTTCTCCCCGTCTCCGTGATGTCGCTGTCCACTCTCGGCTAGGAGGAAGCCCGATTGGAAGAGGCGGAGCTTACCGAGCGCCTCGAGAGGCCACGCGGCGTCGGGAACTAGTGAGCACGGAGCTTGATGCTTGCCAATATTTGCCTTCCCGCCGCACTGTTATGCGACCCATGCGTTCTCTGCCCGGACAGGAATCGGAAGCGCGCGCCTGCCTGCCACGCTTAATTCACCTTTCTTGCTTAGTGACACTTGTGGCTCCGATGAGATGCCCAGGGAGCGCACTGAACGCGAAGCCTCCAGACATCTCAAGGTGGGGGAAGCTCGGGGGAAAGACAGCACGTCAAAGATGTTTTTAGCATGTCTGCGAGTCTCAGCCTCGAACGTGGTATCTGCTTCAAGAGCATGGCTATGATAGGAACACCACTTACCCAGCATGAGAAGGCAAAATGAGAGCTGAAGTTTCCTTTCTACTGCTAGCAATAAATCAAGGCCCAGCAGCAAATTCACACCAGCTCCTGTGATAGGAGTTGCGAGATGCAGCGAGGCCCGAGCCCAACGAGGCATTCCGCATGATTTCTTGAACTTGTGATTGATGGCGAGAGCTCCATGATTCTTGCCCCATAAAATGATGCTGCTGCGATGCTCACTTCGGTCAGGCTCGAGGTGCTTCTACCTCGCTGCCTCCCGTGGCTCCTGGCTCAAGGCGAGAGTGGAGAGCGAGAGCCGAAGCCTGCTGAGAACAGAGGGCATCCTGAGGAGCTTTTTAACGAGAGTTCTGATAAGAGATGCCTCTCTGTTAGGAGAGAATGCGCGCTTGAAGAGAGGGGGGGCGTGTCTGGGGAGTGAACACGTTCCCCATGTTCTCACAGGTCTGCCGTGCATGCGGAGTTTGCTCTGGTTGGGGCCCTGAAGGCAAGGGGTTGGCACGCTGAGGGTTGGCGCGCTGCCGGTATTGCCCGGATTGCCTCGTATTGCCCAGTAATTATTGCGTAGCAGCAGTTCCCCCACATGAGAGGCCTTAGACCAGGAGTTGGGCAGCCAGCGCTTCGGGCTCCGCCAAAACCTGCGCGCCACTGGTCTGTGATCCGCAGAAAGTCTTGCACCAGGCTTGGCCTCTTAGCCACGCTGAGCCGGGCTTCTGAAGTTCCGGAAGTCTGCTCCATGTTGCCACTCTCCATGCTAATGCACCCTGTGAGATTCCTCTCACGTGTACATCGTGTACATCGTGTACATACATTGCTTCTGGCTCAACATGGGCCAACCATGGCTCCAGGCCCTTCTCTGGAAGTCCTCTGCGTCCTCTGCCATTCCCAGGAAGCTTGGAATCTTGAGCGGCTTGGGAAAAATATGGACACGGGGTGCGAAGAAACGGGACCGCATGGTCATGTGCAGATCCGTGCTTATGTCCCTTGCGATGCCCCCCCCCCCGCCCTACCGCAGTGACATCCCCACCGGTGATGCAGACCCCGAAATCCGAAATCCCATGTCCCAAGACGTGAAAGCTTGTCGTTGCGGAGACAGACGCTGTTCCGTTCAGGGGTCAGTTTGAAGCTCTGAGGCAACAAGCTCCATGTCCTCGGTTTCAGGTCTCCAGTGCTGATATACATGAGGCAACATGAAGACAACTTTCAGCAGCAATCTGACTACAGGGGGATGAAAGGGGTCACCCCTCCACTAAAAGCACAAGAGCCAGTTGCGGCTTGTGTCGGAAGGTGCCAAGCGCTCCAGGGCATCAGCGATGCTTAGCGATGTGTAGTGCATGGCTCCCATGTGCTTGCAGAGATCTGGATGCGGCTCTTGGCCTGGCGGCTGCTCTTGCAGCTCTTACAGAGCCTGCGTTGTGTAGATGGGAGCGACCAGTGCCCGGGATCACAGGGGACTGAGGGGCTGGTGCTCTGCAGGGATCTCTCAGAGTCCCGGGTGCCGTTGGTGCCACTGGCACCGGAGCTGAGATTTCGCCAAGGCGAGAGCCCTCGCGATCTCCGTGAAGTGCTGTGGCCCAGGCCCCGCACGGTGGCCTTGCGGCATCAGGGACATGACGTGAACCCGGGCCCAACTCGCCACATCCAGCCTCTTCGAGTCGACCCGTGCAATCTGGCATTCAACTTGAGCGTGCCAGCAGGAGCGCAACGTTTCAGCCTGATGTTTTTCTTTTGAGTCCCTAAGCCCGGTTTCCCACATGCAGATGTACATTCTTTACATGGTTTACAATACCTGGTGGGGGCACTGCTATATTATCTGGTCAGAAGGTAGGTCTATACGAGTTTCTTGCCATGTCAAGTGCTTGACGAAGGAGACATGGCCGCGGTGCTATGGTCCTTGGAGCACTTCTGTTGGAGGCTCTGTGCCCCACGTCGTGACGAGGAGACTGCCACTTGCATTTCGAGCTGTTCCTCGGCGCCCTTATGGCCTTTGGCCTATAGGGAACCGGGTCCTTGCCCTCCGCCTCCCCACCTCCCGAGGATTCCAAGGATGACAGCTGCCAGTGGGACGATGGTACCAGTCGGGTGGAGATCGAGATCCAAACAGGCCCCCGCTTTCTGCAGCTCCTAAAGCCCTGCACCCCAGACACTCGCGCCCTCAACCCCTTTTGAGTTTTTTTCCAGCCTCCCAGGGACGAAGCCTGGTTCGATCTCACCGAGTTTGCACATGGAGGAGGAGTATCAGCTCGAAGTGGCTGGCGCACCTGGCGCCGCTGTCGCCGCCCTCGCCAAGCTGTCCAGCGCAGCGATCCACGGATTCCACCGCGGCCTGGAGACCCTGCTGCAGGTCGTCGATGCCCTCGGCCTCCAGAAGGAGGGAACTGAGGAGGGAGCCGGGGAGGGAGCTGAGGAGGGTGCGTGGGCCTGGGCCCCGGGCCACTTCCCCAATGGAAGTTTGGACCTCTGGATCGAGGATGCTCCCAAGTTTGCATGGAGGGGACTGCTGTTGGACACTGCGCGACACTTTGTGCCACTCCAGGCCAGTGCGACCAAGAGTTTCAGGGTTGAGGTTGCAGGCTTTGTTTTTCTGAAGCCCGATTCTGGTGCTTTGATGGCTGGAGCTGTGCCGCCTCCAGAGGTGATGGAATCCTTGCTGTTTACGATGGCCACCGCCTCACTGACCTGACTGCACCATTGTACCCGACCTTACCGCACCTGCCTTAGGCAGCCAACAAGCTCAACGTTCTCCACTGGCACATAACAGACGCCTTGTGCCTAATCTGCAAACCAAGCTGAGCACCACTGGAGAAGTCTAGTGGCCTGAGGCCATGAGCTTTCCTTTGCAGCTGAAGTCCTTGCCATTGCTCGCAGAATTGGGTTCTTTCGGAGCCAACAAGACGTATTCAGAGGCCTTGGCCTCAGAGCGGATCCACAAAATCAGGCCAGAGCACAACACAGAGCAGCAAACCGAACACATGCAGTGCAAAGTTTCAAGCATGTGGCATGCTGGTTTAGGGTGGCATGCGTGCCTCCACATGCGGCTGCTGCTCACAATTGGCAAAGGCAGCTGTGAAGCACATCGTGGCTCTGGCCAACAACTTTTCCATCCGAGTTGTTCCAGAGTCTGGGCCCTTAGACTCGGGCTGGCGCTCGCCTGGCTCTTTTCGCTGTCGGAGCATCCGAGGCTGGACATGCCCGCGCACACAGCCAGGCCCTTGTTTTTGCGTTTTCCTGTTGCGAATCAGTCACACCACTCATACCTTTACTGGGGAGAAACGTGCTGGAACACGAGAATGTGGTGAGCAAGTCACGCCTCAACGCTCTTGGGCATATCGTTACCAGGCAAGAACAGGCTTGAACACGAAAACGTGAACAAGTCACATACTTTTTGCTTTTTGCTTGTGACAGAGTCCAGAGAAGGATGCGATAACTTTGGTTCTCAAACAACGACTCTGGCTCAGCTGGCAGATTTCCTCCACGGTTTCCCATGTTCACACAATGCTTCTCCGAAGTCACGGCAGCGGCTACAAAGAACAGGGTGTTCAACAGGTGAAGCAAGAAACCGCCAGTCCAACAGCGAGAAATAGTTTAGTGATCTAAGTTTGCTGGGTCACATGTTTGAAGCCTGACCCTCACGTTTAAAAAATTGCTCAGTGCCTCTCACCGCGGCCATCTGCGTAGTGTTTCCTGATCTGACGAGCAAGATCGAGAGGAACGTGAAATAACAATGTCCATAGTTGTACACGACTGCGACTCTCAAATGTGGCTTGCTTGACTCACCTTCGGCTTGGGCGTGAAACAAAGACATTTTTCTGCAAAGCTGGGAATCTTGCGAACAGAGCTCGGCCACAGAGATCCCGGCAGATGCCTATCAGCAGATATGCATGATAATTGCAATGGTATGACTTTGGTGCTGACATTACAAACGACGGCGGCCTACCCATGCCAGGCCGCTGTTTATTTCCATTATCTCCTAAGATTAGAACTAGATGCGACCGACCATCGAGAAGGTCAGAGCAGCAGCTGTGAAGATTTGGATTGTTTAAGGTGAAGGTGCTGCGTTGATGCGGGGTGCGGGATGAAATCAAAGAGTACAGTAAGTGCTGGCAGGACTCGCAGGGGCAACATTGAAAGCACAGCCGGGCTCAGGCGAATTTTATCGCTAACGCGAGGCCGCTTCGGCAAGGGTACCGAGGCGGCAGGAAGGGGTAGTGGGGGTGAGGGAAGGCGGCATGCCCGTCGCGCAACAAGCGGGGTTTGGGGGGGGGGGGGGGGGGGGGGGGGGGGGGGGGGGGGGGGGGGGGGGGGGGAAGGGTGGGCAGGCGAAAATGCTGATTCTCGCATCCAAATCCCCCTGGTCCGGGCACGTCGGCCGCGGCTGGATACACGTCGACTAAGGGGGGTAGTGGTTCCTCTAAACGCCTCAGGCCTCCGGCCTGGGCGGATTACTGGCTGAGCAGGATGAGCATTCAGAATGAGACTATGGGTGACCGTGCATCCCTTGCTGCCAGTTGGATCTTTGGCGAGCCGGAGGCAGTCTCTAACTGCACCCACGTGGTCATCTCAGATGTTGCTGGCGATGTTGTTGGCCCCTTTGGCACGGAGTTGCAAGTTCGCAGCCCTGGGCCCTGTTCCGGGACTGTGCTCACCAGAGGTCCTACCAGAGGACCCGAACGATGCCAAGAACCCATTCAAAGCGAGGGACAAGCTGGCTTTGGACATTTCTTCCAAACGGACCAAGCAGGCCCAGCTGACTTGCCATGCTTGTCTTCGTTTGCCCCGGTTTGGCCTTGGCCAGTGAGCTGCTGAGGTTGTGTCTGCAATTCTCGAAGAGGTTGCAGGCAGCGACACTACGGGTTGGGGTTTGCCAGCTTTGCTCTCTGCTCTCTCTGTCGGCACCGATGCAAGCAAGCATGGTTGTTTTTCTGCCAGCAGCCATTTTGTTTTGAAAGCTTGAGATTTGTGCTGATTGTGCTGATGCCTTTTTTTGGGGACCGACCAACACTCGACATGGAAGCTCACGTTCCCAAGGAGGTGGCGGGGATGCCTCAGCGACCTCAGGAGCCCATGCCTACGAATCTCTCCCAGCCGGGGGCCGGGGGACACACAAATGGTGGGTGAGCTATGCAAGCCATGCACGGAGCCGCTTCGCCCATGGCAGTTCTGGCCCTCTATCAACAGACTATGCAGACCAACACGATTGACAAGCAGTCAAGCGTCATCCGCCAGCAGATGGACACGATCGAGCACCTTCGTGCATGGCCTCCCTGCATAGCTCACCCACCATCTGTGTTTCCCCCGGCTGAGGGAGAGATTCGTAGGCATGGGCTCCTGAGGTCGCTGAGGCATCCCCATCCCCGCCCCTTGGGAAAGTGAGCTTCCATGTCGAGTGTTGGTCGGTCCCAGGACAAGGACATCAGCGCAATCAGCACAAATAGGCAGAGGAAGGAGAGAAGGAAGCCGGCACAGAGGAGGACAACTAAGGCAGCTACCTCCCACCCGCTGTATAGTCAGCGGCACTGGGGCTGTCGTCACCACTGGTTGCGCAAGGCAGAGAGAAATGGAGAGCGCGTGTGGGGGTTTGCCAGCTTTGCCCTGCCAACAGCTACCCAGATGTTGCAGATATATATATATATATATATATATATATATATACATATACATATATTGCTGTGTGTCTGCAATTCTCGCAGGGCTTTTTCCGGACGAGTTCCTGCATGTGGGAGGTGACGAGGTGCGTGAAACAATGGGCACCTGGGAGAGGTGGGCTGCACCATTGTGCAGGTGGACTACCGGTGTTGGACGACCATGCCGCACATCAAGGCATGGATGAAAAAGCAAGGCCGGGAGACCCTCCCCGCTCGCCACGGGCGCACCACTGCGTTTAACAAGCACGCTGTTGCATTCTCGTTGCATTCTCGTTGCATTCTCGTTGCTCTTCGTTGCTCTTCGTTGCTCTTCGTTGCTCTTGCCCTCCCTCCCTCCCTCCCTGCTCTGCTCTGCGCGCCTCAGGATTTGGGCCATCCCAGGCCCTGCAATACTTCTTTGACCACGTCTTCAAGGAGGCCCCTGGCAGAGTGCATTGTTTGCGTGATTTCAGAGAATCTGGGCAGAACTGGCCAGGTGCAAAGGCTGGGCAAGCGCCCTTTGGTTTGGCAAGACTCGTTTGACCAGGTTTGGGTTTTTGTAGCCCCATGATTTTTGCTGGGCAGCCACGCGCCTGTTGCAGGGTCTCAAGCTGCCGAAGGAGGCCCAGCTTCGTCGCTCTGCCCACTGGATTGCTTGGATCTTGGCCGGAATCTTGCTTTTTCGGATGTGCGGTGCAGGCAGTTGTGCAGCACTGGAAGTCGCGCTGCCGCGCTTGGTCTGGCGAAGAGTTTTAGACTCAAACGCAGATGCATCTAGGTGCTGGGGCAGCGTGGGCCCAGGGATTCGATGGTGGCCTCAGGTGAGGATCCCAGAACCCCACAATCCCGTGTCGCGCAATGAATGACGCTCCTTATGTGGGGAGGCCGAGCCCGCAGCGCAGCTTGGCCACGCCTCGGCTTATGCGGCCACCGAGATGGGGCTCTCCGTTGTGCAGAGCAGCTGTTGGTATCTCGACTGGGACTCCCAGCGCCTTGGCCGCGCATGTCTGGACCCCCTCATGCTCACCACTGAGTCACTGTCAGAACGAGAAAGATCAAACAAGGTGGACAGACTTCTATGGCCATGCAGCCGAAGAAGGCCCTTTGGCCTCAAGACCCCGGAATCAGTCCGAGCCTCAGCGCGATGATGTCACAAAGCCTTGGGGTCCAAACAACGTACTTCCTTCAGTGCAACCTCCAGCGACGGTGTCCAGGAGAAAGAACAATGACAACTTGCTTGATTTGAACAAAAGCTCTGAATATTTCAGGTTGCTTGGCGGTGAAGTTGCCCTGTGGACGGAGCGGATCGACTTCACCAACCTGGCCTGCCGGACTTGGCCTCGTGCTGCGGCCGTCGCGGATACTTGGATTTTGGCACATGGGGGGGAGCACTTCGGGAGCTTGGAGGGAAGGATCTAGCTGCGATCTCTCCTCACACCCTGAATCGACCTCAAGCCAGTGGATGAGTGAACCCACTCAAGGAGCCGACATCATCCATGCGTTGCATGCGCACAGTTTAGTTCAGCCAACATGGAACCCTTCCTCAGCGCATCCATCTTCCATCCCTGCTGATTGCTGCACTGATCCGGCATGACGGCTTTCAGCAGAGCAGACCCTATCTCAGCGACCTCTAGAGTTTCAGGAGCGTCTCTGGTCCCAGATGCCGCTGGAGGTCCACAGTCGGGAGGTGGACCAGGTGGCCCTCAAGGACTTGAAAAGATGGAGAGAATGTACCAAAAACACGGGAAATTTGGCACACTCGCAGGGTCTGGCAGGGTGTCGGGTGTGAAGGGGACTTCCGCTGTTCGCGAGTTGTCTCATCCGAATGCTCTTTCAAAGAGGTGGAGCAGCGTCTAGCCGCCCATAGCAGCCGTCTTCTTCGGCTGCACCGGGTGGCCTTGAGGTTGCGCTTCACAGTCTGTGCCATGTTACGATCTGTCAGTGGGTCATGCGTTGCAAGTTGGGGTGGCTTGGGAAGTGCAGGCCTCTCACAACGTCCCGCGACGAATGGTTCCAGGCCACGTTCGCTCCCGCCGAGATGTTGAAGCTGTGTAGAAGGCGGTGCATGGCGCGAAGGTGCCTGAGAACCTACGCGATGTGGATGGGACATGCCCTCTCCTAGTCAACCAGGCCTCAGGGAGATTGCAAGATGCTACGAGGCTTTCATGCCATTCGTTGCCACCAATGAGGCAATCCAAAGAGATGCCCAGGAGTGGCATGATGCCCGCGCTTCAGTCACGATCAGAGTTCCTTCTGGCAACTTTGTGTCTGTTGTCTGAGTTGTCTGTTGCGATGCTGTGCCGTGTGGAGGTGATCGACAGAGGATTCACTGTTCCAGCTCAATTTCGCAGAAGTGATGAGCATCGGGAACAAAAACTCTGCAAGCCACGGAGCTTGAGTTTCTTGCAGTCCTTGTAGTTGCATGCTTCCACTGTTCCCAGAGCGGATGGAGATGTGCGGCTCGACATGACATGCAACGGGGCACCTCCGGCAATCTGTCCTATCAAGTCCTTCGAGGTGGGTGGGTTTTCTGGGGCGGGCCTCTCATGGGCCGGCTACGTTTGGACAGCCGGTGCCTCCAGACCTTCGCGCGGCTTGTTCCCCACCTCGCTCCCCCCACTCCCCTACTCTCCAGCTGACCTCTACCAAGCCCTAAGGTCAATGTGAGACGAACACGACAAGCGGTGCCAGTGGGCTTTGTTTGGACCAAGCTGGACTTGCGGCGAAGCTTCCTGGCCTTTACGTATCTGGTGTTTTTTGCAGGTGAGGTACAACTGTACAACTAGTCGTGGTACCAACATGCTCTTGTAGTGGCAGAGGCTGGAGTCCTGGCGCTATGATCCTGATCTTTGTCTGATATGGGCAGCCAGAGTCCTGGCGCCATACTTCCATGATCCTGCTTTTTTTGATGTGGGCAGATTTCAAGGCCTTCTGCACAACCTCACCCCTTACGCTTGCCGATGGCATTTGCTTGGCCAAGACCCGAAGGCCAGCGGCAATGGTGCATGCGTGCCCTCGTGTGTGATCATGTCGTGGAATGATGGCATGGAGTGTGGCAGGTCCGCGACGGAGGCCTTGAAGCTGCTGGCTGGCATGGAGACTCAGACAGACCAGAGTCTATATACTGTAGAGCAATATTAATAAGCGCCGATCCGCCCTGCGCTTGGAGTCTGACATGCTCAATGTTCAGGACAAGCAAGAGCTTAATTCCTACCTGTCCTACCCTCAACCTAAGAAGCCTTAGCCACCTCAACCTAAACTCGGTCAAGTTTTACAAGTTAGGCGAGGGTTTATGGGCAAAGGTAGTGTGCCCGAGCTCGCCTTCCAAGCTTTGACTGACCGACGGAAGCAGCTCCCTATGTTCTTCATCAAGTACTCCTCCCAGTCCTCCTGACTTCAAGGAGGAGTGGCAGTGACGCCCGCAAAGGCAAGCGGTCAGCATCGTCGTCCAAGAAGGGACTGTCAAGAAGAAGCCCACGGCTCGCCTTTCAGCGCAAACAACAGCACTCCACATCTCCTGTGCGCACGTCAAGCTGTTGGGCAACTTTCATCTTCCTGCTTGGAGAGGACCCAACGCTCCCCGACTTCGCCTCGAGAGCCTAAAACATAGATCCGAAACCCTCCCCGCCTTCGCGCCGAAAGCCTCGACTCTACATCAGAAACCCCAGGCTTCCCGAATTCGCCGAACCCCAAGCTCCCCGACTTCGTCCCGAAACCGACTACTCCCTGACTTCGTCCGAGAGCCTAAGCCCTACTCCCGAAACCCCAAGCTCTCCCGACTTGGCCCCGAACACCCATTGCTCTCCAATTCAGCGCCGAGGCATGGAGAGCGGCAAGGATCACGTGGACAATGGGCGCCCTGCGCCTGAGGCCAGCCACGTGCCAGCTGTCTGACCGCAGTTCGCGGCTCTTCCCCTTGCAAGCACTGCCTGCTGGAGTTTGCGAGTCTGAAGGTCTGCGTGGCAGACGCGGATACCTTGCATGCAGACGAGACGCTGTCCTGTCAGCATCCGATGCTCAAAGTAGCCGGGGCCTTCTTCTTCTTCTTCTTCTTCTTCTTCTTGTTTTGCTTCTTGTCGGTGGTGGCGGTGACAGTGATAGGGGTAGTGGTGGTGGTTGGAGGTGGTGGTGGTGGTTGGAGGTGGTGGTGGTGGTTGGAGGTGGTGGTGGTGGTGGTGGTGGTGGTGGTGGTGGTGGTGGTAGTGGTCGTCGTGGTGGTGGTGGTGGTGGTGCTGCTGCTGCTGCCGCTGCCGCTGCCGCTGCCGCTGCCGCTGCCGCTGCCGCTGCCGCTGCTGCTGCTGCTGGCTGCCGCCGCCGCCGCTGTCGTCGTCACCCATGTTCCCTGGACATGTTTGACAAAGCCTAACTAAGGCCTCCAACGTGCAGCAGCAGGAGGTTTCCACTCTCCCTTTTGATTCTTGGAGTGGCCACGCTGAAAATGTCGCCGGCCCAATCGCTTTCAGAGGAGGCTGCGCATGTCGGGCTTGGTTGCAGTGCTGAAGGTTTCATTGAAGCCCTGGCAATCCAGTGGGTTTAGCTTGATTGCGCGTGCGGAGCTCAGTTACATGGTTTACCTTGCTGTTGCTCTGCGGACTCTGTTGCCTTCCACTGTAGAAATAGGTGCTGCCGCAGCACGTTGCAGAACGTGTCAAAATTTGGATTCCAATTGGACAGTCAAAAGGATTTGTATTGCATGCTTCATTATGCTCCAATCGTCGTAACTCACTGCCTAAAGGAGCTCTCAGGGTCACTTTCCAATAGCGTCCTTCTTTGAATAATTGAATCTAAGTCCAGAGCAGCTTCACTATTGTTCTAGTGTGCTTTCCCTTTTCATCTTAACGCCTTGCTTACGGTGTGTACATCTATTAAGAGAACCGGGTTTTACTACGGAAAAATGTGGGAACACAACTCCGCAAGAGACTCTTCTTTACCTTCCCGTAGAGACTACGTTTTGCTCGTGCACGTTTCCTTTAGATTGCAAGTTCACACGCGACATTCAACAACTGTGAGCGTCGTGTGAGCCCTGCGAGGTTTGGCGAAATCAGTCCACAGCGAGGCGGGAACTACGCAGTCATCGTGGTCTTGTTTCGATGGAGCGACGGTGCTGCCGTGCCCGAAAGGTCCATTACTGTCAGGACAACGCTGGAATCACCGGCGTTGCGAAGGCGGCTGCTGTGAGAACGGTGTGGGGACCGCAACACATGCGGCGTTGGCAGGTGGTGTCGAAGAACATCGCGAAAAAGAAGGTGTTTAACCTGTTTCCTTCCTAGCAAAGCCGTGTTCATGTCCTGTCCTGTCCGTAATCTCGTGTGCACGGCCACCAGGACAACAGCGAAGAGTCTGTGTGGCCGAATGCCCTGAGGGCTTGGGGGGCCTTGAAGGGCTTTGAAGCTTCGCATCCTTGGACTCGTTGGACTATCCTGGACCAAGGTTGAGTCCAAGTGGCGGTGACATTCAGTCGTTTGAAGACATCCGAAGTGAAATCGCCGTCGCCGGCTTGGCAAATGTTTGTGTCCATGAACACTTGTCAGATGTGAGTTGTGAGTTGCGCAGAGTTTCTTGCATCGCCAGTCCGACGTGGTGCAGGTGTTAACATTCCTCAGCAACTGCGCGTATTGCCCACGCATCATTGACATCTTGGGATCCTTCGAGGACGAGCTCGTTGCACTTCACTGCAAAACTCCGGTGGTGGAATCCCTGATCTGGTCTGTGCTCCTAAAGTTGCTTTTTGCAGGACGCATTGTGTATCTACCTTGTCACCGGCTATTGTGAGGAAGGCGAGGGCAAAATCGGGCAGAACTGCTGCGGCGTTGCGCATGCCTGGCAGGCGACCTCTTTGAGCGAGTGGCCTACGGAGATCCTCTGGCCGAAGCAGAAAAGAAGCGCTATGTAAGCGAGCTCCTTCAAGGGGCGCCTTGCCTCAGATCCGCACTGACACTGACCGATTCGGAACGTTATACTGGATGTGCGCATCACGGGAGGTGCGCCACCTCCATCAGCACAACATCGGCTGCTTAGCTGACCTTGGCGAGAGGGGCATGAGAGGACCGAGAGGGGTGGCGCTCACATGTTTTCACCTTGTGTTTGCAAGGGCACCGTGACATATCTCTTGAGAATGCCAGCTGCCAAGATGCCGCAGTAAAAGAATGGACCGTGGCGGATCCGGTGGATCACTTGTTTCGAGGTGCTGCTCAGGAAGGGAAGTTGCGTGTTGAGCGACTTCGGTCAGGCAGGTCGACGGCAGCGAAGTGAGGCACTAGCGCTCCGAGTTCATCTGCTTGTTGAGGCTGTGCAGCTGAAAGCACGGGACGGAACCGTTCTTCGGTGACCCTGAGCATGAAACGCCTGAAACGCCGAGCCTCTCCCTGTCCATCGAACCCAAAATGCGGCGAGAAGTTCTGCTTGTGAGGTATTTCGTGGAAGCTGGAAAGAGCATGTACCGCTCGCCGGAGATGTACGTGCCGCGGGCAAGCCACGTGCAGGCCAGGGCATCCTTGGAGCCGTGTGGTTAAGAACGGTCAAGCTCAGATTGCACTGAAGAGATCTGAAGAGGGAAGCCTTGTGTGGATAAACTTGCAGGGGACACGTTGCACGACCTTGCATGCATCGTGGCCTTTCGTGGCTCCAAGGTGGTGTGCCCGGCTGATGGAAGGCCTGGATCGCGGTCCCTGGTGCGCCACACAGACTTGTCGACTCTTCTCTGGGTGTCAAAGGGGGTTTTTTTGCGGGCATATTCGGGGTACCCCTTTGGTTTGGAAATGCCCATTTTCATTCCGGAATCCAAATATCAAGGCTCTTGACATTTCAGACTAACAAAATAAGGTTTTGTTTTGCATTTTGGCATTTTCATGCATTGGAGTACTAAGGTTTCGGGCATATAGACAGATGCATTGTCATATTTGGTTGCCACAACCACCGTCTACCGCTACGTGGTTTCGCCGCAAAAGGTCTCCCACGCAACTGCGAGATGTGAAGTTCTGTTGCCTGCCGATGCCGTGCCTGGACAGCCAGAGGCTTACTCATGGAATGCCCAGCATGCCCTGGAGATTTCGCGCGAGACTACTTTCTGAGCTTGAGCGGCTCTGGTTTCAGCAACTGAGGCCTTGCAATGCAACTCCATTCGGACCGGCCCTTATTGTGTCGCATATTGCGTGTGGCGGGCTAGTGGGTTGTGGCTTTTAAACCCTCTCGGGTGTAGCTTTGAAATTGATTCGAAAAAGCAGTTGTTCCAGCTGCCATAGCAAATGATGTTCGATCATTCTCTGCGATGGCTCTTGCGAAAATAGTGGGAAGTCAGACTCTTCAGGTTACGCTGCAGCACCTGCAGACATCTTTGCCTGCGGCGTTTGTGCCTTCGTCCTGGCAGTCGGCAAGGCGGGCGTGGTTGAGCCTTGACAACACAGCGAAGTAAAGTAAGCAGACTCAGCTGGCACCAGCAAAAGCTGTGCTTAGGAACTACACAGCCCATCTGTTTAACACTTGCAAACCATAATCAGGTTACCAAATTGAGGACGACTGTTCGGGTTACTTGGAGGTGTGTTTAGGGTCTCGAGAGAAAATGGGGATCCCGTGCTATCAATTCTGTTTTTGACGGATGATGCATAATTGTCACGACTTTGATGTTAACGGTACTGACGAAATTCCTGCTCCACACAACGTGAGTGCAATATTGGCTGCAACGATTTCAGTTGACATCAATCACCTGTCTTTGCAATACAGTACATGTCGGGGCTACACCATGTTGTCCGCAGTTGTATACAAGCTAAGTACTTTAAGCACCCAACTATGAAACCCAGAACCCCACGTGATGGAAATCACAGACCCACGAACTTGTGTCACGGGGCCTTGGCCCCAAGGCAGGAATTCCAAGCCCAGCTCCTTCGGCCCCGAGCCGGCCCGAGACGTAATCGCCGCCCCTCATCACAATCCTCAGAGCACCTCCACACATCCCTCATCCCCGATGTTGCGGTCAGAAAGTGTTTCCTGCCGCGACGTGTTTCGTGGGAACCCAGACCATATACTTGTAAGGGCTGGCCAAGTAGGGTGCTACTAGTAGATCCGAAGCGGGCTTAACACGCTGGGGATCAATCAGATCAGTGCCTTTATAGCAAGTCAAGCATCGCTCAAGTCGCTCCTTGCGCAGCCACCGTGGACAACAGCGCTTGACTCGGATCCCTCCTTCTCTTTCATTCGTCGACATGGTGCTTGGGCCTTAGCCTATGAGGCCGCTTGCAAAGCCGAAGAAAAGCGAATTTTTACAGTGAGATGTCACGGATCAGGTGGCCAACTTGCTCCAGCAATGGAAAGGTGGGGCGCGCGGCCCTCCAAGCAAGACTGAGGAGGCTGGAGATGACAGACAGGTGACTCAGGTGACAGGCATCGGACTGAGCTATGCCATTTACTGCAGGTCACACTGTTAGCAGATATGCTCCGCGTGGACCCCGTGCGACGAAGCACCTCTGACGAGGCCAAATGCTTGCAAGCCACCTCAAAGTCCTGGAACGGCTTTCTTCTTCATTTGCGTGTTGCACTCGTCTGTCACTTCTTGCCACTTGCACGTTGCTTCTCCTGTGCTTTGCGCTTCTCTGCTGCCCTTCCAGTGTTTGCGGAACGCCTGGCTGGAAGCCGTGATTCGGAATCGCTCCAAGACAGCCTGAAAGATATTGCCGGGAGGCCCGGGTGTTCCAGAGATTCAAGGACGTACCTTCTCGCACAAGTAGATTCGGCCACGTGGCTGAGTTGAGGTGCTTCACTTGCAGCCGCGTCCGCCAATGGTGCTTCCAATCTAGGGCCTCCAGGGGCTACTCCTGTGGTGGCACAAATCTTCCTAGGTATATTGTACAGGCAGAATTATCCGAGTGCACTCCGGCCAAACTGAAGCATTTGACTGTGGATCCTGCCTGGTATAGTTCGGACAAAGGTTGGCACATGTTGGCACATTCACTTGTGAAGCGACCAGGCGTCCTCCGCAGGTCAGTGCAGCTTCTAGTCTTGCCGTTCAATCGTTTGAGGAAGAGTGCGAGACTCGGTTGCGATTTGAAGATGCATGTGTACAGAGAGGTGTGGAGTGAACTGGTTCAGCGTCAGATTTTAAAAGCTGTCGCCCGTGGGTGCCGCTATTTTTTTAGAAGCTACTAGACTACTAGAAGTCTACGTACTAGAAGTAGCTGCTCAAGTTCTGGTCATGTGCTACATGCCACATATTCCCACATTGTAATGTTCCATGTCCCACTCCTTGCAAAGCACAGTCCAAGAGACTAGTCTGACGTTTGCCTCTTTGCCTTTTCCGGCCTTGGGCTCTCAGGAGTTGTTTGTGAAACTTCCACATTTCGTGAATCTGATGATGCCTTCCCTGCTCATCGAACGCATAGAAGCCTGAACAAAGAAACAAGACGAGCCCTCTGCAATTCCTAGAAGTCTGTACTAGAAGATTCTCCGAATTTTCACGAGTGGGAAGCGCCAGCCGAAGACTTTGTCAGCTATCACTGGCCGTGTGCCACCATGCAGAGGTCCGTGAACAAATGATTCCCAGCTTGCTCAAAGCACGCTCGAAATGTGCTCAAAATTACGCACTGCCCTGAAGACTGATGCGCCAACCGCCAGGCCTTGCAGCTTCGTGGTCCTCTGCGCCGTGTGCGCGCTCGCTTGTGTGGAGGCCGCGTGGTGCGTTTGTCCAAATGTTCGTCCATGGTTCGTGAATTGTATTGAATGTATTGAATTGCTGAGTTCAGCGACTTGAGCAGGCTGTGCGACCGGAGAGGGAGTTTGCCAGATGGGGGGAGTCCCTGTGGCACTGGGGGCACCGCGACGGTGGGGCCCTGAACTGGGGAGATTTTTGTGATGGGTCAGCAATAGTGAAAAAAGGCTGCCTATTTGCTAATCTCCTGCCCTGTTCAGATGGCCTTGAGACGACGGCCAACTCCAAGGACTCCAAGATCCAGATAGGCAGCAAGGCAGCTGCTTCCATTTAATGTTCGTACTTCTTGACCGCGTGGAGATTCCCGTCGTCTCACTCTCGAGGCCTCGGATGGCCCGGAGCAAGTTGAGTCCACCGAGCCGCAGAACTCGGACATCTCCGAAGACTCAGACAGAACCGAAACCCAGGTGGAGAACGCGGGGACGATTGCGGAGAACTCGGAGACGGAGGACTCCGGTACAGAGAACTCGAGCCCACCCGCTGGTGCTGCTCTGCTCAGCTGGTAGATAGAGGAAGAGCGTTAGATGTGGCGCTGCCATGCGTTTCCAAAACGGAGTTGATATGACCTGATCTCAGTCTCAACTTGTGTCAACAGAGGCTTCTGGGAGCCCGCCGGAAGATCAAGGAAATCAAGGGTCCAGTACAAGCCATACGGAGCACGCGGAGCACACGGAGCACCAGGCACACGGTGTGAGTGCAACTCGCGCACTTGCGCAGTTTTAGTATGCCGAACATCTACCTTTTCTGGAAAGGCTGGAAAGGCTGACTTGCATGCGTCCTTTGAGGCAAGGCGTTGCTGTCCCATGGTGGCCCCTTGTGTCGCCTTGTGTGCTTCAAGGGTCGTCGGTATTGGGACATGCCTTCAGAGCCCATGTTCAGGAGCTGTCCAAGTCGCACAACAAGATGGACACCGTCATGAAGCAGTACAAGACAGTTGCCGACAAGGTAGATGACTTACGAAGAATTGCGAGGGTAAGTCGTGTGGCTGGGGACATGGTGAGTCTTGCGAGCGACTGTTCTGTGATCCGGACTCGTGACATCATGCCTTGCCAAGGGAGAGCAGCGAGCCGCTAAATTCGTCGACTCGATGGGCCCCATGCTCAGGATTTACTTTCAAAGCTAGGCGGTTCCGAGATGTTCTGAGGTTCTGAGGGCTTGGCATACGTTTGGCATCTCACAACCTCTCAAGCAGGCTCCTACCAGACATCGCTTACAAGTTTGCGCGAGCCACTGCGGCAAATCTCCTCTCAGGCCCTCACCATCTCGCAATGTTTCACTTGTACTACTTGGCTCCCACGCTCTGCATGGTGAGTGTGGTTCAGGTCACCGAGCTTCAAACAAAGCTTGTCAGCAAGCTGGAGGCCGTCCTGCAGCTGGCGTTGGTTTTGCTTGGCGGGATGTTTTGGCAATCGCAGGCTGATGAGAAGGAGCGCATGGCACCGCTGAATAGCGCTGCCCCCAGACCTGGGCCAGGAGGACAGCGGACAATGAGGCGAATCGACGATGTAGAAGTCGCGACTGCGAGTCCGACGGCGCTGAGGCAGAAGACACGTATGGACACACTCCGCCTCCGACTTGCGTAACGAGACCGGTAGAAGTGCGAAAGTTTATCGAACGGGCACAAGCGATGAGGCAGCCAGGAATCAACGAGAGGAAATGCCATGGCTCCGATGGCAATGGAAGCGAAACGGGCAAACGGGCAAACGTTACAACATGAGTTACAGAGCCTCAGCCAGCTGCGCTTCCAGCGAGGTCTGCAGGATGAGTTGGAGCCATCCAGCAATGCGTCGCACTCAGCTTCAGGTCACCATGTCCAATACACTGAGTCTGTGAGCCCGCGAGCTGCCGCAAAAGAATCCTGTTTTTGCAGGCCTCAGGCGCAGCAGCAACATCCACGTGAAACCTCGCCTCATGGCGGGGCTTTTTGCTTGACACGGCAAAAGCAGACGAAAAGGGCGTTGGGAACGTCAGATGCGGTTCCGGCTGGATTTTGAAACAGCAACTCTGATCCTGTGCAACAAATGCAGTGCCTCTTGCTTTGGCCGGCTCAGAGAGGTTTCGATAGAAGGGATATGTCTCACAGCAATTTTTTCCTGCATGGCTTCCACTTGCGTGAGCCATGATGCGCTGACCGGATACACACCTGCCCACGACCTGGCCTTCTTGGAGGGCCAGCAGAGAACTCCAGCCATTCGTGGGCTGCTGTACAAGGATAGACATGAGAGGCAGGGCCATGCCTAGATACATGATATATGTACGTAGGCCCTCATGTTGGCATGTAGGCCATTGAAGCATATTTGAGCCATTGGAGCTTGTGATCATGTGCGATAGGCCGCAACGAGATGCTCACGTGAAATGGGATGAGCAGTGTATCGCAGAGCACGACAAGGCACACGGATTGCGACAGCAAACTTTCTGCTTATTGCTGCTTTTCCGGACTGCAGCATGCATTCCTGAGCTGGCAAGGAGCGTGGCACTCGCCAAAAGATCGACGAGCCCATGCCTTGAAACGCACAGCAACATGGCAATCCAGCATCAGTGCTGCAAACGCCCGGCCCAGGCCTGATACTCCTTTCGTGCGGAGCCCTCAAACTTCGGATAGTGAGGTCCCGCGGCTCAGTGTCTCCTTACACTTCAGATACAAAGCGCGGTCCAAGTCACGCTGCACCCTTGCTGTTCTTTTCTGAGGAAGACGCCTTTGTGCGGGGCTTTCCTTTGCCTTCGTTTATCTTGTACGATTCACTTAAGCTCTGAGAGTGTTCATAGATGTTCTCAAGTGTTTCTTTTCTATTTGCCTCTGAGGTGCCGGCAGCTTCCTCAAGACGGACAGCCGCTGGCGAGGCCGGCGTGGCCGGCCAGGCTGGCGAGGCTGAGGAGCCGGTGCCTGACGAGGCCTCCCTGCAGGGAAAGACGGAAAGAGTAGAAGAGAAGTACCCCATATTTGAGGAATCATGGGAGCCTTATCACTTACGTGGTTTCAAGAATTGAATACTCCTCAAGTTGGGTGTGTGTGTGTGTGGTCTCCTTAGCGCGAGGAAGACGACGAGACAAGGCGACCACCTGTTGAAGAAGGCATCCACGCATCCCAGCTGTCATCTTCGCCTCCTTTGGAAGGATCGCCACATCGCCAAAATCGATGGCGCCCCGACACGGACTCTGCTGTGGCATTTCGGGCAGGTCTGTACTGCATTGCCCTGCCAGGCCATGCTGGCAAATCGTCTCAGCAAGTGGGTTGAGAGCGGCGAGAGGTCATCTGCTGTGCATTCCCAAAAGCGACATGCGTGCAAACGTCGCAAGAAGCCTTTGTGAGCAAAAAACCTTCATGTGCCCTTTCAGATCCTTGAGTGGGAGGCGTGAGTCTCGGAGCAGCGGATCGGAAGGGGAGGCAGGGTGCATTCCCTTTTGCACAAAGCCTTAGAAGGGATTGCGGCTTTGACTTTCTGTACCGTCTGCACAGATGGTGGGCAAGACCTCTGAATCGAGCGAGGCGTCCAGGTGCCACCCGCACAGCCGGGGCTTGTGATGCAGCGGGCAGGGAGGGCAATGACTTTTGCGAGGCCTGAGACCAAAAGTGTCCCAAGCAAGATCCGCCTCCCGGAGGACACTCAGACTTGTGTAGCTGCGCAACACAAGACATGAAAGTTATGTGTCGGGCGCAGTATAGCGTGGCAGTAGCCAGCCGGTAGACTACTGTCTTTGTTCGAGGTGAAAGAGTGATGACATGTGATGTTTCTGCAAGCACCGTCTGTTTGCCAACAAGGTTACAAAAACCGTCATCGAGATATGCCTCAACAAGTTCTCCCGGTCTCTCCATGGCTCGCACGGCGTCACTCAAATGATCGCAGCTAAGGCCAAAGAGGCGATGAACAATCAGAAATGTCTGAACAATGATATGAAACAAGAAATCGCAAAATAGCAGCGGACTCACAAGCACAAACAAACGTAACAGCGACAACCATCACCACATACACGCACACATGCATAAACAGCTTTCCAGTATCCCAATTGTTCCGTTCCATTCCGAAGCACAGAACCGCAAACCCCAAAGTGGACAACGTCCAGAAGGCTCCAAAGAGAAGACAAAGCACAAGAGAATGAGCTTCGCACATGCCGTGGTGTGCAGCTTGGTGGACTGGCTCACGGGCGCTTCAGTTCCGAGAAGATTGTTCGAATTCCCGACCTGCTCGGTGGCAGCTCTAAGCTTTCCGATTGGTGAAAGCTCAGCGCCTTTGGTCCCTAGGGGCTCGTGGCCTACACAGAGCGGGCTGTCTTTTTGTGTGTAGCATCGAAATTGGTCTGACTGAAGTCCCGTGCAGCGAAGCATGTTTCGTCCCAGCGCGCCTCAGTGGCTTCGGCAGGAGCAAGGTCACCAGAAAGCCTCGTCATCTGAATTCAAGGCAATCACACGACATGATTGAAGCTACTGTGACGAGTCAGGATGTCATGCTGAATGTTGACCAAGGCAAGACGAGCAAAGCACTACAATGAGTTCGCGGCAATGAAGGTCTGAAATTTGGCAGAGAATGAGAGCCTGTTGCTTTCGCCAGTTCTCTCCAGCATAAGAGCTGCACGCCACATTGCACACACAATTTGCAGAGGCTTTCCGAAAGAAGAAGACTGACAGCGACAGCAGTGCCGAGTCTGACACCTCAGACGAGGAACAGCTATTCAGGGCAGAGTTGAATTTCAGTCTTGCGCTCGAACCGCGAGAGGGCGAGAGCTGTTGACTGCAGAGGACGCTGCCGCTGCCAAAAGGGAAAGGAAAGCCCGGAAGCAGGTCGCACATCATCGGAAGCTTTCGGTGCACATCAACGAGTTGTGGCAATTGTAGCATGTTGCAGCGCTTCGATGATGCTTGAAGCAGGCGCTAGCTACGGAGGGCGGTCAGGGCGCTCAGCTATGTGGCATCCCTTGGAACAAGCGTTTTGGCATGGACTGCATGTTACCGATAACTACTTGAACCATTCAAAGGTGTACAACTAGAAATTAAGTTCTGTGCTGAATCACAAACTCGTCATGGGCACTGCAGCTTGATGGTCCGATCTGATGTCCATCCAGGTGAAAAGGGCAAAGCAGATGGCATCACTTCCAGAGCAGGTATGCGCGAAGGCGACCCACAGGACTCCAAGCTCGCTTCCTTGCGCTGCGTGGGATCTCGTATGTCATGAATATTCACGAATGATATTGAATTATTGAATGATGTCGCAGGAGTCGTCCGGTGTGCCTGGTGAGGATATCGAGGTGGGCCATGACGAAGCCCTCTTGCTGACTTGCAAGCTGCATCCGCACGTGAGGCATCTTGCTCGTCCGGATCCCGAGGAATCAAGTGGATCAGTTCAGCGCAGTGCCTGTGCAGCCTAGCCTTGGATCAACTTGCATCGCGTGTGGCACCTCCTCGTCACAATTGACTCCTTGTGGTCCCCCTGAACTCAGGCCCGGCAGAGCCCTTCCAAACCCCATGGAAGTCATGGCCTCACATGGCCTCACGTGGCCTCACGTGGCCTCACATGGCCTCACTTCACTTTGTCCTTGAGTGCTCAGTGCAGCCAGAAAAGACCACTGATGCCGTCAGGGTGGTCGCCCTCCAGTACAATTCGGAGAGGAGCCCTTTGAGAACCAGTCTCATCATGTCTTATTGTGGCGCTTGAACAAGTTGCGACTTCTTCTCTCTCTCTAGGCCCTAAACAACTGCTTGGCTGTATTCGGCTGTATATTGCATATATGCTAGGTCTGCAGGCAGAGGATCCTCTGGAGTTCTCTCGAGGACGCGGCCAAAGCCGAAGGCTCTTCGCTGCCGTCATCCGAGTTCCTGGCGCAGCGACGCGCGCACTATGACGAGGCGAGATTTGGGAACCGTGAGAAGCAACATTAAGGCTAATATGTCGGACTAGGTCGCTGTCAGATGTGCAGTTTCCGCCATTAAATAAAGAGTTCGGTGCGTTTTTTTGTTGAAGTCATCTCTCGAGCTCTGAGGGAGCCGCTCTCCGCTGTCGGACGCCTCCTTCCCAGGCGGGAGCTTCTCGGCACACCTTGCTCTCTTTGCCGATTCTCTCTTTGTCCAAAGTCTCTTCTGGAGCTGAGCTAATAAAGGACGGAGCCAGTCCTGGAGGTTCGAGCATCGGGCCCAGTCTACCTTGAGAATGTCAGACCCATGTGGTGCGCCTGCGCCTGCAGTCGAGGTGATCTAGTCAAGTCGGTGGCGAACTTCGCGAACCCCATGGACCCTACCGAGGCGTCCGGAGAAGCCGCCGTGAGCTTCAAGGCGCAAACACGAGGGGCAAAATCCGATGGCAGAGTGTGAGAGGGGAGTCAACGGTTTTTTACCACACATTCTTAGGTAGAATAACTGCTACTCTGCTTGCATCGGGTTCATCTTGCGGGAAGCCATGGCTCCGACGTTGCTGGCGCTGATCTACGCGGCCCAGGCAATCGCCGTGAGGTTAAGCAGGTGGCAGGCGGCCATGCGTACACATGTGTGCGAGGCTCGAATGGTTATGTCAAGTGCTGGGGCGCCAACAACAATGGTGGCCAGTTGGGCCTGGGCACCACAGACCACACGGGCGATGGAAGCAATGCAGTGGAGCACCACCTCCCTGCCGCGGCGTCGGGCATCGGACGCGCCGCAGTCGAAGTGGCTGCTGGTCACTTCCACAATATGGGCGATGGAAGCAATGAGATGCGTGACCAAGTGCTGGGTCACCGGGTCTACAACAGCAATGGCCAGTTAGGCCTGGGCACCACGGACAATATGGGCGATGGAAGCAATGAAATGGGGGTCCGCCTTCCTCCCGTTACACCATCGTGCCAACGACAACCACAACCACAACCGCGAGCAAAACAAGCACGAGCAGCACCACCAGCGCCACTGGCAGTACCACGACATCCAGTAGCACCCACAGCACAACGAGCACGAGCACCACAAGCACGAGCACCACAAGCACGAGCACCAGCGGCAGCACATCCCGAACCAGCTCCACCTCTACAACAGGCACCAGAAGTACGACCACGTCCAGTTATAGCAGCATATCAACTCTGACCTCCACGAAATCCACCCTGACAATCACCAGCAGCACCAGCAGCAGCAGCAGCACCAGCAGCACCAGCAGCACCAGCAGCACCAGCAGCACCAGCAGCACCAGCAGCACCAGCAGCACCAGCACCATGAACGTGAGCACCAGCACCAGCACCAGCACCAGCACCAGCACCAGCACCAGCACCAGCACCAGCACAACCACCACAAGTACGAGCACCTCTCTGCATCATCTGTCTATCAGCAGATGGATGTGTTGCTTGTGGTAGTGGGGTTGCAGGAGTTGCTTGAGTTCCCTTGCAGGTGGACAGCCTTGCTGGTGGTCATCAGGGAGGCACGCCGAGAGCATTTGCTCTTGATGCTCTACGAGTGCTCGACGACTCCACGGCTCAGTCCAGGTGGTGGCAATGATGCATGGAGGCTGTGCAGTGTACTGGTATGTGCTGGTATGTGCTGGTATGTGCTGGTATGAACTGCCGTTCCACCTCCTTCACCCCCCCCACGCTGGTGACCGTTGGTCCAGGTCGAAGCGCAACGCGCACTACCGCGACATGGCAGCAGCCTTCCGCTCAAAGCCCTCCGTCTCTGATGTCCACAGCTCGGAAGTTCTCGGTCGGAAGTCCTCAAAATTGGCTTGTGAATGCCTCGTAACAGGCACATCACCTTGTTTGCCGAGGCCAGTGACAGTGAGGGCAGTTCGTGACCTTGGTAAGCCTGCCGCCTCTCTTCCAGCCAAGCGTCTGGAAAGTTAGATGTACAGAGTTGTAGCAGCTGTTGCTGCCTCACAGTCCCCGGAGTCTGCAGACTGCGGATGTGCGCGGAATTGACTGTAACGGCGCTGCAGTTGCAAGAGTCAACACGAGAAGAATGTACAAGCTGCCAGCACAAGCGCAACACCCATTACTGTACCGAGTGAGCGGCGCCAAAGGCAGCGACTGAGCTGGAGGAAGCTTTGCGGATCCTGAAAGGACATCCAGCTTTTCAGGTCATTGCATCTCCCGGTCGTTCATCAAAACAATTACAGCCGATGTAATGTTTTTGTATATCGTTGGAAGGTCTGGTGCGTGGAGGTCTTTGATCAGCTCTCGGGCCATGCCCACACGGTTGTGACGGCCAACAGGCATGGCGATCGCGAATCACACCAAGCGTGTGGCGCTTGCCAGCAGAAGTAATGCAATAGGAATAGGAACAGCAAGCATAGAAGACAGAATCCAGAAGAAAAAGTCAACAACAGTACTTGTGTAGACACTCGTCTTACCATCTTCTCTCGAAAGCATCAGGGGGAGCTTCAGGAGAACACCAAACCCTTCAAGAGCGTGCGAGCGCCATTGAAGATCATTATGCATATTTCTATAATGTGTGTTGTTCCCCTTGTTCACATCTGGGGATGTTGGCTTTAGACGCACAGGTTTCCGATTCAGTGGTTCAGCTTTCCAAGCAAGGACAAGCAAGAGGTAACGCCTATTTTCAAAGCGCATCTGCAACCGAACAAGCCGTCATGCTCAACAGTCACGATTCATGATATAGATGATAAAGTTGTGTTAAGCAACTCGCCAACAGCTTGTGCTGCAAGCTCATGTGTTTTAGTCGGAGACGGCTTCTGTTCATGGAGGGCTCTTGAGCCTTCAGCACTAGCCGCTGGCTGAACGTGCTAGGACAAAAGACAATCAGCGCGTTGATTCTGGTGGACGTGCCAATGTGCAAAATCCGCTCTATGTATCTCTGTGTGACATGCACGACTGAACCACGGGCTCTGAGCTTCAGACATAGACATGAGACATGGCATGAGACAGGAAAATGCCATCATAGACATTGAGGGCATTCAGGCAGCTTGCAGCTACCTTTTCAGACCGAAAGCACAGAAGTCTCTGTCACATCCATTTGCACCTTGCAAGCCATGTCGATGCGTACGCTCCTGTCGAAGGGGCTGTCAAAGGTCATACCAACGACAAGACCATCCAGGGACTCATATGATTCCGACGAGGAATCCAGCTTTTCCGACAGGCTTGAAGATCTCTACAAGCAGTCCGTGTCCTTTCATGGTTCGCACCAGCAGTTCTTCATTCGAGTCTCACTTGCACTGTCTGTGGCTTTCTGGGTCACGATCTTCAGCTTGCCACTCTACTTTGGAAGACTTCACTACAAAGTCTTCGGTTTTAGAGGGGAGCTCCACGAGACCTATTCCGCATATGGCCGGGACCCGGTCTGTGAGTCTGGCATGGTTGGGAAGATGAGGAACGTAGGGACCTTCACCGAACCCAAGGCGGTTCTTCAAAATTTAGGCCCCCTGTTTGTGGACCTTTTATGTGGTTCTTGTGGTTGTGATGATGATGATGTGGTGATGACTGTGGTGACGATGATGAGGATGGTTGTCGATTGTTTGGGCGGTCTGATGAAAGCGACCGAATCGGAATCGGGAGCCATCCCCAGGTGGTGCCCTGGACTTCAGACATGACACCTTGGCAAGACAACCTGCGGCACAGAGACATCTGGTGTGGTTATCTGCCAGCCCTCTGGGAGGACCGGAGACCTGTAGAACTTCGGTGGCTTTCCGCGTAGATTGAGTTGTGACTACACAGGTTGGAGAAAGCAAAGGACAACAGCAGCTACCAGGGATCTTGCCTTTCGCTTTCTGATAGAACTGTTGGACCCAAACCCTGAACACATCCATACACAGTGCACGCATCAGCTCAGATAAAGGCATTGAGTGTTAGAGGAGCCCTGTGAGAAGGTCACTCACTGTGTGTTGTTGGGGTGTTTATTTTGGAGGACTACTGGCCGAACATCGCACAGTTCATCGTCTTCACCGTCTACACGAGCCATCTCAAGAATGCTCAACCAAACTGTCGCTTCCACTCCTGCAAGGGTTCCTGCACCATCCTGCAATTTTGGTCAATCTAAGGAGTACTGGAGACACGGTGCGACTGGCCTGGCAGGGCCTCATCGGCACAGCCTGCGCCTGCCTGAACCTGCAGCCACCCCGCCAAATCGAAAAAAGCCTGTAGCCACTGTAGGGTTTTAGGGCCCGTTAGGGCGAGAGACGGGAGAAGACAGTGACAGGAGCGTTCAGGTATGGCTTTGTCTGAGTCGTTCTGACAAGACATGTCGATTAGTTATGATCCGTTTGTGTTCCGGTGGCTGAGGTTCATGTGCTGGCTCTATCCTGGCGGAGCTTATGGAGCCATCTGCTCAGACGAGGCTGAGTGTGTGGAGACCAAGTACAGTGTTGTGGTGTGTTGGATCGATGTGCTTGGTGTGCTCTTCCTTTTCCTCGTCTCGCGGGCCAATGAGAACACCATCAAGTTCGGGATGTCGTGGCACGTTTGCTTTATGATGGACTTCATGAACCCAACCAAGAGCCTTGGGTTCTGATCCGTATGAAAGTTAACAGTGTAGTAGTAGTAGTAGTAGTAGTAGTAGTAGTAGTAGTAGTAGTAGTAGTAGTAGTAGTAGTAGTAGTAGTAGTAGTAGTAGTAGTAGTATGCTAGAGCGTGTCTTGTGGGTTGAAATCTGCGCTTCGCCTCAGGGAGCTGCCCGGCGGAATGTTGGAAAGCTTAAGCAACATAAACATTTGGTCAAACGACCTGGTGCCCGACATCTTGCTCACCTCCTTCGTTGGCGCCGCCATCTCCATCCTGGCAACACTCATTCCCAGGGTTTGCTTCTGCATGAAACCTCTTGCGAACCGGGTGTGGGCATCCCAGAATTCTCTGGCCTGCGCGGAGCAAGTTGGTACCGTGTGGCAGGAAAGCATAGAGTGCGAGCCTTAGAACGTTTGCAACCCCAGTCTTCGTGTCTTCGTGTTCTGCGACTCTGTTGGATGTCTAGCGTCTCGCTGCCTGCCGAGATACCTATGCGGGACCAAGCCTTACGCCAAAAAGTACCAGCTGCAGAGGAAAGTGCTGCTCTTAGCTGATGCCTGTTGCAAGGAGCATAATAATGGAGCCACGCGCGCTAGCCGCTAGACCCTTTCCCAAAGACTCACGCTCAGATCGATTCCGTCCGAGAGAAGCTCACAAGCACCAAAAGCCAGGCGCCACTGGTTCCAAAATGGTCCGAAAGAGCTTGAACGAAGAGCCAGATGAAAGTTCAGGTACGAGCATGTTCGTCTTTCGGGCTTCCGGTTTATAGGGTTTAGGGCGTGTAGGGTTTTGGGTTTAGGTGGAAAGGTGCCAGATGCCGTGTAGAAAGCCGCAGGTTGAGCAAGCATGGTGGGAGACCTTTCAGTTCGGATCTCCAGAACAACGGCGATTGAAGCACCACATCTTCCTGACAGGAGCTCAAACTCTTCGAAAGTCCGCAATTGTTGCCACATGTTACATATCATTAGTCTGTTGTAGTATTGCTATGCTTGCACTCACTACTAGTAGTACTAATATTATTGCTGTTCTGACGATTGTGATTAGTAATACTATTATTACGATTAATACAATTACTACGGTTCTTACTACTTACTACTTTTCGTTTGCGTTTCTTATGTTCAGTGCTACATGGCCATTATCATTATCATTCTTCTTATGTTTTACGAATATTGCTACTCTGACCAGTTTTACTATTATTCCTATTTTGCCATTCGTACTGTGAGTATTAGGCTTACTGCGATTATGATTACACATACTCTTACGTACTACTTTATGACTTTCATGACTATGTTTAATGCTATCATCACAATAATTACTAGTATTCACTAGTATTCTTATTCTTGTTATGATTACTATTACACTAGGCATCGTGTCTGGATGTGGCACAGGCGCGTCTACTTACGCTGCGTAGCTTGAAGGCAACCCCCGTACGTAAACCCTGCAGGTAGATGGCGCAGGAGCGTTCTGGCTTGAAGTCTGCGTTGGGCCAGTGGCATGGGCGGCCTTAGTAGCAGCTCTGCTGCGGCGGAGTATTTGCGGATCTGTGTGGGCGGGTCAGGCGACCCCCCCCCCGACCGAGAAACCGAATTTCTGTCCTTCTCGCAAACAGATATATTCAGTCGCACATGTTTCCCGGCTTTAAAATTGATAGGGCTATCTTAAGCTTGTCAGTTCCTGTCAAATGTGTGGGAACACAAACACGACAAGTTTTGTTTTGCAAAGAACTGGGTTCGGCTTGTGATATGAGTGGTTGTCAAAATTTTGACAACCACCCATATGTGCGCGTGGTCTATGATCATGTCATGCTACAAAGACAAGTTGAACCTAGGTTTCCATTCGATAAATAGTGGATTGAGCTTGTTGCGTTGAGATGCAAGACAAGGCGAATCTACTTTTCCTCCTTGGAACTTCTAGTCTTATAGTCTTATTGGATGGGTATGGCTCGAGGGTTCACCGTTTGCGATGGCCGTGTCAAAACCTACCCCGTCCCAAACATTCCAACCCTCAAGTTCACAACCTGGCATGGGCGGACACCCTCAGCCATTCCAAGACATCTGTCCTTAGCCTTCTTCCTTAATGTTGCACCTGCTGTAGTAGGGGCTCCTAAGAGTGGGGTCCGCGGTCAGGTCAAGTCTTCCGGCTGTCGGAAGAAAACTTCGTGCGGCTGTTAACATCAAATGCCGGACCTCTCTGTCCTTGTCAAATTCATACAAACGCCTTAACACCAAAAAAAACATCCGGGGACCGTGCAAAAGGGGGCAAAGTCAGCTTCGACTGTTGGTGGGGGGAGTGGGGGCGGGGGGGGGGGCTTGGGGGGGGGGTCTGCAAAGACAAGCTGAACCTAGGTTCCAGCCACGAAAAGTGGATTGAGACTCAGACAAGGCGAATCTGCTTTTCCTCCTTGGAACTTCTCACGGGTATGCCCAGCAACATACACTTTGGGACTGGGCGGGGATGCTCGAAATATTTCGACATGATGTTTATTCGTTGCAGCGATTCCTATTATGCAAATCATGTGTATCATTGTCGTATATTAGTGTAGTTTGTTGTTAGACCTAGTTTTGTTATTATTCCTATGAGTTCCATTATTAGGAATTGATATTATCATTCAGCTTTTTGCTAATGTTGCGTGCATTATTAGCATTGCGAGCATTGCTATGAGTACTTTTGCAATATGATTACAACGGTTACTATGATCATTATTATTACTGTTCTAGCGAAATTATACAAAAAGAGACGCCCTCTTTTTCAGGTGTGGAAGGCGTGCAACGCACAATGTACGCGCTGGCGAATTGCATCTTGTGCGAAGACTTCAGCGGGCAGCACAACGATTTCATCCAGCCACTTCGCCACTGCATTAAAACGCTGCACTACGAGGCCGCGCACCTCACGATTACTTGTTCAAAGGCTGCGGCAGATGGTGTTATTACTAAGGAGGAGGCAGACGAGATAAAGGCCCTCGAGAGGCAGGTAACGGACAGCCAGCAGGAACTCCTGCACGACTTTCGACAGGCCGTGCCTTCTGGCATTTCGGCAAATCTCGCAGAGGAGATCACCTTTATTTTTGCGCTCTCCTTCTGGGCTTCGACTACGGAAAAGCTGGCCGGTGAATTGGTGGAACACAAGCCAGGAAAGACCTGGGGGCAAGTCATCAGTCAGGGGGTCCATGACACTTGGGGTCCTCAGAGGATTCTTGAGATCGATCACCTCAAATTTGTCGTGCGCAACTGGATTCCCATCTCCGTTTGCTACATCCTGGCCTATGCGCTTCCTTCCAACTCGGTCTTCGTTCAGTACTCTGCGACCATGCCCAACACGCTGGCGCCCCTTGCATCAAGCTTCCATGTCCACAGAACGCACAGAACGGACAATTCTCGCAAACCCAGACAAACTCGAGTGTTCTCCCGAGGCTGCTGATCACCCGGTTTTCCGGGTCTGCCTTCCAAAAAAACATCCACCGGACCCTTGGCGTCCTCCTGGGCAAATTCTGGCCGATCCTTCTGAAGGCTTCCTGGATGGCCTGGCCTTGTCAGTGGCATCCTTAGGCCAACTTTGAGGCCACGTTAGGCCTCTTGAGGGTTGAAGGATGCCGCCATGCCGCCTTAGAGCAGGTAAAGTGTCTCACTGAAGCTAGATTCGCAGACTGAGGTCCAATGAGCGTGGTGTTCTCCAGC